TCTAATTATTGCTTATAGTTCATTCCCCTAACATTAGGAATTATCCTCATTTCTCTCCTCTGTTTGGCCCTGTAGGGCCAGAGCATTTCCCTTATGTTGAGGCAAGCAGAACTGGGTGCAGTACTCGTGGTGTGGCCTGAACATTCACTGTATGGCTTCCAGCGGATCTGATCTTTCACATTAGGAGGACATCTCAAAGTACTTCGACACAACTGATTTGGAACAAAGCTGGGGCAGGGGAGGGCTGAGGAGTATGGTAGGGGGAAAAGTGGCCAAAAGAGCAGTTGAAAGGTGGGTCTTAAGGCAGGCGTTACACATGGGGAGAGGGCAAGACGGAGAAACTCCGGGGTGGATTCTTTGGGCAGGGGAAGAATGGCTGAAAGTTCATGCATCGATGGCAGATTGGGTGAGGGACATGAAGCAGGCCACAGTTAGCTGAGCAGGAGCGGCCGGGAGGTAACGTTGCAGAGTTAGGGTGGAGTAAGGTCATAGCAGGATTCGAATGGAAGGACACAAATCTTGAATTCAATCTTGAATTGAATTCAAGAATTTACACAGAATAGTGCAATTTCACAATTGCCCAATTTGTATTTGGTGAATAATAGCATTTCCTGTTACACATAAATTCACAAATTTTAGCAACCAATTTTGTGATAAACCACATGATGTCATCGGATTTAATAACTAGCATTTCACTTGGAAGCACGTGAAAAAAATGTGTTCCAGTGATTACTTTAAAAACATAATAAAGCCTAAGAGAATAAATACTAATACAAATGTAAAAGATTTTACAAGGTCAAAATTCAAGCTTTAACAGTTTCAGGAAGGATTAAATTATAAATAGATAAGAAAATGAGTGATTATTCAAAGGAAGAAAATTCTGGAGAATAATAAAATCCTTCTCCTTACTATCAATGAGTAAGAAAAATAATGTTTCCATATCTGGGCTTTTTCCTCACTTTTTTGGATCATCACCTCTTTGAATCTTTCCTTGCTATGCACCATTCCTCAGATAAGAGCAAATGGACAACCTGATCTCAGCCTTTGCATAAGTAGGGGAACAACTTCCATTGCAGTGCAAATGTCCAAAGGTGAAGAATTTGGGGGTCTGCTTAGCACCTTCATAGCCCCAAACCCATCATATGGAGTTGGTGCAAATTGCATCAATTGAGAAAAGGTCTACATCTTCATCAAATATAAACAGAACCTTGGAAATTTACAGCACGGACCATTTGACCCATGTCCTGTGTTGGTTCTCGTAAGAGCAATTATTTCAGTCCCATGCACTCTGAGCATTTGAAAATCTGTGTGGCTATTTTCCAAGCACTTGAATCTTAATTGCCAAATGCCCCAAAAGGCATCACAACCAAGATGGTTCATCCCAAATGATGAGTCATTTCAGGAGACACTTTCTCATCTGATTCAGAAATATATTACTGGATGATAAATATACCTCATACGGTTTTCCAATTTAACACAGATGACAAATTTGGACAGTTAATTTCATTAACATTTAATAAATAAAACTCAACTTTCAGAATTAGAATGGTCCAACTTTAAATGTGATCAACTCAACATTACAATCTAGCTTTTTGTAAACAAAACATATCACAAGTATCAACTCTGAACCCTAAAAGGTAAACTTTAGAATTTGACAGCTGAATGCAGGGCAGCCCTTTTATAACGTACTTCACTTTAGCACAAATTAATTTGTTCAGTAAATTTATAACACCGTTGCACTGTGGGCCACGATTCACTGCAGGCGCACAGCTAGCCAGCTTTTTGTACTAATTCGGCAAAATTCTGAGTCATTAGGTGACCACAGACGTCACTGCTTCCTTTGCTGTGCAAGTCCAATACAAGGTGCTCAGCAAGCTCAATACACCACAGAGGGCATTGTCTCCTTTGCCCAATACAAGGTTATGTCAGCAATAACCAAATAACCCAGAAGTAAGCTTTTTTTAAATTTGTTCCGCTAAAATAATCCTTGCATTTAATATAATAATAATCCTTTCATTTCATACAGCGCCTTATCATGTAGTTGAGATGTCTCAAAGCGTTTCCCAGGTTATACTGTTTCCTGTGAAGCACTTTTGTGTACTTTGTAGGCAAAACATTTGTGCACAACAATGTCCCAACAGCCATGGACTGAGAGACCAATATTTTACTTGAGAAATTATGATTATTCTATTCTAGAGCAGGAAACAGCTGTTGCACAGGGAATGAATCAGCCAGCTCTGCGCATATGCAGTCTAACCTTCTCTCTTTCATGCGCATTGGAAATTTGTGGACCCCAAACCCCACATTATATCACAGGTCCACTGTATTATGCAAATCAAATCTAGAATTTGAACCTAAGATAGTGCCAAGGACCTGTCTGTGTTCAGGACTGCACCTCTTCAGTCTACTGCCAAAGCACACCCTTCTAAATCACTAATAGGTCAAGATATTCTTCTCTGTGGATTTGAGTGGGCGAACTTGTTTAGGTGCAACTTCTGATCAAATTTTGATGTCATGTCATTTTAGAGAATTATCTGAAATATGTTTCAGTCCACTAGCAGCCCCGAGGATCTGAATGTTGAATCGTAAATACTCAACTTTTGTTCCATCTGCACAACTCAAGAATATTACAATAATAATCCTTGCATTTGATATAGTGCCTTATCACGTCTTTGAGACGCCTCAAAGCGATTCACAAAATATGGATGGACTGTGTATTTTGTGGGTGAAAGCGGCAGCCAATTGTGCAGCACAGTGTCCCACAAACAGTCGTGGATTGAGTAACCAAATTATGATTTTTTTTTAAAAGGGATTATTAGCCGCGGAAAGCGATCCACCGATCGACTAACAACCAGGTTCCTACTTACTGCTAGGTAAACAGAGGCATGTGGAGAAAGGAAACATTGAATTCTGCATTAAGTTAAAGAGGGATATAGTTAAGTCCGAGGCAAGTATTCTGACTTTAAATAGGACTAATTTTGTAGGTATGAGGAAAGATTTAGGTAAAATAGACTGGAGAATAAGAGTAAGAGGTAAAAATGTAGACCAACAGTGGCAAATATTTAAGGATGTAGTGCAAAATTCTTAGCCGTCGCATATTGCGGAATAAGAGTACCACAGGGAAAGCAATTCATCTGTGGCTAACTAGAGTAGTTAGGGAAAGCATCGAATTAAAAGTAAAGGCTTATAAAACTGCCAAGAAAAGCAGCAAATCTGAAGATTAGGAGAGTTTTAGAAACCAGCAAAAAAAAACTAAAAAACTCATTAAGAGTGAGAAAAAGGAGTATCAGGGTAAGCTCACTAGGAACATTAAGTCTGATTGTAAAAGTTTTTACAAATATATTAAGAGGAATAGGCTGGTGAGGGTAGATGTAGGTCCACTTCAGTCAGAGATGGGAGAATTTGTAATGCGGGATAAGGACATGGCAGAGTCCCTAAATGGGTACTTTGCATCAGTCTTCACCCTAGAAGACACAACAAGTCTGCCAACAATAGAGATGCACCAACGGGATAAGGACAGGGAGCAACTTAGGGAAATTTTCATTAGTAGAGAATTGGTGCTCGGGAACCTGTTAGCACTAAAAAGTGACAAATCCTCTGGTCAGGATGGCTTGCATCCAGGGTTTTAAAAGAGGAGCTTATGAGATAGTGAAGGCCTTATGTCTGATCTTCCAAAATTCCTTGGATTCTGGAACAGTCCTCATGGATTGGAAGATCGCAAATGTCACACCACTATTTTAAAAAGGTGGAAAGGAAAAGATAGGGAACTATAGGCCAATTAGTCTCACATCAGTGATGGGAAAAATTTTAGAATCATTGATTAAGAATGTGGTAGTGCGGTATTTAGGGTACAATATAATTAGGCCAAGTCAACATGGCTTTACAAAAGGGAAGTCATGTTTGACAAATCTCATAGAGTTTTTTGAGGATATTTCGCGTAAACTGGATAAGGGTGAATCAGTGGATGTGGTCTATTTGGACTTCCAGAAGGCATTCGATAAAGTGCCGCATAAAAGTTTAGTCCAAAAAATAAGGGCCCATGGAATTCGGGGGAGCATATTAACGTAGAGTGGGGAATGGTTGACGGGTAGGAAACAAAGAGTAGGGATAAACGGGTCCTTTTCAGATTGGCGGGATGTGACTAGTGGAGTGCCACAAGGATCAGTCCTTGGGCCTCAGCTATTTATCATCCTCATCAACAATCTAGACAAGGACATCAAAGTTAATATATCTAAATTCGCGGATGACACAAAACTAGGAGGAAGTGTCAACACAGAGGACGACATTAAAAAAATGCAGTGAGACATAGATAGGTTAGGTGATTGGGCCGGTAGGTGGCAGATGAACAAGTAATCCACCTAGGTAGCAAAAACAGTAAAGCGGATTATTTTTTAGAAGGGGAGAGATTGGAATGTGTTAGTGTCCAGAGGGACTTTGTCCTTGTACACCAATCACAGAAAGTTAGTCTGCAGGTGCAGCAAGCAATTAGGAAGGTGAACGTATGTTAGCATTCATTATGAAAGGATTAGAGTAAAGAGTAGGGAAGTCTTGCTGCAACTGTATAGGGCCCTGGTGAGACCACACCTGGAATACTGTGTGCAGTTTTGGTCTCCTTATTTAAGGAAGGATGTATTTGCCTTGGAGGGGATGCAGCGTAGATTTACTAGGTTAGTACCAGGGATGAAGTGGATGAGTTACGAGGATAGGCTGACCAATTTGGGCCTATATTCTCTAGAATATAGAAGATATTGAATATATCTCAGTCTTGAATATATTCAAGACTGAGATAGATAAATATCTTATTGCAAAAGGGGATTAAGGGATATCGGGATAAGGCAGGGTCAGGTTATTAGCTGGAGTTAGATTAGAAGATCAGCCATGATTGAATGGCGGGGCAGGCTCGAAGGCCGAATGGCCTACTCCTGCTCCTACATGTTATGTAAGCTTGCTCCCTCATCATTAAACTTTCGGATAAGAGCACGGTAGAGCCCATAGCAAACTGATGAACAAATTGCTGCATTACATTTAATGATTACGTTTCTGACTCTGCCATCTCTTCATCAGGACTACAATAATATTCCACGAAGCAGACCAGTCCATCTTCATTTCGAATCATGTACTGCAAGGATAGGAATCCTCGGTTATCTGTGCGGATGGAAACTTTAGAAGACAGAGCCAGAGCTTTTGTTGATGGTTTCAGTAATGAGATTTTATACCTGTTCAAAAGAGGACAAGAAAAAAATTCTTAAAAGCCAATCAATTAAATTCATGTAAATCTTCATAATAGACAACTGCCAACAATGATGTTCCACACTATAGGCACAAGTGCTCAGCACAATGACTGACCGGCTGGACTGAGTCTGGTTACAGTGAAACGCCTCCATCATATCGGAGTTCTTTGGATAATCACAGTGTGTGCTCCCAGCATTCCCAAAAGTAGATAACCTGAAATAGCAAAACATGTTTCTTAACCAGAGAATGAATTTCGGAGGATAAAAGAAACACTGAAAACAAGCATCTGTGATAAGGCATTGCGACTCAGAACAATAAGAGTAGAAGAGAAGGAATGAGAGTGGGAAGAGAAAAAGGGACAAAAAGCATAACTCTCAAAAATGCAAGTTATTACATGCAAATATCTAAAAGTATTTGCTGTCAACTGTAATGACTTTTTCAGGCAAATACGGCAGTTGATTGGTTATTGCCGATTAATATTTAAAAAATAATAATATAAGAGTTTGGAGAAAATATAGGGGAAACTGACTAAATGGAAAAGGCTTTCAGAGAGTCAAAAGCACAATTGCCTTTTTCAGTGTTGTAAAATTTCCCCAATGATTCCCCAAAATATATTGTGTTAATCTTTTAAACCAACAGCAGTACAAAAACCTGTGACAGAACACTAAAAAACTTATGAAACACCATGAAATCTTTCAGTCTATCTGACAGGCATCACACACAATGGCTGCTTTCTGTAGAATAATCTAAAAAAAAGCATCTTCTGTGGAATACAATTATCAATATAAATCATCACAAAAAATCCTTTCTACACAATTAAAATAGATCATCTAAGTAGGGAAGTTCGCAAACAGTCAACACAGTCTCCCTTATACAGCTCTGCATTATATTGCAGGTCTGTATAATAATAATAATCCTTGCATTTGATATAGCGCTTTTCATGTCTTTTAGACATCTCAAAGCACTTCATAGAATAGACTGTAAAGTGAATTGACTGTATATTTGGGGGCGAAATGTATGCAAGGCGGGCGCCATGTAAAGGGGGGCGGCAGCCACTCGGGTTTACAAGAGCAGTTGCTGCAGATAGGCTGGCCTCCTGCGTGGCTCAATCATATTAGCAATGCTCTACCATGTCCAACTGTATTGAGGGCAGCTTGAATTCCTAGTTATCAGTACCTGAAATAGGGTTTGTCTGGAGACATGGTGATTTGTAACACCTCACTACTCATGTCAAGTTCCGCAAATGCCTCCCGCAGGCTCTCTGACTGCAGTATAATTTTATTAATAACGTTTGCATTGCAAAAGTCAAAATCGAGAGTTTCTTCTGGTTCCTGAGTTTGAATTTTACAAACAGTCACTACACCACTCTCCTCCAGGAAAAGAACGAGGGGGTAGCCATATCCCCGGTAAGACATCCTCAAGGCTGTTGTTACTCCTACAGAGAGGGAAAACAAAATCTGTCAGCTAGTGTCAATCAAACTAACACAACTGCTAATGTACTGCAGCTGATTTACAGCTTGGTAAATTTGTGTACTACCTGTAACTAATGCAATCAATTACCTGGCAAGGCACTTGCACTAAATATAGTCAGACAGTCTAGGAGAACGGTCAGATTTATTAGAAACATCACAGAGTCTTCTTCAATTACAAATTCCTGAAAAATGCATGCCTGAAAAACATGAAGTTTACCACCAAGATTACTGTTTAAGCACTTACTGCCACAGATAGTGGAAAAACTTGTTGTATTTCACATCAGTTAGTAAAAATGTTTTTTAAAAAATCTGCTCGCCTTTGATCCTCCAGGTTTTTTCTTTTATATATGAATATAGCGACTGAAACTTTTTTTTCAATCATAATTTTTTATGTTAATAGTTCACCAGTTGGCTGGAGATATTGTAAACACACAATATATTAAAGCTCACTTCTTCATAACAAACAATACCACAATCTGGGGTTAAGGAGTGGTCATCTTACAATTTTAGAAATGAGCAAAAGTAAGTCAAATTGTCAGGTCATTCCTTCCCACAACTTCCCTTGGATCTTTCTCCCCATACTTCCTTCCCTTTCAGTTATTTTCTTCACCTGACCTTTAGAGAAAGAGAAGCAATGATTGAAAGTCACCACAAATCATGAACCTGTAATAATAATAATCCTTTCATTTGATATAACGTGCAATTGGTTGCCGTGTTTCGCCCACAAATATACAGTCAATTCACCTTACAGCATATTCTGTGAAGATGTGAAAAGCGCTACATCAAATACAAGGATTATTACTGTTACGTTATTATAACGTTTTTGTGACGTCTCAAAGCGCTTCACAGAATATACTGTAAAGTACATATTGTGGGCAAAACGCGGCAGCCAATTATGCACAGCAGTATCCCACAAACAGTCATGGATTGAAATGACCTTTTTTTTAAAAGGAATTATTACACCTGAAAAAGTGGTCTGCCAATCGACTAACAACCAGGTTCCTACTTACCGCTAGGGAAACAGAGACATGTGGAGTAAGGAAACTTGCCCAAAACTTACCCCCTGCCGGGAATTGAACCTAAGTCTCTTACTCACTCGCTTGCTTACAGGACTCCTGTAGCACTTGAATAACATTTTTGTAAGGCCCTTCATATAGAACATCATCTTGGACAGCTTCATAGTTGAGTCATTCTGACTAAAGGTCATCGACCTGAATGCTGAGTAAGAGAGATGGGTACATGGAATGGACCATAGCAGTCAAAGATAGTTGTTTAGGCAGGATTTAAAGAGAAATGGGGGGTGCGGGGGGAGTCAAGATGGAGAAAGTTTCAGAGTTTTGAGGCATAGTAGTTGAAGGCTCAGCCATTCGAATGCAGGAGATGTGCAAAAAAGACTAACATAGATGAGCAGAGGGGTGAGCAGAGAAGTAGGGAGGGAGAAGATCAGAGGTACTAAAGAGAAAAGGAGTTTAATTAAAGGACCTTAAAGGACTGATAAGGCCTGAGGCGATGCTCAATAGTTTGACGTGGGCGAGAATGTGAATGATCAAGCTTTGGTTCAGTTGGAGCTTCTGGATGGTGAAGCTAGAGACCAATAATAAGTGGATTAGAAAAGTCTGAATGGGAGATAACAAAGGCCTGATAGTGGGTTTCGACAGCATTTGGTATGTCACAGGGGCATAGGCAGGCAATGTGACAAGAGGTGAAGCAAAGCAGTCTTGGTCAGGGACTGAATGTGAGCAAGAAATGAGAGCTGATGGTTGAACTAGATGCTAAAGTTGCACATTACTTGGAGAGTTTGAGAGAGGGGCTTGAAGAATCAGGAAGATTGAGGAGGTCAGAACCAGAAGTGAGGAGACGTTGCAGGAGCCGAGGAGAATGACTTCCAAAAAAGTGAGCCCAGGCTGTGATGTCTGATAGGCACACAGAACATTAAGCTGCTGGGAGAAAACTATATCCTGGGGAATCATTCTGACTCAAGGTCATCGACCTGAAAACTTAACTCACTTTCCTTGGTCCATAAATGCTGCCTGACCTGCTGAGTGCCCCGACACTGTTTTTATTTAAGATTTTCAGCATCTGCAGTATTTTGTCTTTTGTTTTCTGGGAAATGACTCCAGCTTTAAGCAGTTTACAAAATGTGTAAATAAAAGCTGATTTCGAGTGAGGCTTCACTGAAATGGTCAGTAACATTATCCATTAATATGACAAGTGCAGAGCAGCGCGACCTGTATGAAGGCGTTGGCCTGGACACACTTGGCGTTCTCCACAGTGACCTTGATGCCGGCCGGAGTCGCCTGGATGGTCGCGCGGTCCCTGAAGTGAACGGCCCTCAGGAGGTTCGAGAGATTCCGGGCATTGTCCAGACTGGCGACCAGGACGCACTCGTCCAGCTGTGAGCACCACGGCATCTCACACCCGACCTCGGCCTCACGGTCACACCGCGACTTGACGGTTAAAGATGGCGCCAGCTGCCGATACAGCCGGAAGTTTTGCCTACTTCCGGTCCGCGATGAATTGTGTCCCCCGACACACGCAGTAACGTGGGCGATGACCCCGGGCACAATGTGAACAATACACAATGTACACACAATAAAAACACAGGTACACAATAACAACACAGGTAAACAATAACACAGGTACACAATAACAACACAGGTAAACAATAACACAGGTACACAATCACAACACATGTACACAATAACAACAAATGCACACAATAACAACAAAGGTACACAATAACAACACAGGTACACAATAACTACATGTACACAATAACACAGGTACACAATAACAATGCATGTACACAATAACACATGTACACAATAACACATGTACTCAGTAACAATACATATACACAATAACCATACAAGTACACAATAACAATACATGCACACAATAACAACAATACAGGTACACAATAACAACACAGGTACACAATGACAACAATACATGTACACAATAACAATACATGTACACAATAACAATACATTTGCACAATAATACATGTATACAATAACAACGCATGTACACAATAACAATACATGTGCACAATAACAATACATGTATACAACCTTGTGTGATTACTGAATTAGCAGCAGCTGTTTTACCGCTTTTTAGAAGATGCAATTAGACAAATAATATTTGTGGCTTTTAAAATAAACAATTTCATATTTATCAACATTTGACAGTTTTTGACATTTTCTTCACATGTATGTCCAGTCTCTGTGGGTGGAGTTAACGTATAATGAGGACAGAACATCTGCTAATGCAATGATGCACATTTTTTTCTGTTATGATGTTGCAAATATGCATTACATTCAGCTACATTGGATTCAAATGTTCCATATGTTTGGGATTGCCGTTATTTCCGTTATATTTTCACCTAACTATAAAGCTTGGCATGGCATGCAAACGTTATCACTCCCATTAGCTGTTTATATGAGGATGGTCCCCGGACAGGGGCGGACTATCTATATGAGAAATCGGGAAATTTCCCTCGAGCTTCCGTGAATGGCTCCCAATGCCGCCCGTTCAGAAGTTCCATTTAAGACAGACAACGTTTTTAAACATGTGGATGTTCTATGCTTTTTGGGGCCCTCAAACTGGAGCCTGGGAATCTGTCTTCAAATAGATTAGTGTCTCCTGTTAATTTTATGTTGGTATCATTAATAACGGCTATTTGTATACACGGGTGTCAAACTTGTGAATTATTAATGGTCTACTCTGTCCTGAACTATTTCAACCTTATGGACTCTTGTGAAAAGGTTACATTACAACCTTAACCTCGCATCAAAGCAAAATAGGATTCCATTAATTTGGTTTCATAATCAAACATTGTGGGCACTAGTTATGTAAAAAAAATCTGTTTCTCAGATCAACTCCGCGTTAACGTTTGTCCTCTGACATCAAGCCGTGTAAGAGCTGCAATGCTGTTCGTGACCTTCAGTTTCATTTAGATATTGGCTAATTCGCGTTTTTTTTCTATTTGTTGTTTTGCGGCGAATATTATTAGAAATAGTTAATTTCGGGCGTCATTGGGAGTCTGTGTGTTTGGGTTGAGTGGGTGGTTCAGCTCAACCCATCCAGTGGGACCAATAGCCAGAGAACCTCTGTCCTCTCCCCATTTCAACACTATTCTTATTGCATCGTATGTATATCACTATATATCACTATTTGGGCTTCACTTTGCTATTATTCTGCCTTGAACTGACAGATTTGCCAGCAGTTTTCCCAGACTCCGCACCAGCCGGGACCTGAGCATCAGGGTAACGGGATTCACTGTCACGGATTCCTTCACTGTTTTTATGAAAAGTTTAAAACAAACATAATGTCATTTGTTATTCTATTTTGTATTAAAATAACTAAATTGTTATTTACTGTATATTAAAATAAATTCAAATGTAACATATAGATATCATAATCCGCGAAAAGAGGCGGGAGCGAGAGCGGAATGAATGGTTTAATAACAGCTTTACGTTCTGACCGCTTAAGCCTCTTTTATTACCTTTATTTTTATCCAGTGAAATGGCGAGTGACAACTACCTGATCCTCGACTCCCTCCTGACCGCCAATGGCTTTCCTCATCCTGGGAAGCTGAGAGCCAAACGCACGAAGTGGAATGTCAGAGCTTCAGAAATGTCCAAACGAACCTTCAACCCGATCCGCGCCATCGTGGACAACATGAAGATCCAACCCAACCCCAACAAACCTCTGATCGCACTGTCCATCGGTAAGGACGGATCTCGAACAATCTGCAGACTCAGCGCACAAAGATAGCACAGATATATCTAAACGCCGATGTTTCTGGACTTTCCTGAATAATTGAGGGATTCTAATGGCTTTTTATCTGTCAAAAATATTAATTTCATGAATAAAGTCTTAAATTTGGGCTCTTCCCACTTCTCTCAGTTAATCCTGGGTACAATCTGGACCTCTTTGTGTTTCCACATTCTCTTCATCTCAGTATATTACTGCCACCAGCAATTTTCTCTCATCCTGACTTTGGGACAAAGGTCCCTAAATTGTTCCCTAGTTTTAATTAAATGTAGCCCCTTCCATTTACTGAATATTTACTGAACAGTCATTGCAGAACTCAATCCCCCAGGAAAGTCCAGAAACGTCCCTCTTAGGTTGCTTTTTGCTGTCTTTTTGAGTGGAGTTTTGCCTTATTCTCAGGGGGAGGATGAGGTTGTATTGCACAGATGGAGGAAAGGAAATTTCCTCAGAGCCTGGATTAAAAGTAAATAATCCTTGCATTTGTTATAGCGCTTTTCATGTCTTTGAGTCATCTCAAAGGCTTCACAGAATATACTGTAAAGTGAATTGACTGTATATTTGTACTCAGGGTAGCACCTCCCAGGGCTGCACATTTCCTAAATTCAATGTACTTTTATAGCTGTGTTCTCATTTTTTGATCTCTCTTTAGTCTCTGCTTTCATAACTGGAGATTATTTTACTTTGTGGTTTTGTGTAGACTGATTATTAACAATAATTATATGAAGGTAAATCACAACAGATGCTGGAAATTCACAGCAGGTTTATCAGAACTGATATGATTGCAATTTTTCTAAAGGTGATCCCACAGTGTTCGGGAACCTTCCAACTGATGTGAAAGTTCTGCAAGCCATGAAGGAGGCTGTGGATTCAGGAAAATACAATGGTTATGCTTCATCCATAGGTAATAATAATCCGGGCTAATAATGTCAAAGCATTTCAAAGTGCTTCAGAAGTAACTGCAAGAGACTGTGTGTTTAGTGGGCCATCAATTGCACACAGCAATATCGAACAAACAGCAATTAAATGAATGGCCAATTCATTTGGGGGGATTATTGGCCAGGATACGGTGAGAAACTCCCTTGTCTTTTTCAAATAGTACCATGGGATCTTTAATGTCTGCCTGAACAGGCAACCTTGGTTTAATGTCTCCTCTGAAGGATTAGACCTTCAACAATGTAGCACACTCCCAGTGTCATCTTAGACAATATGAGTTCCAATAGGATAATCTGACCAACAGAGCCAGGCTAACCTTGCAATATCTGTCAAAAATATTTAACTATTGTATTATTTTTGTATTTCAATCTACAGATTTTGTAGATGTATTCAAACATTATGGAATCTATTGTGTAATCTGTATACAACTGGGGGAAAATATCCACCTCGGTCTCAATTTTCTCAATTTATATTGCATTTCAAAGTATCCAGATTTTGCAAACTCTTAAATGCAGCCTTCAATTCAAAGTTATTTTTCTAAAAGTTCTTTTAAGAACTACAGGAAACCAACTTCAAAGTTAAGACTAAATTCAACATTTTGCCAAATTCTGAATGTTATAAAATGTTACATATATAGCGTAAATCAACACCATGGTGGAATATTTTGCGTTATATTTCTGATTGTAATTCCATCTGTCAGATGCAACATTAAACCATTCAACCACTACTTGTTCAGATTGACATTCCAAATCCTGTATTATTATTCAAAAAGAGAAGAATATTTCTCCCAGTGTCCCAGTCAACAATGATAAGGATAATTGGTGTTTCACCTAAATATTGATTGTGGGAACTTGTTGGCAAACTTAACAATAATACTTACTGGTGAAATCCTTTGAGAAATTTTAACATAAGAAGCTATACAAGTGTAAGTTCTTTCTTTCTGTAACCAATTGGTAAGACACTGCTTTGCAAAAAGTCAATGAGGAAGAAAATGAGTACTGGAATATTAATCAGGGTAATAAATATAAAAATGTAGATTATAGATAAACCCAAAGAATATCATTTAATTTCCAGCACATTTGATCTCTTTTGTACATATCTTGATTTCCTTGTCTATGCTAAATATAGAAGGAATTGACATATAACTTTTTGTATTCGTTCTATCTGTAAAGGCTATCAGACAAGCAGGGAGGCTGTTGTCAACTTCTACAGCTGTCCAGAATCACCTCTGGAGGCAAAGGTAAGTGTTTCAATAGAGAACAACGCTGATGTTAAACAAATCTTCCAGAAACCTAACCGGTTCTTGTTTAATCATTATAATTGTTTAACAGAATTATAATGATTATCTATAGTGGAATCCACTTTAGCCGGACGCATCAGGACAGCGAGTTTTGTCCGATTTACCCGGCATCTGGTATCCGAAGTTCATACCTGTCTCTTCTCTTCCCGCCGTCTCCTCTGCTGAGCGCCTCTAGTCTCCCATTGCTGCTCCCATTGGATGGGAAGGGGACCAATTAGTGGCGGCTTCAAGACGTGTCAATCACCTCAGAGCCGCCGCTAACTTGCCCCTTCCTCGTCCACTGGATGCAGTCACAGCCGCCTCCCCCCCACCCAAGCCGCTTGTGAATGGATGGAGTCCGCTGTTAATCAACCGCGATTTCACTCGCCCATCCCCTTTCTTGTTTCTTCCCGTTTCTCTGCCACCTCATTGATTGAGGGCTCAAATCCCGCCATTTGTAAATGGCTGGAGTCACCTGTCAATCGCAATGTGATTCCTCCCATCTCTGTCCTGGGTCCCTCGTGGCTGAATTTAAAACCTGTTTTAAATATGCAGATTTAACAGGCGTATTTGAAACAGGTAAGACTGCAAATAAATTGGAGCCGGGCATTTCATTCAATTTACCCAGTATCCGGGGTAACTGGTGTTTGGCTAAAGCGGATTCCACTGTACTTTTTGCTCTATACATTTTCAACAATAATAATAATAATAATCCTTGCATTTGATATAGCGCTTTTCACGTCGGGAGGACGTCCCAAAGCGCTTCACAGAACACACTGTAAAGTGAATTGACTGTAAACTTCTGGGCGAACGCGGCAGCCAATTGCGCACAGCAATGTCCCACAAACAGTCGTAGATTGAAAATGACCAATTTATTATTGTTTTTTGGAGGGATTATTATTAGGCGTGTGGAGTAAGGAAACTTGCCCATGGTTTCCCCCGGCCTGGAATTGAACTCAGGTCTCTCGCTCGAGTGCTGTAACCACTGAGCTACAGGACTCCAAACAATGTCCAGAGACTTGAGCAGTTACTAGACATCAGAAAAGCAACAATGCCTCAACTTTACATTCCAGCACCAGGGGCTCTGGAGTAAAATATTAAATCCAACACAGAATAGAATTAAGATCTAAATTTATGTAGAAGTAAACTTTATCACAGCTCAAATAAACTTTATCATGGCTCTAAGTTTTATTGCAGGTGAATCAAATTGCAATTTAGATACCACTGAGGGCCACACCATCTATGGTCACTTAGTACTGAGGGTATGTGGGACACACAGCATCTCTGGATTTGAACTTTTGTATTTTTGAAGACAATCAGTCATGACGATTTGCTGGTTACAAACTGTTACACGTAATGAGCTAGGACTAATATTGTTTCTGTTTTAGGATGTGATTCTGACTAGTGGCTGCAGTCAGGCCATTGAAATGGCAATTTCTGTATTGGCAAACCCTGGCCAGAACATTCTGATCCCCAGGCCTGGTTTCTCTCTCTATAAAACACTTGCAATCTCGATTGGAATTGAGGTCAAACTGTACAACTTACTGGTATGTAGTAACAAACTAGGGAAAGTACAACAACAATTTGCATTTATATAGTGTGATTTGGTTAGTCTTAATTGTTGCACCAGCATCCATTTTGCTTCTCTGACATTCCTGTTACCTAATTTACCTCTATAACTAATCTAGATAATCTGTAACAGAGATGGTGAAGGTGGTAAATATTTTGACTATTTGAAAGAATGTTTACTATACAGTTTTACCCCCCTATGAATCCAGACCAAGCCTTAATAGTAATAATAATTGATTTGATATAGCGCCTTATCACATCTTCGAGATGTCTCAAAATGCTTCACAGAATATACTGTAAAGCAAATTGACTGTATATTTTGTGGGTGAAACGCGGCAGCTAATTGCACAGAGCAGTGTTCTACAAACCGTATATTGAGTGATCAAATTATTAAAAAAAAATTTGAAGGCGCCAAGCAATCCACCAATCGGCTAACAACTGAGTTCCTACTTACTGCTAGGTAATCAGGTGTGTGGAATAAGGAAACTTACCTAAGGTTTCGCCCTGCTTGAGAATTGAACCCAAGTCCTCTCACTTCCGAGGCGAGTGCTCCAACCACAAAGCTACAGGACTCCAGGCCTTCTCATTCTGTGGCATCACCTGAGGTGGTGCCTCAGTGCTCCCCTTCTGATAGTAATCCTATTGATGGAAAGTGACATCCAACTAGGGACTTCTAGTGTCCTAGCCCTGCAGTCCTTCCCTTAGGCTAATGGTGCACATTCGTTCATTGCTTTCAGTTATTCGGTCCACGAAAAACCATTGAGCATCCATAGATCAGAGAAACATTTCCTCATGGTTGAGTGCATCTTCTCTCTAGGACTATCCCCTCGTAAACTGCTGGGCAAACTTAGAGAATGAACTCCTTATTAATTGAAATATATTGGCAGCAATTTAATTTAATGATTTCTGTTGCATTGGTTAACACTGATACCTTTTGATGTAGTTAGGAGCGGGGTTAGTTCTGGTCGCTGAATATTTACTGAGATGAGACCTAGATACAAGTAGGCATCAGCAAAGGTTGGTAAACTACACCATATATTAGTCAGGATTAAGCATATGATCTTCTATACTTTAGAGTTAGGATTTCGGAGCTGCTGAACTGCATTTCACACTACACGTAATTCACATTAGAGTTGCAGCACAACCGTAACTCATTGTGTACTTCTGCTAATTTATTACAGCCAGAAAAATCCTGGGAAATTGATCTTAAACACTTAGAGTCTTTGATAGATGATAAAACTGCCTGTATCATCATAAACAACCCATCCAATCCCTGTGGATCCGTCTTCAGTAAATTCCATCTCCAAAAGATACTAGCTGGTGAGTACATGCTCCAAACAGTTTCATTATTGTAGCATTAGACAGAGTGGTAATTTACTAGGATGCTACCAGCATGAATGGATACAGCTATGAAGAAAGATTAGACCGTTTAGAACTTTTTACTCTGAGATGAAATGTTTGAAAGGGGACCTGGTAGAAAGGATTCATTTTCAAATGGCATAGAACATGTAAACCCAGAACAATACTTTTGCATGCACCCAAATACGAGAGAACATAGGTTTACAGTTGCAAGGCAATTTCAGGACAGACCCCTAGAGGTTTTCCTTTACCCAGAGGGTAATGGATGATGGAAATACATTGCCAGGACACGATTCATTTAAAAAATAGCTTGATGCTGTGATGAGAAGATGGTACGTTGATTGTTCTAGAAAGATGAAAACACAATGGGCTGAAGGACCTTTTTCATCTAAACCAATCGTGCGATCATCTTGTGATTGGATCATAAGATTGTTTTGGATGATGTGTAACAAATAATGAGAATGTCTGTACCTAAAAGATGATTTCTTTGTTCTTCTCACAATATGAAACTAACTATCGGATGCATGGTGGATCGATTACTGCATGCAGACATGCACCCTTGTTCATATTCCTTTCTTTGTCTCCATCAACTGGTGTCTTGTGGAACTGGGAGGTAGAAAGTAAATACAGATATCATATCCTCAAAGAATTGATTATTGCACCGATGTCCAAGCCAGAATGGTGGTTGAAGAAGAATTGATATTTGATTTTTTTATGAAGGAATTAGATAAATATCTGAAAGAAGTAATACAAAATAGTGTGTGGGGAAAAGGCCCTGCTTGTTGCACTCCAGTTCCTCCCTAGACAAGCTGGCGATTAGCTAGAACTCTAAAAGCTTATGTCATCTCCCACCAGGCTGACTTTCAATGAAAAAAATACCAAATATACCCAGAAATAACCAGCCCTGGTTAAACGATTTGTTATTTTTCTTTCAGTTGCAGCCAGAAACTATCTTCCAATCCTGGCCGATGAGATCTATGGAGACATGGTAAGGAACAGGCAGAGTGAGAGTATGGGGAGCAATGAGATTACCAATAAATAATTTGGCATGGCACTTATAACGTTGAAAAACCTCAAAAAGTTTCAGAGGATTTACTTTAATGTCTAGTGACTGTGTATTTTGTAGGCGAACAGGGCTGCCAATTTACACAAAATGCCCCCACAGAGCCATGAAATAAATGAACAATTTTCTATGATGGATTATCAGCCACCAAGAAGAATGGAGAAACTCCCTTCTCTTGTCATCAAAAAAAACAGTCTTATGACCTAATCACAAGATGTTCACAAGATTAGTTTAGATGGATCTTTAACATCCAGTTGAACAGGCAGACAAGACCGTGATTAAACATCCAATACGAAGAACAACAATGTAACACCCATCCAGCACTACACTGGAGCATCAGCCAAGACTCTGAGCTCAAAATCTTGAAGTTGGGCTTGAATCCACAACCTTCTAACCCAGAGGCAAGCGTTCAGGCTGACAGTGAATAAAGAATTGGGGAAGAAATGCTGAGTTCATTGTGTTAACAGAATGCAAATGTTATGCTGTTTGCAAGGAATTAACCTTAAAATCAAAGAGCTGAAAAAATACAGATAATTAAATATGGAAAGAAGCTGTTTCTGAACTTATTTTCCTCAGAACATGAATTTTATTTTTTGACCATTGACCAGTTGATCAAATGATTTTGAATATAACTTTGATTTTGTTTAGCGTTAACCTGTAACTTATGATCTTCAAAGGTCTTTCCAGAATGCAAATATGTTGCCCTAGCAACTTTGAGCAGTACTGTACCCATTCTGTCCTGTGGTGGTTTGGCCAAACGATGGCTCATCCCAGGCTGGCGAATGGGCTGGATTCTCATTCATGATAGAAACAATATCTTCAGCAGAGAGGTAAGGGGGATTACAATACATATTTACATTTCATGTGCCTTTCATGTTGGGATGATGTCGAAGGTGCTTTCCAATACTAGCTGCGCTCCTCAGTTAGAATCATAGAATATTACAACTCAGAAGGAAGCCATTCGGCCCATCGTGCCTGTGCCAGCTCTTTGGAAGAACTACCCAATCAGTCCCACTCCCCCGCTCATTCCCCATACCCCAGAAAACGTTCCCTTTTCAAGTACCTATCCAATTATTTCAGTTGTGGGTGAGAGCCAATGGAGTGAGGAGGGAAAAAGATGACCAAAAGTGCAGCCAAAGAGATAGGTCTTGAGATGGACCCTGAACCAGGTGAAGGAGGAAGCAAGTCAGAGGGTCTGAGAAGCAAGTTAGGAGGGACTGAGGAGCAAGTTCAGAGGGACTGGGGAGCAAATCAGAGGGATTTTGGGATAGACTTCCCGATTGCCTTATGCCATCTCAATCTTCGTTTGTGGTTAAAGGTTCCTACTTCCTCAGTAGTGCAAAGCCATTTCTATATATTGACCTTTATGAATGAAATTTTAATATGTAATAATGTGCTGTGCATATGCCACCTCTTTGCTGTCAATACCACCACTTGTTTACGATAACAACTTGCATTTATGTAGTGCCCATCCCATAGGATAATGTCCAGAGTGATTTACAAGGGAAGGGTCAGATGCCTAATAAGGGAGGAGGAAGGTGGGAACAGGCGGTAATCATAAACACGGAGGTCAGGTTTAGGCAGGATATAAAGACAGAGTGTTCCAGAGTTTAGGGGTATAACTGAAGGCTTGGCCACTGACCCTATATCAAACCCTATATTGAAGAGAGTTGAAGATCCAGGGGAAAAGCTGAGAATCTGATGTGATAGGTTTTGAGGTAATGGCTGACGTGACAGAAACTGCATTGTTTGTGTCAGACAAACTAACCCTTTCCTTTAACATCACAGGTCCGTGATGGCCTTGTCCGGTTGAGCCAAAGAATTTTAGGCCCATGTACAATTGTACAAGGAGCTTTGGAAACAATTCTGAATAAAACAACTCCAGAATTTTATGATGATACCATCAGATTCCTGCAGGTAAAAGCTCTAAAGACCTAAACTGAATTTCTAATGTTTTGTTTGTACTTTGATTGTTAAATCTGGTTTGGGAACCATTATTAATTACAAAACTACAGTAGAACCATGTTATAACACAATATTTGGAATCCATAAAATCTCCAGCGTTGTTATAACAGGGCACAGAGAGATACAGGAGCATTTGGGAAGAGTGTGCAAAGTGGCTGAAAGTTGAAAGGAGTGTTACTGATGTAGAAAGGGGAAGGGTCACAGAGTCAAGGATGAAGATATTAAAGTTGATCCTCTGGGGGATAGGTAGGGTGCCAGTAAAGTTGAACAAGAAAGGGATGATGCGCTAAGGAGAGGATATAGGCTTCAGATTTCTTTATTGTCTGGAGTTTGTGCAGCGTGGAGCTGGGGAGGCCAGCGATCAGGGTGTTGGAAATGTTGAAATTCGAGGTGATAAAGACATGTTTGAGGGTTTCATCTGCTTTGAGGGTGAGGTATTGACATAGGCAGGTGATGTTGCAGAGGTGGTGGAAAGAGGTCAAAGCCTAAATGAAAAGTTTGAATGTGAGTTGCTGGTTGAATAAAATCACCAAAGTTCTGCACAGGTTATGGGAGTTTGAGGTCAACAGTCAGTCCCAGAACAGAGGACAGACTCGGTGTTAACCTTGAAGAAATCTAAAGATGTGCCACATATATCCAAATGGGAGAGTGGAAGGTGGGAAATGTGAGGGATTATGGCAGATAAGGATTTTCTAGAACATGGCAGGAACACCTCGATTAGAGTAAACAGGATGACCTGTCCAACTTGAGAGTAATACGTGGTTCTGAGCACATATATGATTTAAGATTCTGAGATCTGTTTTCTAATCTACCTGTCTGTATTTAGGCAAACACTGTATATCTAGTTTAAAATGTTACATCATACATTGTAAATAGAATGGAACACATTGTTTAATCAGAAAAAGTCCAGTAAAGGTCAATGCTAACTTTTGAAACTAAATAAACATGCTGAGGAAAAGCAGTGATTTTCCACAATCTGATAGAAGTGACTCATTTTCTGGCTTAAAGTTGGCAACAAATATCATGAGAAATGTACATCTACAGTACCATTGCTCTCATTGCCTTTCCTAACCAGTAAAATGCTAGGGACAGAATTCTTAGCCAGTTAAGCGAACGGTTAATATTCCATCATAGGCCCCACGTTGAGCCCCAGGACTGAGGGTCATTCAATGGTCTGGAATCACAGAATATTCATCTGTTATTTTTTCTTTTCCTCAGTCTAATTCTGTTGTTTGTTACAAAACACTCTCAACTGTGCCTGGACTTCAGCCAGTCAGAGCCTGTGGTGCCATGTACTTGATGGTGAGTTCAGCAACGCTCAGCACTTTACTGGACTCACAGAAACTTGAAAGGATCAAGAGTTTAATAAAAAAAATTTATATTGTGTATTCATATATTTAATAAGAGGCTTTGCACGTCAGGCGCCATCCCAAAACGCTTCACAGGATTTACTGTGAAGTGACTATGTATTTTTGTGGGCGAACACAGCAACCAATTTCAGCACAGTGGTGTCCCACAAGCAGCCATGAAGCGAATGACTAATTTTATTTGGGGGTTGTTGGTCAGGAAACTGAGAGAACCTTGTGCCACAGGATCTTTGACATCTAACTGAGTGGGCAGACAGGCCTCTGTTTAATGTCTCATCCAAAGGACGGTACCTCCGACAATGGCACATGACCGTGGCACTGAATTCGAGCCTCAGTTTAGATGATGTGAGTTCAAGTCCCGACGTAGGGCTTGAACCCACAAATCTCTGACCCCAAGATGAGTCACTGAACTAAGCTGACATACTTTTATGTTTTGGTTCAGGTCGGAATTGAGATGGAACATTTTCCAGAGTTTGAGAATGACATCCAATTCACGGAGCGAATGATTGCCGAACAATCAGTTTTCTGTCTTCCTGCAGCGGTAAATTGCTTTCTCTCTTATTCAATCAGGTCCAGTTAATAAATAAATTATAACTGAAGTTTAGCAGTTAAATAACAGTTCTCAATAAACAACGAAAATTACATTTATAGAGCGCCTTTCACGTCAGGAGAACCTCCCAAAGCCTACATCTACAAGCCTGTAAGGACAACAGTTCGAAAGGAAATTCTAGAGAAAAATACCCATCATATTATTTGACAAGTGATTTATGCTGAGTTTATGGAATATGAAAAAGTATTATCAGGGTTCAGGATATACAGTGAAGGTATTGTCATAACTAGTTATGATGAGTAGTGTGAGGTATAATAAAATGGTACAATGAGAGGTGCAGAGTACATTAGATGTTAGTGTTACAGTAAGGGGTATCTCAGAATGTTATAGTGAGAGGTGTGGGTTATAATAATAATCTTTCCATTTGATATCACGCCTTGTCACATCTTTGAGATGTCTCAAAGCGCTTCACAGAATATACCGTAAAGTGGATTGACTTTATATTTTGTAGGCGAAATACGGCAGTCAATTGTATTGTACTGAGCATTACAGTAAATGGTGTGGGGTATTATTAAAGCAGTATGGAGGGATGTGTAGGTGTATCAGAGTGGTAAGGATGTGTGGGATATTTTAGAATGGTACAGAGGGGTTGGGGGGGATGTAGCTGCTTAATTTCATGAACAAGTTTCTATTTAAGTAAATGTCAGTGAAATAGAGATTGTGGTGCAAGTGCTTGATAAACCGGTGCACAAGAAAGTGTTGGTTTGACAGAAAACCATCAAAAAGCAAGCTTCTTACTCTTGTGTTCTTCTCTTTATAGTGTTTTGAGTATCCAAATTTCTTCAGGATTGTACTTACGGTGCCTGCAGACATGATGGTTGAAGCCTGTAACCGGATCCGGCAATTCTGTGAGAACCATTATCAACCACAGGAAAACCGCATTGGAGACGAAATTGAATGTGATAAGTGACAGTGGGTCAATTGAGGAGGAGGATTTACTGAGACGGTGCTGATTTTACACAGAACTCGTGATGTTCACTGGTTTCTGAATGTAAGCAATTTGGAAAAAGTTTTACACAACTTAAAAACTATTGAAAAATGCTTGATTTATTGGTTGTGGACAATAATAATGTAAAAGCCAATTGTGAGAAGCTATGCCTATAAATGTAATGTAGTTAAATGGCCAATAGGTTCCAAGTGGAATGTTCCAGAGGGAGTGCAATATGTGCAGGCTGAGGGCATAAGCATGTTCCTTGTTTAACCAAAGGCTAATTTAAATTTTCCAGCAGTGGCTTTGAGAGACACTTTCATCACCATTTATCTGGAAATACATCAATTGCTACAAATATCACTCACTACTACATTTACATTGACACACTCAGTAAACACCATTCCCAGTTCAAAATATTGTAAATATCCATTTTTGTTGACCTGGGATAAGTTTGTAGAGAGAAGTTCAAAAAAGTTTCAAACCTCTGACACGGTGGTTAATTTTGACTGTGATTCCTTGCAGCAGACTCCATATCTCTTGCTCTATTCCGATGAACAATATGCAATACTCACTGACTTGGGTTTAAGTTCAATATTAATTTCAAATATATCAAGAACAAGGACCAAATCTGAAGGAGTGAAGTAGGAACTGGTGGGAGGACACTTGCCTCTAGTGCAATAGATCTTTATTAAAAGCAACATAGTCTGTTGTTGGGTCTGTGTGCAGATTTCACTTGAAGAAAGGTTTAAATTCTTGATTATAATAAAACTCCAAACAATGAACACACTAAAGGACCTGTTCCTGCAATAGATTAGCATAATAAAGTTTCATATTGATACAGTAAATATACATCAACACACTTAGATCCTGTACACACATACATTAACCAACCATTCACATACAATCTCTTTTACAGTAACTGTACACTCATCTACAATCAATTTCACTGCTTATCTGACATCTATTACGTTATGCACTCAATTTTATCACAAGGTATTAGTTTCAAACTAACAGAGCAGGACTGTTCTTACAGAGGATTGGTTGTAGAGAGTGTGGTATAGTTACTGCACACATTGATGGCTCACAGACTCTTCTGTTTGACTGGTTTAAACTCTTATCATTTGGCAGTTTCCTGACCAGAGTCTGTTGCTGGCTCTGTGTGCAGATTTTATTGTAACATATTAACATCCTCTTACTGTACTGACCACTTTGTGTAATAGATATCAGGCTACCATTTCTACAATTTCTTTTTCTTTTTTATGACATATTTAATAACATTATTTCAACCATTTTTATTTCTAATAAACATACAACATTATTACTGTGTGCCATTCTTTTTTTTCAAATGTTCTCTTCTTTTCTAAAGATATTAATTTGTATACAGGAGACCAATTCCACAGGCATTGATAGACCATTAGTGCCTTGCCCAAGTGAGTTTCAGCAATTTCCCCTTTATGTAAAGAAATTCATCAAAATATAGTGTTCCTTGATTTACATTTACCTGAATCAGTGTCTTGATCTTGACTCTGATCCCACACAGCTCACAGCACAGCCCACTACACACTCCAACAGCACACTACACACTCCGACAGCACAGCCCACCTCAACAGCACAGCACACTACACACTCCAACAACAACAACAACAACAAGATTCCATTTATAAAGCGCCTTTCACGTCAGGAGGACGTCCCAAGGCGCTGCACAGTTGGGTCAGGACCCGAGCAGGGGGAGGGAAGGGAGGGAGTGAGGAGGGGGGAAATGGTCAGGGTGAGGGGAGGGAAGGGAGGGAGCGAGGAGGGGGAAGAGAGTCGAGAGGAGAGCTGAAGGCTCGGTCAAAGAGAAAGGTTTTGAGACCGGCCTTGAAGGAGGAGAGGGAGGAAGCGGCGAAGGCACTGGGGGATGGAGTTCCAGAGCCTAGGGGCTGAGAGACTGAAGGCCCGACCACCGATGGTAGGGCGATTGGGGCGGGGGACATGGAGCAGACCGGAGCCGGAGGAACGGAGGGTACGGGCAGGTAGGTAGGGGGATAGTAGGTCAGAGAGGTAGGAGGGAGTGAGGCCGTGAATGGCCTTGTAGGTGAGGATGAGGATCTTGAAATCAATCCTCTGGGGGATGGGGAGCCAGTGGAGGCGAGCGAGGGTGGGTGTGATGTGGTCGCGAAGCCTGGTGCGGGACAGTACACGAGCTGCAGAGTTCTGAATGACCTGCAGCTTGTGGAGGGAGGTGGCGGGAAGGCCGGCGAGGAGAGAGTACCCATAGTCCAGCCTTGAGGTGACAAAGGCGAGGACCAGGGTTTCAGCAGCGTGAGGGGTGAGGTAGTGCCGTAGTCTGGCGATGTTCCAGAGGTGATGGAAGGCGGTGCCAGTTGTGGTGCGGATGTGAGGGACAAAGGACAGCTCAGGGTCGAACAAAACGCCGAGGTTCCTGAGCGGCTTTGAGAGGTGGAGAGTGCAGCCTTGGATGCTGATGGTGTCGGCGCCTGAGGTGCGGAGGCGCTGACGTGAGCCAATCAGGAGGGCCTCGGTTTTTCGCACATTGAGCTGAAGAAAGTTGTCTCTCGTCCAGGACTCGATGTCAGACAGGCAGCTGTCAGGACATCGGTGGTCGTGGAGTTGAGAGTAGAGGAGGAAAGGTAGAGTTGGGTGTCATCCGCATACATGTGGAAGTTAACTCCATGTCTGCGGATGATGTCACCACAGGGGGAGCATATAGAGGGTGAAGAGGAGGGGACCGAGGACAGAGCCCTGAGGGACACCACATGAGACAGTGCGGGGGGTGGAGGAGAAGCCATTTGTTGAGACAAAGTGAAGACTCCAGCAGCACACTACACACTCCAACAGCACAGCCCACCTCAACAGCACATCACACTACACACTCCAACAGCACACTACACACTCCAACAGCACAGCCCACCTCAACAGCACAGGCCACGGCAACAGCACAGCCCACCTCAACAGTACAGCCCACAGCAACAACACAGCCAACAGCAACAGCACAGCCCACCTCAACAGCACAGCCCACAGTAACAGCACAGCCCACCTCAACAGCACAGCCCACAGTAACAGCACAGCCCACCTCAACAGTACATCACACTACACACTCCAACAGCACAGCCCACGGCAACAGCACAGCCCACGGCAAGAGCACAGCTGGCTACTTGCTCCAGGAAGAAAATACAGTAAAACTGAATTGATGCCGATGGAACAAGGTTGAAACCTCAAATGAGGAGTTTTAACTGGGAATCTACCGAATTCCTGAAACTGTACAGGGCAGAGTTGATAGTCAAAGTGGCACTATTGCTTGTTCCAGTCAATCATCATCTACACACATGGCATTCATGTTTATAGATGATGATTGACGGTAATAAGCAATAGTGCATGTTCTGTAGGCACACTCTTTCAATCCTTGCTCAGAGAATTTTGACCTTTAATGTGGAAATACTGTGCTTTAATATTTAGTATTTACCTTAGTCTTTTTAGGTAATGATTTATTTATGTCTGAAACTATTATGAGGGCCACTCTTGTGTTTGCAGTCATCATTCCACTAATTTATCAGTAGCAAAATACATACATAAGGTCGCAAGAAAATTTTGTCTGAAGGTGGCCTGTTTCATCTTTCCAGAATATCCAATCATACCATCTTCGCATTAAAGTTGTTTCTTGAATGAATCTAATATTGCGGCCTGAACCTGTGCCCTCGTATCTTACTTCCTTAGTGTACCTGAAATTACTGTTCTGGAAATGATTTCTCCTTAGCGACTAGCAAAACTCCTCCTAATTTTAAATCCTTTGATCAGGTCACCTCTCAACCTTCTCTATTCCAATTAACTTAGGACCAGTTCCTCCAGTCTCTCTTCATAGGTCAAACCACTCATCCTTGGTATCATTCCAGTAAGTCTCCTATGCAACCTCTCTTCCTAAAGTGGGGAATAAATTGTGCCAAAACCAAATGTGACATTCCTCTGCACTTAAAGGATACAGGAGTTTCAGGCTCTGATGTGCTGCAAGGTGTGTGTAGAAGTACTGTCCTGAATAACACATGGTGCAGTTTACACAACGTGCCTTCAGTCTCAAAAGTCAAGGATATTTGAAAGGTCATTAACTCCTAAACAATTTCAAATGAACAACTTGTACGAATATTTAACTAACTGAATAACATTGAGGTGATGTAACAAACCACAGCACATGTAGCCAAACCAACATTACCACTCTTAACACACAAGAATATTGCACTCTGTCACAGACTACACCCACTCCTCTAACTGTGGTTTACTAACAATTTAGACAGGTTAAGTAGCATCTGTTTAGTTTTACATTAGCAAAGGTCCTTTCTGTCTGTTCAAGTGGAAACTAACGATCCCATGGCACTTTTCAAAATGTTTTACTGGTCTGGGTGATATCCTCCTGAAATGGCTAACAATCTTCTTCAATAGTTACCCTCCATATTTTTGTGTTATTAGCAAATTAACAATTTTGTTCTGTATACCAGAATACAGATCATTTATATAAATGGAAAATGTTGTGGTCTGAAGAGCACTATTTACATAATAATTAATAATAAATAATCCTTGCATTTAATACAGTGCCTTATCACATCTTCGAAGCGGCTCAAAACGCTTCACAGAATATACTGTAAAGTAAATTGACCGCATATTTTATGGGCGAAAGGTGGCAGCCAATTGCGCAGAGCAGTGTCCTACAAACAGCCGTGGATTTTAAGTGACCAATTTATTATTAACCCCGGAAAAGCGATCCGCCAATTGACCAACAACCAGGTTTCTACTTACTGCTAGTTACTGCTTCTTTCTGGCGTAAAGAAACTTGCCCAACATTTCGCCCTGCCAGGAATCGAACCCAGGTCTCTCGCTTGCAAGACTTGCTCTAACCACTGAGCTACAGGACTCCACATCTCTCTACTATGAAAAAACATCATGTATTTCCACTCTGTTTCATATCTTTCAAATAATTTTCTATTCATTCTGCCACTTTTCCATGTGTACCTGCACCTTAATTCTGTTAACAAGCCACTTATGCATCACCTTATCAAATGTCTTCTGAAAATCTATGTACACCACATTCACAGAAGTTTATTTGAAACCCAAGCTCCACATCAGGACTTTGAGGGGGGGAAGGGGGAGAGCAGGGAGATCAAAAGCATGGTCAAAGAGGAGGGTGTTGAGATGCGAATTGAAGGTGGCAATGGAGGGGGCAAGACAGAGGGACTGCAGGATGGAGTTCCAGAGGGTGGTACAGAGTAGTGGAAGGCCTGCCCGCCAATAGCGGGGCGAGCAAAGTGGAGAATGTGAAGCAGGCCGGAGCCCGCTGAACGGAGGGAGCGAACAGGATGGTAGGAGTATAGGAGGTCACAAAGGTAGGGGGGAGCAAGACCGTGGAGGGCTTTGAAGGTGAGGACCAGGGTCTTGAACTGTATCCTCTGTGTGATGGGAAGCCAGTGGAGTCGGGTAAGGATGGGGATGATAGGGTCACGGAGCCCAGTGCAGGAGAGGACACGGGCTACTGAGTTCTGGATGATCTGCCGCCTGTGGAGGGAGGAGTTGGGGAGGCCGACAAGCAATGAGTTTGCAGAGTCGAGCCTCGATGTAATGAAAGTATGTATGAAGATTTTGCAGCCTGTGGTGTGAGACAGTGGCGACGTTGCGGAGGTGTGCAAGGCAGAGCAAGTCATGATGCAGATGTGGGGTAGAAAGGATAGTTTAGGGTCAAACAAGGTTCCGGACTGGCTTAGCAAGGTGGAGTGGCCATGGATGGTGATGCTGTCAGCGCCTGAGGTGAGGCGTCGTTGACTGGAGCCAATCAGGAGAGCCTCGGTCTTGTTGATGTTCAACTGAAGAAAGTTAGCGCTCGTCCAGGACTTGATGTCTGACAGACATTTTATCAAATGCAATATAGTACCCTTAACCTTCAGATCTTGAAGAAGAGTGCCAGCCTTATAACTTCCATGTTGTAAAATTTCTATGATTTTATGGAGTTCTGTAGCGTAGTGGTTAGAGCGCTATCCTCCCAAGCTAGAGGACCTGGGTTCGATTCCCAGGTGGGGCGAAACCTTAGGCAAGTTTCCTTTCTCCACATGCTTCAATTTACCTAGCGCTAAGTAGGAATCCGGTTGTTAGTCGATTGGTCGATAATCCCTTTTTTAAAAAAAAGGAAAAAAGTAATGTGGTCACCCAATTCACGACTGTTTATGGGACACTGCTGTGCGCAAATGGTTACTGCATTTCACCCATAAAATATACATTCAATTCAATTTGCAGTAGTCTGCGATGTGCTTTAAGGCATCTCAACGATGTGATAAGGCGCTACATCAAATGCAACGATTATTAGTTATTATTATTGTTGTTGTTAATATTATTTTTATGATCTAGAATTTATAGAAATCCTGAGATGAACAGAACATTTCTTGGAATTCTGACTGTATTTATGTTTTTTGGAATTTGTACATGAGAAGTATTCCATAAGACCATAAGACTTAGGAGCAGGAGTAGGCCATTCGGCCCCTTGAACCTGTCCCGCTATTTAATAAGATCATGGCTGATCTTCTAACCTAATTCCATTTACCAGCCCTATCCCCATATCCCTTAATCCCTTTATCCTTTAAAAATCTATCAAACTCAGTCTTGAATATGTTCAAGGACTGAGCATCTACAGCCTTCTGGGGTAGAGAATTCCACAAATTCACTACCCTCTGAGTGAAGAAATGTTTCAACTCAGTTCAAAAAGGCTGACCCTTAATCTTGAGACCATGACCCCTAGTTTTGGATTCTCCAACCAAAGGAAACAGTGCCACAGCATTTACCCTGTCAGGACCCTTAAGAATCTTCTAGGTTATAATCATTCAGGCAGTTGAGTTTGTACACCCCACAGGTCATAAGAGTTATACTGTGAGGGCACTTTCCACATATGAAATCAGTACAGCTTGTACAAAGACGGGGTCACTGCCCGTAGGAGACAGTATCTGTGAGTGTCACACAAGTCAACACTGGTTATTAAAACTACTGTATTGCCAGATGATGATTTTGCTGTGAAGAATGGGTACAGTCTCTCGCACAGTACTTTATATTAAAGTCTCTTTGAGTATCTGCAATCTAATTAGATTCTCAGCTGGTGGAGGTAATTATAACCTCATGTACAGACGAGAAGCATCTTTCCAGCAGTTCTTTTAGTGATCTCATCTAAAAATAATATATTTTTGCGGAAGAATTGCAGAAAAATTTGATAAATTTTGTGGAAAATTGCGGAGGGTTGATTGGTGTTGTTGAGAACTTGGGATGTCCTCCTGACATGAAAGGTGCTATACAAATGTAATTTGTTGTTGAGAGTCTCATTTTGTGAAACAACCCAGATTAAAACTATAAGCATATATTTCGTGAACATGTAGTTATGTTTAAAATACTAAAAATGTTAATTTGAATAGTACACCACTGACCAAGAATTCATCGCTGAAGCTCAGTTTCGGCCAGGCGAAGTCGATTTCCCGATTGCGCCGCATCCCAATCCCAACACTCCCTGCTCCGCACACAGTAGCAGCGTTGAGCAAACAGCACACAATGTGCATCTGTGACGAAGGAGAGCATTTGTAGCGAATCTCACGGAATCTCACTTTTCTATGGGCCTAGCAAATAACCAACCATCAAGGGAGACAATTCCACATTTCCACAACTCACTGTGTGAAAAAAACACTTCCTGGTTTCACTCCTAATTGGCCTAGCTCTAATTTTAAGATTGTGCCACCTTGTTCTGGATTCTATCCCCAGAATCCATGTCAAGTCCCTTTATCATTTTGAACACCTGGAGTAGATCACCCCTCAATCAGAGAACGTTCTTGTTATTGCTACTCTCTGTGTCCTGTCTCCAAACCAATCACCAGCCCATGTCATAAGGTTACCTCCATTTTTATGTGCTTTCATTTTCACAAACCAACTCTTATGCGGAACCCAATGCCTTTTGCCCATATAGACAACATCCACAGTCACTCCCTTACCCACCATCCTAGTGACCTCTTCAAAAAAGTCAATTAGAGTCAACAGGATTTACTGCAAAGTGAGAAGTGCAGTGATTGTTTATTTACAGGCAAATGTGGAACTAATTTGTGTCACAATCAGCCATGAAGCCAATGAGCTATTGTATCTCCCTTCACTGGGGCCTATTGGGCTGAGGCTTCTCTCCCGCCTCAAATCAAATTTCTCCCTAATTCAGTTACTTTATAAATTAACCTCATGGTGTAATGCGCTCTGAAACATTTCTATTTTAGGTTAAAGTCGCAACTACAAGCCCAGAATCCCTCACGCTCATATACGTCATATCCTGAAAGTCTGCCCGAGGCATTTCCGCCGGCCCTGCGTTCCCCGTATCTCCAGTCAGTGGGTGTGGTTCCGGCGCCCCCTGGTGTCGGTACGGCCTGGTGTGTCGGGGTCTGAGGTGGGTGGGGCTGAGGTGTGGGGGGGGCTGAGGTGTGGGGGTGGGGCTGAGGTGTGGGGATGGGGCTGAGGTGTGGGGGTGGGGCTGAGGTGTAGTGGGGGCTGAGGTGTGGGGGGGGGGCTGAGGTGTGGGGATGGGGCTGAGGTGTAGTGGGGGCTGAGGTGTGGGGATGGGGCTGAGGTGTGGGGGGGTGGCTGAGGTGTGGGGATGGGGCTGAGGTGTAGGGGGGCTGAGGTGTAGGGGGGGCTGAGGTGTGGGGGGGGCTGAGCTGTAGGGGGGGCTGAGCTGTAGGGGGGCTGAGGTGTAGTGGGGGCTGAGGTGTGGGGATGGGCTGAGGTGTGGGGGGGCTGAGCTGTAGGGGGGGCTGAGCTGTAGGGGGGCTGAGGTGTAGGTGGGGCTGAGGTGTGGGGTGGGGCTGAGGTGTGGGGATGGGGCTGAGGTGTGGGGGGGCTGAGCTGTAGGGGGGGCTGAGCTGTAGGGGGGCTGAGGTGTAGTGGGGGCTGAGGTGTGGGGATGGGGCTGAGGTGTGGGGGGGTGGCTGAGGTGTGGGGGGGCTGAGGTGTGGGGGGCTGAGGTGTGGGTGGGGCTGAGGTGTAGGGGGGCTGAGGTGTGGGGCTGAGGTGTGGGGGGCTGAGGTGTGGGGGTGGGCTGAGCTGTAGGGGGGGCTGAGGTGTGGGGGGGCTGAGGTGTGGGGGGTGGCTGAGGTGTGGGGGGGCTGGCTGAGGTGTGGGGGGGTGGCTGAGGTGTGGGGGGGGCTGAGGTGTGGGGGGTGGCTGAGGTGTGGGGGGGGCTGAGGTGTGGGGGGGGCTGAGGTGGGTGGGGGGCTGAGGTGTGGGGGGGGGGGCTGAGGTTGGTGTCAGGCGGTGTCAGCCTGGTGCATGCTCGCAATCTTAATTTAGTTCTTGTTATGCGGTGACACTGTTGACATGGGAGTGGAGAAATCAGCCTGAGTTTATGCTCATTGTGTGAGATCTGGATTAGCTGTAATGTCTTTCAAGATCAAAAATCCTGATGATACGGACTGGATGATTCCAATGATCAATTAGATGAAGAGCTAAATGGTAGCCAGTGCCTGTTGGACATGCGTAACATAATTATTTTGGCCTGTCAGACCTCTAATACGTGCAGAAAACCCATCATCATGCTTTAGAGAATCCAAACCAGAGTTCGATGGATGCCATGTGAAATTTCCCTGTGTCTGGAATGGAATATGCATTCACTCTGTTCACTCACTTCAGGACCATAGAATCTGCATTGTGGAAACTGCCGGAGTTTAACCAGTTAAAACCACATAGCTTGTCATTGAAAGCACTGCCTACAGGCTTTGTGATGCTTGTCCAACTTGGACTGCTCTACCTGTGAGAACTTTAACTTGTAGGGTTCATATGGGAAGATTCACTGCCCACCCCCATGAACTCTCTGCCCCTCCAAGGTCCACCAACAAGCCAGCCTGGCCTATGTATCATCAGCAGTGCCTTGGGAGTCCTGTGTATCTACATAGCTTAAGAACTGGACTGCTGCAGAGAATTGACTTGATTATGCATTCGCTTAGAGTCAGCAAATTCCAAAGAGATCCAGGTTACTAGTCCCCTCACCCCAAGTAGGAATACATGCCAGTGGAGGCAAGATCTTTAGGCAGCAAAGTGCAGTGACAGACTGAAAGTTTAGGTTTAAAGCACAATGGGTTTACACAGAGATAAGTAATTGCTGTTGTGATCCCTGGGTTTCTTATTTCCCTCCAGGTTTAATACGACATTTACAGTTGGTTGTGACAATGCAGCTCCTTATCTCAAGATGCTTCAATCAAAGATTTTTTGCTACACCTAGCAAGACAGCCTCTCTGTTGTTAAGATTTGGGTGTCTGCAACAAAGGCTCTATAATGAGAAGAGAAACTATTGGCAATACTTGAAACAAAAAATTATAAAGAAACCATCACCACCCTACCAACATGTTTGCCAAGTGGGAGACCCAATCCTACGCTCCAAAGCTTCGCCTGTTAATACCTCTGAACTCCATAGCCCACAGATGGCAAAACTGATCAGAACTCTGGTGATGGTCATGCGGGAGAAGAATTGCATTGGTTTAAGTGCTCCACAGATTGGTGTCCCCCTCCAGGTCATAGCAATGGAATTCACAGAGCAGATCTTTCAGACAAACCGTCCCAGTATGAGGCAAATAAAGGAAATGAACCCATTTTCGCTGAAGATCTTTATAAACCCCAGTGTTCGAGTTTTGGATTCACGAACAGTCCAGTTCCCTGAGGGTTGTGAAAGTATATCTGGCTTCGCAGCCTGTGTGCCCCGCTACCATGCTGTAGAAATTATGGGTGAGTTATACACAAAGAGGGGTTGCAGAATCTTAACAGCGCAGATAATGCTGCAGGGTTGGGGAAGGGTGCCATGTAAAAGTGTAAATACTGCATAGATTTATCTATTACTGTCAAAGAACAACAAAACGAAAAACAAAAGTTTTAATGGTTTTGTGTCTAATTCAAGTCTCCAACCATCTCTCTCTGCATATTTTGGCTTTCATTCCTAGACTTCCCCGTGTTTCATTTTTACTTTTCTCCATTTTCTTTTTTCTCTCAACTTTTTGGTTTACCTTAATATTAATTTTACTTCAAATTTTACTTTTACTGGAAAAACATAAACAGAAGTTGGGATAACAACAACAAATGACATTTGTATAGTGCCTTTCACTTTAGGAGGATGTCCCATAACCAACTAGTGCCTATCCCCCTGAGGGGGTCCCCTCGGTGCTAAACTGGCTCCAAGGTGACATGTTCGGCCACAGAATGGCGGAATCGAGCCAGCCCTCTGTGGTGGTTCTGAGCCAGGCGAGTCCTCAATACTCCAGAGCACCGATTATAGCACAGGCTCATTGGCATGACTTCTCACTCAGCTCCCATTGACTTTGCAAGCCAAAGCCCTAACAGGTAGTGTGGTCCTAGCTGGATAAGCCTTGGGAAAGCAAGCCAGGCAGCACTCTTAAATGCAAGCTATGCAGTTTTAGCTGGTTGGACTCCCAACAGTTAGTCAGTGAATGCTCTGGGGATCCAAACCTTGGCTTTTGCTCACCTGTACCTAATACTTTCTGGAATATGTTAAGATGTTGTTAGAGGGAGCTGTTCAGAGCAACATGGTTGTTTTTCTTGGATAATTTTGAGTGATTATTAGTTACTTCTATCCTCAGGTTTGAACGAACATGGACAGCCAATCGTATGGCAGACTTCAGGTTGGACAGCTCGCATTGTCCAACATGAAATGGACCATTTAAATGGCATACTTTACATCGATAAAATGGATAGTAAAACATTCCTGAACATTAACTGGATTGTATTGAACGAATAAAACTACTCCATAGAAAAGTCTTGATCAATGTGTGTGAAGAGGCCAAAAGGTGGAGGGGGCAACAACATTGTGACATCTCATTTCCAACCTCCAGCTAACAAAGACATTCAACTAAATAATCTTATGAGAAAATTGAATGGAAAGAAAATCTAGTCACCGTTCACATCTACACTGATTGCCTTTGTTGCACTGACACCTTGAACTGCAAATCTACCATACTCACTGTGGTTATCTATGCTGTAATTCCCTTCCTCACATTTGGTCTGCCCAAGATTGCTTTTCTTCACCTCTTCTACAAGGCCCGCCACTGTTCCTATCTTGAAGCAGATGCTACTGAAACCTTAATTCACACTTTTATCTCCTGCCTAGTCTTTTCTTATCCATTATTTATGATCTCCCTAGATCCTTGCTAAAAACTCCAGCTAATCCATAACTCTGCCACCCACATCCTTACCTATTCCAAATCTTGGGATACCCATCACCTCAGCTTCCCCAGGCACCACTGGTTTCTTGACTCCCAATTTACTCTCACCTATAAATCCTCTCACACTTTCGCACCTCCCGATCTCTGATCATCTTCAACCCTACTCTCCTTGCTCCCTCCACTCAGCTAACTCGGGCATGCTACATGTCCCATGCCCTCCTCACCCACCATTGGTGGCCGAGCCTTCAGCAGTTATGCTCCTTACCCCTCTACCCCAATGTCTTGCCCCTTACTATCTGTCTTTAAATCCCATCTAAAAAAGTACCTCTTTGACCTCACCTATGGTAACCCCCCTTTCCTCCTTTGCTTGCTTGGCATCCGACCCAGATTATGAAGTGCTCTGAAACATTATCCTACATGAAGGGCACTATATAAATTATTATTGCTGTAAACTTTCCAGCATACCATTTATTGCTAACAGAACAAGTAAAGTTGTTACCTCAGCCATTAGGAGAGGCGATAGAAGTACAAAGAGCTTCCCCTCAAAGGTCTAATGATAAACAGATAGATCTCATGGCAGGGTTTTTCTGCCAGTGGTAACAAAAAATATTAGGACTGAGTAGAATTAAAATAAAATAAAAAATAATCCTTGCATTTGATATCACAGCTTTTGCGTCAGAAGAAAGTTCAATATATTTCACAGGATTTACTGTAAAGTGGTAGTGTATTTTGTAGGCAAAATCACAAACATGCAGTGAACATGGATCAGCAAGGTTTTTATTTTAAGGCTCTCAATCAGTAAATAGAGGAAGGTGAGAGAAGAAACCTTTGAAAACTCCGACATAAATCTGGGAAACAGCTTTTTGTTTTCTATTGTTTGTTGGGAGTCGGGTTCATGCAAGATTCCAGCCAGTCCATCAGGATCTGTACTGCACAGTCAGAGGAACTGACATCAGAATCAAACAGTGTTCAGCAAAACAAACAAAATTCAGCTTTTTTATAAATAGGCAAAATGAGCAGCAGCTCTACTCCGTGCTCTTCTATTGAATCTCTAGTCTTGCACATTCTTCTTCTGCTTCCAGCCATGGCTGTTTGGGTTGTGGCACTGGGAAGGGCTGGATGCAATAAAATCAGATGAAGATTTTAAAAATTGCCAGAAGTAATGGACGCTCAGCCTTCCTGACCAAAGTCTTCTGTAAATTTTTTCACCTTCAGGAGATCATCAGCATTGACAGTGGGCCGTGTGGTTGCGAGTGAGCGAAGCATGTCGGACTGTACACAAAGGGAAATAAACAAATTCAGGATTGTAATCCAGGAATGAAGAGAGAGCAGCTTCTCTACAGTAACATCTGGTAAAGTTACTCCTCTCCATGACCAAAAGTGCCATAGTCTCTTTCACATCTGCAGCAATGTAATAATAATAGAATAATCCTTGCATTTGATATAGCGCTTTTCACGTTGGGAGGACGTCCCAAAGCGCTTCACAGAACACACTGTAAAGTGAATTGACTGTATATTTGTGGGCGAACGCGGCAGCCAATTGTGCACAGCAATGTCCCACAAACAGTCGTAGATTGAAAATGACCAATTTATTATTGTTTTTGGTTTTGGAGGAATTATTATTAGGCTCTGTGTGGAGTAAGGAAACTTGCCCAAGGTTTCGCCCTCCGCCTGGAATTGAACTCAGGTCTCTCACTTGCAAAGCGAGTGCTCTAACCACTGAGCTACAGGACTCCACATCCTGCTACTAATGTAGCAGTTATGCTGTTCTTTACCCCAATGCAGCAGTTATGGGATGTCTAACACTTCCCACTCTTTAGGTCCACACCTCAGTTGCCATCTTATAATTTAAAATAATTACAGGGAGAGAGAAAGAGAGAGAGGACAAATTAGGTTCCTCATATTAGGTCCAAGGAAACATGCCTAATAAAGCCAGAAAGTTCTGCATTAATCAACTGATGGTTGACCAGACTGTTTGACTCATCAATGAAAATTAGACATTTACACATATTCTCAGTCCTGTGAGCCAAAGCCCTGATGGGTTGAGTGGTCTCAGCTGTGAACATCATACCATTGTACTGTAACTATTATCTAGAATGCTGTGTGAAGTTCTGGTAACTTAATCTTACAATCCATGCCGGTGCTTATACTCCACACAAATTTTTACTCCATCCTATACCTTTCTGTTCCCTTAATTGAAGCCGGATTGGCCCTCACTGAGGGAACCAAGCTAAGTTACCCGGTGCTAGGATTCTAATATATGATGAAAGCTTAAGGAAAGTATTGTTCTCATGACTCACCAACAGTTCAAAGAGTGTAAAGTTAAGTCATATAGACTGAGTTTGATTTTCTTAAACATATTAAGGGTAATAGACTTGTATAGGAAAATAGATACATTTCTGGAGCAAGAAAGGATTGAGGGATATGCTGGGAGATAGGCGGTGGGGGTGGAACTGTCAAAGGGTTGGGCTATTGAGTGTAATGGCATTTTCCTTAATAATATTCAGTATATAAAGTTGATGCTGGTGAGAAACTTCCATCACATCAATTAACTCAAGTTGCACAGTGTTCTGCTCTACTTTCCCTTCCTCCTAGAGTAGGCAGTCACAGTACCTCACCTGACCAGATGTCTAAATGTTCAAACATAGCCAGCGAGGGCCAATGGACTGCCTGTTTGTGGAGGCATCATAGCCAATGTCAGCCCTGTGTTCCATCTGTCGTTTATTTCCAAAAGAGGTAACTAAGCAGTACAAGGAACGGAAAGCTTTGGGTGCTAAAATAAACTAGAGCATTTAAATAAACATATACCCAGCTCTGATTAGTTACCACAACATAGATCAGAGCTTGAATCTGGGATACCCATGATGGATTGCTCTGTATTATTCATTGTAGCCAAATATATTCCAGGAGGAGGCCTTACCATGCAAACGATAGGCTCCAAGAGCTTGTCACTGGGAACTTCCATCCACGTCATCTCGATTGCTGCAGTATCTCCCGGAGAGCATGGGGTCAGCAGATCATCAATCAGAACGTTGGGGTTGGATCTCGATGGTCCACGAATCTGACAAGAGACAAGCAAATTTAGAGAGCGCCTTTCACGTTGGGAGGAAGTCCCGAGGCCCTGTACAGTTGGGTCAGGACCCAAAACGTGACAAACTGCAACAAAAATCGAAGTTCATTAGCCGTTGATGTCTGATAGGCAAATGGACAAAACATCAGGAGACAGGGAATCAAGACTGGAAGTAGAAAAGTAGATTTGGCTGCCATCCTTATAGTTAACCCCTTGTCTGTGGATGGCATCCCCAATATGCCATTTGGATAAGGAAAAGGAGAGGACTGAGAATAGAGTCCTGAGGTACTCCACAGATGACTGTGCAACGGAAGGAGGAGACTTTGTTTCAGCTGTGTGGACCCAGAGGTAGATGAGGGAGGAGAGGCAATTGTAGACAGTGTTTCCATAGTCTCATAAGTGGCAGAGAGATCAAGGAGGACAATGAAGCAAACAGAACCCGGAACACAGAGAGGTGAGAGAGAGAATATGTCATTGGTGATACAGGGTGATGTGCTTCAGAGTAAGAGCAGGAGGAGAATGGAGTAAAACCAAGAGGGGCTGAGGAAATGAGAGTCATGCCTCCACCACTCTGGAAAGTGTATCCAAGTGGGGAGGCCTTGATAAGGGAGTAGGTGGGGGTGCTCGTGCTTAAACAGGGAATGTTTTGTTGGAGGAGATATTTTGTAGTGATGTATACGGGGAAGGCGGGGGAAGGGCATTGGGATGAGACAGGATCCACATTTTCATTGCCCAAGGACCTTAAGAAAGTTATGCCTCATTCAGAGCATTTACCTGTTTAAAGTGTGTTGCAGACTGGACTTTGCGAACTGGCTGCATTAATGCGTCACGTACAATGATACTGATGTCGGCTCCAGAGTAACCTTCTGTTTTTCTGCCGAGTTCCCGGAAATCGACCTCAGACAGGCAGTGAGGGGTGCTCCCCAGGTGCAGCCTGAACATGTGGACTCGAGCCGGCTCCTCTGGTAGTGGGATATAAATCCGCTTCTCAAACCTCAATAAAAACACAAGTAGTAGAATAAAACTAAACTTCACCCACTCACAATTTTACATTTACTTTGGATGGTCGTCTTAAAGCACTTCACAGAGCCAGAGGTAGGGTTGAGAGAACTAAGGAAGGAAGGGGGTTGGGGGTGAAGCAGACTGGTGATCACTGAGCAGAGGGAGCAGCTAGGATGGTAGGAGTCTAGGTGGTTGCAGAAGTAAAGTCAGGCAAGGCTACTCACTGCTGTTCTCACCAACTTCAGGAGCAAATATCAGCCAAGGCTGGGATTCAAAGAAGGATGTGTACATGGCAGCTCTCGGGTGCATTGGGAACAGTGTGAGTAAACTCACCTCCTCCTAATCGCAGCATCCAAGACCCAAGGGATGTTTGTGGCCCCAAGAACCAAGATACCATCACTACTGTTTCCAACTCCTGAGGGAAAACACACATTGTTAGTCCAAAAACCAACCTTCCTGATAATCTATAATCTGGCTCATCGGCAGGACTTGGAAGGGCAGACCAGTCACTGGGGCAGGGAATCCTCCCAGTCAGCTCCTGTTAACCCTGCAAACCAAAGCCCTAATGGATAAGATAGTCCTAGCTGGACAAACAGCGGGAAAGCTTGCCAGACAGTGATGCTATGAATAGCAAGCCATGTGGTTTTAGCTGGTTAAACTCCAGCAGTTACCCGTGTGCATTGGGGTCCCCAAGCCTTCGCTCTTGGCCAACCTGCACCTAATACTTTCCGGAATTAAGTAAGCAGGATGCATCCCTCGAGGGAAAGTGCGCAGTCCATTTCTACAGTTCATCTTTGGAATTTCCACGTATAGGTGGGAGGCATGGAATTCTCAGTTTGCTTGGGATACTCTTGAGCACGGTGATGGGTTTCCGCATGTTTCACACACCCGGCTGTCAGACATCCTTCATCTTTCTCACATTCCTGTGATAAATAATTTGTACCTTGCATCTGTACTAAAAACTCAGTTTTTATGCGTCTGGCAGCTTCACTCTCATTCTCATTCCGGGATCCGCAAAGAGAATCAACTTCATCAATAAATATGATTGAGGGTTTCTGCTGTCGCGCCAGCTCAAACAGGTTCTTTACAAGTCTAGAGGAAAAAGACTCAGCCATGAAATACACACATCAAAGGCAGAAAAAAATCAAAATCAATTTTCCCCCTGTGCCGTGGAACCATAGTGATGTATCGAACCCAACTCTACAGACCATTTAAAGAAAATCCTCCTGGAGGAGAGCTAAGGGGAATCTCCTTAGAGCTGAACTGGCTCCAACGTGACATGCCTGTCAACAGAATGTCAGAATCAAGCCAACCCTCTGGTTCCTGAGCCAGAAGGGTCCGCAGTATCCCAGGGCATTGCTGATCCCAGCCTGGCTCTTCAGCAGGACTTGGAAAGGCAGACCAGTTCACCGGGGGCAGCGAGTCATCCCACTCAGCTCGGGTCGGGGGGGTCCTAACTGGACAATCAGCGATAAAGCTTGCCAGACAATACTTTCAATAACAAGCTATGTGGTTTTAGCTTAGACTCCCAACAGTTACCCCAACACACACTCTGGGGACATCAAGCTTTGGCTCTTGCCATCTTCCGCCTAATATTCTCCAGAATTAGGTAAGTAAGATGCATGCCTCCAGGGTGATAGTGCACATTCCATTCCAATAAACATCTCGGAAATTTCCATGTATGGGTGGGATACGGTAATAGGTTTCCACATGTGTATGGTAATAGGTTTCCACATGTGTCAAGACACTCGGTTGACCAAAAACATTTTTTTTATATACAGGAAATTACTAAGCTAATAAAACCTGGATATTCAAAAGCCTAAGGCTGGCCACTTACTTTTCACTCTCTCCTAACCATTTGGACATGAGGTCAGATGAGGAAACAGAGAAGAAAGTGGAGTTATTGGCCTCTGTTGCCACGGCTTTTGCCAGAAATGACTTTCCTGTTCCTGGAGGTCCAAAGAGGAGAATCCCACGCCAAGGAGTTCGCTTCCCTGGAAAATCCAAACCAGATCCCGATTGTCAGTAAGATAAAGGCAACAGGTGATACCCACCTCTGCACCATCCTCAATTCTAGCAACTCTAAATCCACTCCATCATCAAAATCATTGTCTTCAACCTAATCACTGTTTGCTTATACCCTTACCCGCAGAGCTGAAACCCTTATTTATAAATCTGGCACCTTAAGGGTAAAGTTTTGAATGCTCTCCTTGCTGACCAACCAAAGAAACATCTCCAGAAATTTCAACTGGCCCTGACCTCTGTAGCTCAAATCTTCCCTTATGCACCGATCACCCCCATCCTTGCCAAACTATTGGCTCCCAATACCTCAGGGAATCTAGATTCTTGTGTTAGTCTTCAATTTCCTTTGTAGTCTGACTCGGTCTTCACTTCTCCAGGCTTCATTCAGCCCACAAAACATTCACTGTACTTTACAGTATATCCTATGAAGATGCTTTGAGATATACTCTGTGTGAAAAGCACCAAATGTAAGGATTACTATTATTCTCATCCTCATATTGGGAACCCAACCAGCACTTCCAAAACCTTCACTTCACCTTGCTACTTCACTTCCTGCCTTCAAACATCCTCTTAAAAAACATGATATCTTTCACCATGCACAAAATATACAGTCAATTCACTTTAAAGTATGCTCTGAAGTGCTTTGAGGCGGCTCGAAGATGTGATAAGGGACTATATCAAATGCAAGGATTATTATTACTTCCTTGGCCCGGGGCGGTGGGGGGGGGGGGGGGGGGGGTGGAGAGAGAGGAAGAAGGAAGTATGCATGAGATAGAATGAAAGCCAGCCAAAGAGCAGGGAGAGTTAACTGCTGTGAATTATTTTGTCGATTCTTGTAAAGCAAGGTGTCCAAAAGATCAGTGAGTCAATGCTCTCTGACTTTCTTACCCACTCTGATGCCCTGAGCTATTGGGCTTAGGCCTTCACCTACATTTCTCAATAAAGCAACAAAAGTGGAGGAATGTGGGGCGGGGGGGGGGGGGGGGGAGAGAGATCTATTAATCCCCAAATTAATTTTAACAGAATTGAGCAAATAATTTGAACAATGTCTATGTACCTGTGAACAGATGAGGAAACTTGATGGGTAAAATCACAGCTTCTTTCAATGCCTCCTTTGCTCCCTCTAAACCAGCGACATCATTCCACCGAACATTTGGTTTCTCCATAACAATGGCACCTGCAAAAAAGCCGAACTAGTCTGTGGTTCACAGTAAATGTCTGCACAAAGGTGGCTCATTTGTGACACTCACCAATTGATTTGTAATGAGAGAATCCTACACGTAAATCTTGTGAGGAGCTTTGAGATGTCCTTCCTACACGAAGGGCATTATATTAAATGCAAGGATTCTTATCATTTGGTTTAATTAAATGGAGTATAGTGTGCTAGAGTGGGGTGTTGTGTTGGAGCAGGAGTCTGGTGTGCTGGTCTCTGACTTTGTGCAGAATTCACTAGGTACAAATTGATTTGTGCCTCTCATAAATTTAACACTTGTGATTCTTAATCAGATGTGTAGTCATTGTCTGAATTGTCATCACCAATACGAAGCCTTGTTTTACCTGACAATAGAAGTTCAGAGAAGGAATACATAGCCGGGAGAACAAAGCTATATATACATCAAGTGGATAGGTGGTGGCTGACGTACCCATCAATTGCTCCTGGAGTTTCTTCTTCTCTGGGTTTTCTCCCTCACTATCACTGTCACTGCTAAGATAGAAATGTAAGCATGAAGAAAGGTATGGTACTGTGTTAGCCAAGCAGCACCAGTCTCCATACCGCCATTTCTGACATCAATCTGAGCACCTCCCCTAGTCCAAGACCCATCTAAACCCCTTTTATTGGCACAATAGGTGATCTTACCCTTTGTCATTTTGCTGCGATTCTTTCACTGGTTTCTTTCCACTCTTGTCTTTGTTTTTTAAATATTCCTTCAGTTTTTCAGCCCTATCCAGATACTGGATGCATTTGGCTCGAATACTCTCCCTTGCTTTCTCTCCATGAGCCTCATCTGCAACACGAACAGAAGAGTTCACCATCTGTAGTTATCGAAATCCCTCAGTTGTACAAACTCCCAATTCTTGACATTCCAGCAATATTCCAGTTTATAATATAACACAGGAGGTTCAGGTACAGACTTTCCTGGAATAACTGCTAATGCCACAGTACCCATGACAAATACAATCAGTTAAGGCTATTTCACCAGTTTATTTCCTGCCTTGTAATCCACAGCGAAGATCCCAGAATCACTGACACTCTCACCAAATACTGACATACATTCATACTGACAAACAATAATAATAATCCTTGCATCAAGATAGCATTTTACATTGGGACAACATTTAAAGATCTTACTGTAAAGCATAGTATTTTTTAGATGATACTGACATACCGAACAGACATCAGATGTTAATACACATTCACACAGATGCTCACACAACACTCACGCCAGACACAGTCTCACATTTAATGGCATGAAGGAAATACTCGACGGCGTGCTGGTAAAGGCGAAGGGCTTCCTCGTAATTCTTTGCCTTGTCTTCTTCTGTGGCTTTAGTCACAAGGTCAATTGCTTTCTGAAATAATTAGAAACATTAAAAGTGAACCCCTGCACAGGACAAGCTCCTATAATCAATCTAAAATCCACTGTCCGTATGTGTTATTCAAGGGTCTTAGTCATCCTGCAAACAAGGTCTTCTTCATCCAATGATCCATGCTGGCTAGCTCGCAACAACTCCTTGAGACAACTCCCCTAGTTACACATTTTCTTGGATACCTTCACCCATATCCATCTCAGTTTGAAGAGCAGGCAACCGGTATCAAATGTAATGACTGTGTAATTGTAGGCAAACCTAGTAGACAATCTATACATATTAAGATCTCCCACGCAGCCACAAAGTCAATTATATTATTAGAAATAAATAATTTACTTTCATATAACATAAATGATTGGGTTGGGGGTTATATACTGGGCTCTGCCTGGATGACACAATTTTTAATCTTGGGGGATTCAAGAACACAGGATTTTGAAGAGAAATTCCCTTCTCTTTTCCAAAAGCAAGACCCTTTAATGTTCACCTCGACAGACTAAGACCTCGGTTTAAAATCTAATCCAAAGTGTTGTGTCTCTGACAATGTGGCGCTCTCAATACCAAGCTATGTGAGTTCAGCCGGTTAGACTCCAGCAGTTACCCCAACGCACACTCTGGGCTCCCCCCGAGCCTTGGCTCTTGCCAACCTGCGCCTAATACTCTCCGGAACTAGGTAAGCGGGAGGCCTCCCTCCAGGGAGAGAGAGAGCGCATTCCATTGCAACAATCCATCTCTGGGATTTCCATGTGTCGGTGGGATGTATGGAAACCTGTTTGGTTTGGAGACTCTTAAGCAGGTGATGGGTTTCCGCAGGTGTCAGATGAGCAAAATACCTCAACACTGCAATGGAGCTGTCAGCTTAGCCTTTTTTGACACGATCGCACTTCTGCATTGGATGCGGATAAGCGGGTACTCGTTGTGAGGCTATTTGGAGTTTCACTGTCCACACGACCGGACGGTAACGTCAGGTAATGAATATGATTCACTGGGATCATTGATTTCAAGATCCTCATCCTCACCTACAAGGCCATTCCCGGCCTCGCTCCCTCCTCCCTCTCCAACCTACTCTCCCCCTACCTGCCCGTACCCTCCGTTCCTCCGGCTCCGGTCTGCTCCACATCCCCCGCCCCAACCGCCCGACCATCGATGGCCTTCAGCCTCTCAGCCCCGAGGCTCTGGAACTCCATCCCCCAGTGCCTTCGCCGCTTCCTCCCTTTCCTCCTTCAAGGCCGGTCTCAAAACCTTTCTCTTTGGCCTTCAGCCTTCAGCTCCGCTCTCGACTCTCTTCCCCCTCCTCACCCCCTCCCTTCCCTCCCCTCACCCTGACCATTTCCCCCCTCCTCGCTCCCTCCCTCCCCTCCCCTCACCCTGACCATTTCCCCCCTCCTCGCTCCCTCCCTTCCCTCCCCTCACCCTGACCATTTCCCCCCAATGCTCGGGTCATGACCCAACTGTGCAGCGCCTTGGGACGTCCTCCTGACGTGAAAGGCGCTTTATAAATGGAATCTTGTTGTTGTTGTTGTTGGGAGCTGAGCCATGGCAAGGCCAGGCCGCCTCCTACCTGCAGGGTATTCGGTGCTGACATCTCACATTCTCCGGGCGTTCAAACTGTGGCAACGGGGCCGACCTTCAGCGGCTGCTCCGGGCTCTGACCGCGGGCCGGACGGGGCTCGGCGGCTGCTCCGCAAATTGACGATACGGTTCAATCCGGGACTGTCAGGGAAAATGGCGATCGATAGCGATCAACAAGACGCACAACGCCGCCCCGGCCTGGCGCCGCCACTGCAGTCCCTCCGCACACAGCGCCACTCCGGCCTGGCGCCGCCACTGCAGTCCCTCCGCACACAGCGCCATTCCGGCCTGGCGTCGCCACTGCAGCCCCTCCGCACACAGCGCCACTCCGGCCTGGCGCCGCCACTGCAGCCCCTCCGCACACAGCGCCATTCCGGCCTGGCGCCGCCACTGCAGCCCCTACGCACACAGCGCCACTCCGGCCTGGCGCCGCCACTGCAGCCCCTCCGCACACAGCGCCACTCCGGCCTGGCGCCGCCACTGCAGCCCCTCCGCACACAGCGCCACTCCGGCCTGGCGCCGCCACTGCAGCCCCTCCGCACACAGCGCCACTCCGGCCTGGCGCCGCCACTGCAGCCCCTCCGCACACAGCGCCACTCCGGCCTGGCGCCGCCACTGCAGCCCCTCCACACACAGCGCCACCCCGGCCTGGTGCCGCCACTGCAGCCCCTCAACAACAACAACAAGATTCCATTTATAAAGCGCCTTTCACGTCAGGAGGACGTCCCATAACACATAGCACATGGCGCCGCGCAGGTGAGGAATAGGAAGGTGTAGCCGCGCTTCTTAGTCCTTTCGTTGGCTTCACAAACGAAGTGAAAAAAAAACCTCCGCTTCATGGCCGTTTGGTCACAAGTATTACATATATTTACACACAGGAATAGGCCATTCAGCCCAACCAGTACATGGCGTTGTTTATACTCCACGAGTCTACAAACTCCTTACTCCCTCCCAATCCCTTTTATTTCTTGTGTACGTTTTGCTTCCTTTTGAATGCAATCTACACTATCTGTTTCCGCCACCGCTTGACGATCCTCTGAGTGAAGTAGTTCCTGCTAAATTCTCTTTTTGACTTTTATATTTGTATCCACTGGTTACAAGCACCGAGACCAGTCGGAACAGCCTATTTATCTTAGCCTTATCAAACACTTTAATTTTTAACATCTCTTAAACAAAAAACATTCTAATCTTTCCATCTATCCTTGTAGCAGTAACCTGCCTTAGTGCGCTCCTTCCATCACTGCTATATTGTTCTTGGTAGTGGTGAGAGAATTGCACACAGTACTTCAAACGTTTTATATAAATTCAACATTACCTCCTAACTTTTATACTCTCTCGCTCTGGATATAAAGCCCCAAACCTCATCAGCCATTTTTTTATAAAAAATCTGAATTCTCAAATCTTCGCTTGTCTACTCCTTGGCTTACTGCCATCTCGGGTACAGACTCCTTTTTTTTCTGCCAAAATGAATTGCTTTGCATTTTCTTATGTTAAGCTTAATTTGCCATCTGTCTGTCCATTCTAGTAGCTTGTTTATGTCTACCTGCATTCCTCTTTAACTATTTAGTATGCTTCTATTCTCAAAGGTTGGGGTTATCTGCAAATTTTACACACCATATTTCTGAATCCAAATCATTTATGTATATCATATACAGTGAACCCTGCATTGAACACATAACTAGTCATTCAACATCCCAGCTATTAAAGTACTTTGGAGACGCTGTACTTTGGATAACTAGTCAACTCTGATAAGTAGTCATTTGAGTTATTTCCCTTGGCGTGAAAAGTTATTAGTTTCACTGTACAGTATTTGGTGGCTGAAGTCCTAACCCCACAAAACACCACTTCTGATCTCTAACCCAAATAAGAACTGCCTTTTATCAATTAGTCACAATAAAACACAAAATCAAAAGCATAGGTTTTATTTATGTACATGCTATTTACAGTTAAGAAAACATGATAGTATTAGGTTTCAGTAAAGCAATGTACAATACTCTATCTATAATACATATTCTGATAAAGCACTAAGAGAATGGCATCCTGGCAGAGGCTGGTGCAGAGACCACCTATGGTGTTTACACTTTGGTATTTCATTTCAGTTTATGAAACAAAGCAAGTTCAGTGACAAAGGGAATCGCTGCATAAAGTCTGATTCAGTTAAAAAAATAAATTTATTTTTCTCTTGACAGCTTTCTGTTTCTGATACTCAGGAATTCATCACATTAATAGTAAAGGCAGTAATCACAGGAGAAGGATTAATAATAACTTCCATTGACACTACAATATAGGCTTAAACCCAATATCACTGAACTCAGTAAATTAGGAACTCTTAATGTAAGACAAGAGATTCAGTTGATCAGCAGTGTGGGTTTGTAGTTAGGTCTGCAACTTGTGCAGGCTAAAGGAACAATGTTCATCTTAAGACACTAAAGTCAGGTACTGGCACTCTAACATAGTACTGGTATGTGCAAACAACACAAAATGTAGATCGAGTGTAAAATGCAGAGGCCTTCGTGTTATTTCAGATGCAAACAAGTTGTGAATATACCTATGTCTATATAGTGATTACCTCAAGTTCTAGATTTAAACTCGTGAGACAAACACAACTCTACTGACCATAGCATCAATACTGAGATAGCCGCCTCAAGTCCAGTTTTTTTGTTAAACATGCAGAAACCCATCACTATACTTGAGTCTCCAAACCACTCCTCTGAGTTTCACAAATATATGGTTTTGATTTATCTGGTGATGGTATACACTCTCCTCCCCAGAGTGAAAGACCCTGCTGACCTAAACCTGGCAAGAGCCAAGGCTTGGGAAAGCAAGAATGTGCATCAGGTACTACTGAAGTTAAAGCAGAAAAAGCTGCACAGAATACTATGATGAACACTCATAAAGTTCCTGCAGCTTATCCAGCTGGATCATCCACCAGTTGGGCAATCAGTAGAAGTGGCCCGAGGACTGTCAAGAAGCGGCCCCTCCATACATTTGCAAGAATATTGATAAGTCTGTTCAATCAGGAATGTGTTTTCAATTTTTTCTTGATTGAATACTTCTTAATTTATAGAGTAAATCAAGAAATATTCAATGAAGAAAATATATTTTGTTGGATAACCACAAAGTTAGCTAATATTCTGATAGTAAATAGAATTCAAGATCCTCATCCTCACCTACAAGGCCATTCACGGCCTTGCTCCCTCCTACCTCTCCAACCTACTATCCCCCTACTTACCTGCCCGTACCCTCCGTTCCTCTGGCTCCGGTCTGCTCCACATCGCCCGCCCCAACCGCCTTCAGCCTCTCAGCCCCGAGGCTCTGGAACTCCATCCCCCAGTGCCTTCGTCTTGCTCCCTCCCTTTCCTCCTTCAAGGCCGGTCTCAAGACCTTTCTCTTTGACCGTGCCTTCAGCTCCCCTCTCGACTCTCTACCCCCACCTCGCTCCCTCCCTTCCCTCCCCTCACCCTGACCATTTCCCCCCTGCTCGGGTCCCGACCCAACTGTCCAGTGCCTTGGAACGTCTTCCCGACGTGAAAGGCGCTCTATAAATGCAATCTTGTTGATGTAATATATCACAAGGTTAATAATAGGCGTCAGATGGTAATAATCCCAGCGTCCCACGACTGGTCTGTTCCTTCAAGTCCTGCTAATGAAACAGGTTGGCTGGTTGTCATCAATAGTGCCTTGGAATACTGTGGACCAGCCTTGTGCAGATTCTGAACAAGAGACCACCACAGAGTAATAACTCAATTATGATCTTCTATTGCCAAGTGTATCACCTGAGAGCCAACATCATACCGAGTCAAAATTACAATCTTGATGATATGTCACTGCCCACCCAAGTGGTACAGTATATAAATGCACCTGTGGTATTGTAACAGTCATGCAGTCAGGGAAGCTCCTAGATTTGATGCTTTGACCACAGTTTGTTTGTGACCAGGGCAACCTAACAATAGGCCACAGGATCCACAGGCTAGGGAGGCAAGAAATTCCATAGGTTTCTGCTCCTGATCATTATCTACTAATCCCTGTTGGAAGTGTACGTGCATGGAAGACAGCAGTGAACTGAGCTATAATGCCCTAATGTTTCAATAACTCAAACTCATTCCAGGCTCATATGTGCATACTTGGGTAAGGTGCTGGGAGGTAATCAGCACCCAGAGAACTATATACGACAATAAACCATTAACTTCAGGAAGTGGGATGTCAGCAAATTTGTTTGGGTCAGTCTTTCTAGTGGCAAGCAAACATCTTTACTTCCAACACTTCATGGTTGTCAGTAACAGTCATTTCTCAAGAAGCCATCAAGTCATTGTGGAATAGCAGAATAGGAGATCAACAGCCTATAGTTGATGGTCATTGTAACACAACAAAGAAAGCCAGAGAATACAACTGCTGCCCCATTTCCAATCCGCCCACCTACCCAAGCAGTACGTCAATGAGGTGGAGTGTCAAGAACGGAGGAGGAAATATGCAGTAGGATTGGAGTGTCACATTGCTACCTTCAATCAGGTGCAGTTGCTACATTGCTTGGAGTGGGAACAAGAGGAACCAGCAAGGAGTCCAACACTGCATTCAAAGCTTGGGCAGTAACTCAGTGGTATACAATGTGTATAACTGAGACATTGTGGAAAGGTCTGGGCAAGACCTTGATCACGCAAATGCTCGTAGAGGTTAAAGAACATGATCTTAAGGCATGAGGTACAAGTTAATTGCTACAATATACAATTAAATGCATCAGAAACACAATACAGTTCAACACAGCAAATAGTTAGCAATCCTAAGAGGTAAGGACAAACTAGCTTTGTGTTTTACATAATAACAATTGGCTTTATGGTTTACCCTGGAGTGTTTTCACCCATTCAAAATGTGACATTATCAATACGCTAGGCTTCGTATTTGCTGGATGCTAACTTTCCATTTTCTCAACCTCTTTCCCCCAAAATGCTAAATCGGTTTTACTACAGAACTTTTCACTAAGCCTGTAGGCCACGTCCACACGTTCAACTCAACGGCTCAAGCAGTCATCCAGGCTCAGAAAGGTACATCGACTGTTAAAATGCTAAACTAAGGCAGTTCTCAGAACTGACCAAGTGAGGTTCTATAGTTTACACATGGTTACTTCATGAACCATCACTCACACTCTCCACACTGAATTACACTAACAGGAAAGTCCAGATCAAAGCTCACACAATTGCCTCCTGCTGCAATGCGAGAATGAGAGGATAATGATTAAAACAGAACAAATGTGACAACTTCTGTCTGGCAGAAAGTGAGGCTTGTTTTTCTCAGTTATCAACCTGGTGCTGGAGCAGTGTCTCAACCAAGACACAAGGGTAACTAGCATCTTGGGGACAACTTCTTTTACTGCAATATAACAAAAACTACTGGACATTCCAAAATGTAAAACTACATAAATTTCCAGAGCAAGAAATCTAATATCCAACAATAAAAAAGTCTGTTATTAATAAAAAGGCACATTTGGCAATAAAACATTTGCAGCTTGTAATTGGATGGCAGAACACTGTATTCCAGGCCAGGGTCCATCACTGTGTTCCCTGGGGAGGTGGCAGGGCTAGGTGGGAGATTGTGCAATGTATTGAAGGATACTGAGGTTTCTTTTGTGTTCTCTCCGGCATCACCCATCACTCACACCAAAAGTCCCATTCGTGTCACTTTGGCTGACAGAAATGAATGTATGACAAAAACCACAGGCTTTGGGCAGGAGTGCAACTCCAGACTCTGGAAGAAAATCAGGGTATGGGAAGAGAACAGAAAATGGATGAAGGTGGGAGGGGAGGAGGGCAGAGAGAGAGAGAGATTAACAAACCAGTAACAGTATTTCACAATAAGAAACGTTAATATGCAAATTACAACCCTAATAGAATGTGCAATTCACTTCAATTTCTTAACCTTTCTTTGTGCGTCAGCTTTATAGTCAAAACTCAATCTACCCCAAACCCTTCATGGCTGGACAGTGCATTGGAAGGTATTTAGATTTGGGAACTCATTGGTGCCACAACTCCATGTTGGATGATGGACCAGTAATCCATAAACACAGGAGTTACAGATCTGATTTTCTTGCTACCTCACCAGATCTACCAAAGCAGGAAGATAGATCTTTTTAATGTCTCCTGTTAATCAGGCAGACCAGTCTCTGATAACAGCTTGCCAGGAGTTAATTTCAATCAGAAACTCATACCCACTGATGATGTGTTATTAATATTGTAAAGAGTATCTATTCCAGGAAGATTTGGGAAGGAAAGTCAAAAATAAACTGTTAAAAAGCCTTTTACTCACCAGTTCCCCTTCTGGACCCCCAAAATCCAGATACAGTCGCCTGATCCCATCATCCGCTGACGTCTTTAACCTTTCGAACGGGTATTGGAAAAGGACATTGGTGCTGCCCTCCTGTGACATCGCAAACCCATCTTCGTAATCAATGGTTAGTTTGACATCCAATCCATTCCACGTGCATCCTGCAGGTTACCCAAATTAGTGTCACAACAGCAATGTGCCCTCCAGCTGTGGTTGCCCCTTCCACTAACTTTGTTTGCCCCTCCTACTAACCATGTCTGCCCCTCTCACTCTGGTCCTAACTGCCCCTCCCACCTCCTTTGATCACTTTACAGGAAACGAATGTCCTTGCCCAGCAAAACCACTCCTACATATTAGGGTTAATTGGCAACTTTATTTTTATCTTACTCTTCACTAGTTCCGTTTGTATAGAATCACAACAGCGGCAACTAAACCAAAAGGTGGAATCTGGAGGATTATGCTGAAACATGACTGCGGTCATGGGAGTTAGGATCTTGCTAGCACAAATGGCACATTTGCCTACACAAACAGTCTTGACAGTAATTGTCTGAAGTGTTTTCAGAAGCTGATATAAGGTGCAATATGGAAACTATTTTCTTTCATGATTTCCGTGAGCTTCTGACCCTAAAGCAAAGCCTGAGGCACAACCGATAACTGAGCAGCTTCTCGCGTGCCAGTTCTGGAAAATGGCCCTGAAACAGCCTTGCTAATCAATTCTTACCCAATGTCACCTCCTTAATAAGCTCGGCAGCACTATGACATCCTTGAACCAGCATCCGTGTCCATGCTGACAAGTCTCGGTGAGTTTCTACACGGAAAATGTGAGTCTCAATCCCTTGCCGTGATCCTGTCCGTGTAGCAAACGTCAGCTCGGAGTTGATTGTTGGGGACCCTCGTGCTGACCCCGAGTGAACAAGCCTGAAGAGATGGGAAAGGAGTAGAAAGAGAATTGTTTTCATAAGGCTCAAAAAATAATAATAATAATAATAATCCTTGCATTTGATATAGCGCTTTTCACATCGGGAGAACGTCCCAAAGCGCTTCACAGAACACACTGTAAAGTGAATTGACTGTATATTTGTGGGTGAACGCGGCAGCCAATTGCGCACAGCAATGTCCCACAAACAGTCGTAGATTGAAAATGACCAATTTAATTATTGTTTTTGGTTTTTGGAGGGATTATTATTAGGCGTGTGGAGTAAGGAAACTTGCCCAAGGTTTCGCCCTCTGCCTGGAATTGAACTCAGGTCTCTCACTTGCAAAGCGAGTGCTCTAACCACTGAGCTACAGGACTCCACGAGTATACCAAATGCAAGGTTATTATAGGAAATAAATGTTGAGAAAATCTGCTTTACGATACATAATTAATTAGAAAGGAACTGAATGTTGTTACATCGGCAAACCTGACAGCTAATCTGCACCAGTAAAGTTCCACAATAAAGTGATGTGCAGACAATTAATTTGGATTTGGGGCTAAATTTGGCTAAAAAATGACCAGTGCCTCTAAATTAAAGAAGGTGCTTTTATTATGTGCCATTTGTCCTTAGCCAAATTACGAGGTTTCTGTAACAGGTTTTTAAAAAATTAATTTATTAAAATTCTCAACATTTTGAATATCCATCCGATCTCCTCTCAGCCTTATCTGACAGCAGTCACAGTTTCTATTGTCTTCCCGATAAATAAAGCCTCTCACCTTCATATCATTTTAGTGAATTGATTCTGTACTCTCTTTGACCTAATGATTGTTCCTAAAGTGAGATACCCAAAACCATATTCCAGCTCTATCCCAACTAGTGATTTGTTCAGTTTTAGCGTAACCTTTGGCTTCTGTATTTATAAAACCAAGGATTATCATTAGTTTTTTTCTAAAAATCAAGGTTTTCAATTTGCCTTCCCACTTCTAATCATTTGCGTTTGATATAGCGCTTTATCACGTCGGCAAGATACCTCAAACGCTTCACAGGATATACTGTAGAGTGGATTGATTTGTATATATTGTGGGTAAAACACAGCAGCCAATTTGCGCACAGCAATATCCTACAAACAGCCATGTTTCTGCCCACAAAATACAGTCAAACCACTTTACAAAATATTCTGTGAAGCACTTTGAGATGTCTGGACAATGTGACAAGGTGCTATATAAAATCTAAGGAATATTATTATATTATTAAGGAGTGAGTGACCAATTTTATTTGGGGAAAGTGCTGACCAAGACACTGGCAGATTTTAAAGATCCCTTTTAAAGATTTGTGTACATTTGTGTACATTCCTAGGTATCTCAGCTATTGGGACATCCTGCTGACATAAAAGGTGCTATATACAAATGTAATTTGTTGTTGCTATTTCACTTCTTTTAAAGTTTTGCCATTTAGTCTACGTTTTCTCTCAGTCTTTGTCTTAAAATGTATCACTTCACACTGTTCTATATTAAATTTGATCCAACACCTATCTGCCAATCCACGAATCCGTTTATGTACTCCTGATATTGCTTACAGTCTTGTTCAGTTGGTCTACTCCCTGTTTTTGTATCATATGCAAACCTGGCCTGTTGTCCACCAGCAGACAGTATTGTACCTGGTGGCCAGCAGTGGATGGCTCTGACTGGGCGAGGACCAAGTATCTCGATTCCATGGGACACGGTCGTAAAGAAGCAAGTCTTTATCGGTGAGAACCAGGACAACTGGCTTCCAGTGTTGCCTCCCATCTTCCACTTTCAGCTAATGCACAGACAGAACAGATCTCAGCAGAAAGCAACCTTATAGCATGTCACACCCAAAGTAGGCATGAGCAGAAACACACCTGCAACTACAGGCAGGCACAGGACTAGTTTACACTTGTGAACTGTCTCACCATCCTTCCAAGATATCTCTGTGAGTACAGTACAGCAATTCAGGTTTCCAACCAGATTGATCACTTTACCCTCTTCAAAGACTCCCACTCTCAACCCCCTTCTCCTCCCCAATATCCACCCTCAACACCAGCCCCCAGCCCCCCCACCCACCACCAACAACAAAATTACACTTATAGAGAGCCTTTCACGTCAGGAGGAAGCCCCAAGGCACTGGACAGTTGGGGGTCAGGATCCAAGAATGGGAAAGGGGTGAGGGAAGGCAGAGAGGTGGGAAGGCAATCGAAGGGGAGACTGGCCTTGAAGGAGGCAAGGGAGGAAGCGAGGCTAAGGAACTGTGGGGTGGAGTTCCAGAGCATGGGGGCAGAAAGCTCAGCCACCAATAGTAGGGCGGGAGACATGGAGCAGATCGGAGCCCGCTGAAAGGAGGGAGCGGGCAGGTTGATAGGGAGTCAGCAGGTCAGAGAGGTAGGAGGGAGCAAGGCCATGGATGGCCTCGAAAGTGAGGATGAGGATCTTGAATTCGATCCTCTGAGGGATGCGGTGCCAGTGGGGTGGGAGTGATGGGGTCACGGAGCCTGGTGCGCGAGAGTACACGAGCTGTAGAGTTTTGGATGATCTGCAGTTTGTGAAGGGAAGAGTTGGGAAGGCCGATGAGGAGGGAATTTCCATAATCGAGCCTTGATGTGACGAATGCGTGGGCGAGGGTTTCAGCAGCCTGAGGGGTGAGGCAGTGGCGGAGTCTGGCAATGTTGCAGAGGTGGTGGTAGGCAGTGCCGATCATGGTGCTGATTTGGGGAAGAAAGGACAGTTCAGGGTCAAACAAGATACCCAGGTTCCTGACTGGCTTAGTGAGGTTAAGTGTACAGCCGTGGAGGCTGATGCTGCCAGCGCCTGAGGTCCATTAAGATTTACCTGTTCAGCAAGCCAGCCCACATGTTGGATTTCTCGGTTGCCAGAGGTACTGGATGCCAGCATCACGTTGAGCTCTGACAGCATCTGTGGTACCAGGGCTGAGATGTTGGCATAAATCGCAGTGAACCAGGCGTGAGCTGTGGCAGCGTCTTTACTGCGCAAGATGATGGTGTATCTGCCATCAGGCGAGTGCAGCTCAATCAGCCTGTGGGGGATAGGACAGAGCAGCTCAGCATCATCCATTACATACACCAGGGCAGGGGGAGGAGAAAAAAGGAGCTCAACAGGCTATGAGCTTGGGAGGGTGGGGGGGTGGAATGCATGCACTATCAGCACCAAGTGGGGGGTGGGGGCAAGAGAGGGACTAGATATACACACTATCTAGTTTTCTTAACAAGTCAACTAACAATTATGCTATTGAGCCTTTCACCTGTTCTCTGGATCGGGCATGATCAGATTCCGGGTAATGTAGCACATCTTCAGTGGAAACCTCTTCTGGTCTTTGGCAGTGTTTGGAGGAGTGGAGCCATTGTCCCCCAGTTGAGGAGACGATGGCGTTGAGCTGTCCCAGGCAATGTCTGCTATCAACGATGGCTTTTTAAAGTATGCTGTCACTTCTTGGATGTATGTAACTGAATGAGAGAAAACAGCACAGTCAGGCTGTGCGTCCACCACACTATCCGCGACTCTATTGGTGGCCAAGTCTTCACATACATGCCTCCAACCCCTGGCATTCCCACCCTCTCTCACACTCTCTGTCTGTCTTTAAATCCCACCTAAAAACCTGTCTCTTTGACCAGGCGTATGTTCACCTTCCCCTTGTTTGGTGTTCAGCCCTGTCCTTGTCCAAAAGATTATCTCTATTATATAATATTAATAATGCTTGCAGTTGTTGTAGCACCTTATCGCGTTTTCTAGATACATAGAAATACAAGTTGCTGTAAATTTTGCTGAATAGCACTGATCATGCACGTGTCCACTAACTTGTCTATCTTAGAAACTAGTCAAGATTATTTATGGTCAGATCTCCTCCATTTTTATGCAGTTTATTACTATTATCATTATTACATGCTCTAGGACCTACTCTGCATGAGGAGCGCTATAAAACGCCAGCTGTTTTCATGAGGGGTGGGGAGCTACTTCCAAACCCAAATCTTTTCCTCCTCCAGCTGTGACCTCAGGTCCACTGATGATCTGACTTCTTGCTTGTCAGACATCAAGGCCTGAGCTTCAACTTTCTGCAACTGAATGTTGACAAGACAGAAGCCATATTCCTTGGCGCCTGTTAATGACTTCTCACCTGTGGCTCCGAACTCCTTAACCTCCCCGACCAATCCCTCAGACTTACTGAACCTGTGTGTAAACTACGTCTCAGGCTCAATTCCCAGCTGTCCCTCCAAGCCCATGTGCAGATCGTGATGAAGCCTGCTTTTCTCCATCTCTGCCATACTGTCTGCCTTCGACTGCATCTTGCAACTGAAACCCTTATCCACACATTTGTCACTTTCCGGCTCAATTATTCTAATGACCTCCTCACCAGTCTCACTAGCTCCACCATTCATGAAATCCAATTAATTCAAAACATCGCCACTCATATCCTCACCCACACCAAACTCTGTACCCATATCACCCAGTCCTTGCTGGGCTCCACTGGCTCGCTATTGCAGAACGGATCGATTTCAAGATCCTCACACATGTAAGAATCACTTCCTGCCCTTGCACCCTCTCTGACCTGTTTACATTACTCTACAATCCCATACTCTGCATTCCTCCACTACCTGCTGCCTGGATTCTGCTGGCTCTGGCACCCTGCATGTCCCTCATCCCCTCCACTCCACCATCAGCGAATGTGCTTTCAGCCACTACATCCCAAAACTATGGAACTCTCTACCTCAATCCCTTTGCCTTGCCACCCTCTTTGTCTGTCTTCAAATCATACCTGAAGACCTTCCTTTTCGACCGTACCTACGATCTACTGTTAAATGCTCCGAGATGCTACCCCATGTGAAGGCGCTACAATAAATGCAAATGTTGTAGGATATCTCCACCAAGCAGAGAAAATCAGTTAGCGGCACAATCAGTAGTGGATAATTTTCTCATCTTATACAATATAGTCTAATCAGTGCGTGAAGAACAGTGAGAGGAATGAGTATTGCTCAGTGAGGGGATAAAGGAGGACCATGAGACAAACTTCAAAATCTATTTTTCTAGATTGATCAAATGATTTTCTCCATTAATGTATATAATTTGTAATTCCCATCACAGATTAATGTAATCTGCCATTTTAAAGCAATTCTATTTTTGAAAAGCCAGCATTCCACATGTGACTGTTCAATGATAATTAAAAAGGCTGATTGCCTGAACATATTGACACTACAACAGACGATACAAACAGCAATGATTAAAATGAAACTGCATCACCACTGATCTAATCCCACAGAAGAACCTGCCCAACCAGGTCTTCAGCCCAGCTCCAATCGAAAGCTATTATACAGCATGTATGGGATTCTGTTAATTTAACACATTTCCATACTTGGTTCCTGGCTCCCAAATGGACTTTACAGCCGACCAAAGTTAATTTGAACAAAATTAATGTTGCTAAGGTAATCTGAGGACGCGAGGACCTTAACCACACCAGAATCTTTGCGGTAACATTCGTATGTAATAAGTCACAAGAATATTTAATCAGTGTAAATACATAGAAATAGGCAGCTATTAGCCACAAGGCACTGTTACCAGCTACCATCAGCACAGGAAACCTAGATTTGCTTGATTTACAAATGTACTTCCTGAGGAATTAATTGCCTGTCCTGTCGCTAGCATATAAAGCTACAACTGAGAGCTCTCAGTTAACCACAGACACCATTTCACTGCTCAGGAATGTGCCATAGCAGGATGTGAATAATTATAGGAAGAAAGACTCAAATGCATTTAACTAGCATTTAGGGAGTTCACTCCACATTAATAGATGCTTAAAGTATGTTTGGAGCTCACACCACATGATGAACATTGAAACCAAAATCCGAGAGTTAAACAAATGAGATCAGTGTCCACTTACTGCCAAGATCATTAGACTCAAAACAAATTCTCTAGAAACTTTGAGCATAAATGGCAAATATCACTGAAGACAGGCAGCAGTCAAACCACAAGAAATTCCAAACCATCTGGTGTAAGTGATGGACTAGATTGAACAGAACCAGATCAGCCAATCCAGCAGTTACACAAGATCCACACAAAATTGGTTCTACATTCAAGATTAAATGCGGGCATTAGTATGACATATTGGGATAAATGACAATCTGTTCTTGAGTCAGCAAAAGCTCATTAGTATCAGCTACATAGCAACCAAATAATCAGATGGAGCTCAGGTGTACAAACTCGCCATCTGTGTTGACAGCCAAGCCGAGACCTGTGCATGTGCAGTCCACCCATTGTGCTATCCCCCCCACGCCCACTGTATATTTCACTCCGAGTAGTTGTTCTTCATGAATGAGCCTCCACAGTGAATGTTAGCCGGTTGTTTGACAGGGACAAGAAAGATATCACAAATGATCACAATTATACTTTGATACACAACCCTTCTAGCAGGAGTCACTGGATCAAAGCAGGAATATAGCTAGAACGCAGAATTCTCTGCCACAAATAGTTGAATTCAACAGTTTTTTAATAGATGTTTAAAGATGGGGAACATTACAGGATATGGAGAGCATGTCAGCGTAGCTCAGCTTGTTAGCACACTTGCCTGAGTCAGAATGTTGCGGGTTCACGCCTCACGTTGCAACTTTGAACCCTTGGAAAGTGCTGCATTGTCGGACTTGCTATCCTTCAGGTGAGGTGTTAAACTAAGGCCCTGTCTCCTTGTTTAAATGGGCATCAAAGATAACATGGCACTATTCAAATAAAGCGAAGTTTCTCAGTGACCTAGCTGAGATAAAATTAGTTATTCAATTCATGGCTATGTGAAAATTGTCTGTCTGTTTACTTACCAAATACACAGTCACTACACTTTAAGTAAATCCAGTGATGTGCTTTAAGACATCCTCCTGACTTAAAAAGATTAGAGCAGCCTTGATGAGCTAAATGACCCATTTACGTGATGGAATTCTATGACATTCCCGAACAGAGACACTGAGGTCAATTGTAGCCAATGCTCTCCTCTCATTCTGAGGCTTTGTATCTTCAACCCTAAGTGGTGTATAAACTCGTTTGATTGAGACAGTTACATTGAGATCCTCCCTTTCTTGTACATCACAAGTTTCAAATAACCTGCTCCATTCCCAGGTAAACTCTGGTCTATGTACAGTTTTCTCTATAATAGAGGATCAGCCCTAATCCTCTCATCATTATTAATTTGCCCTTCAATCTGACTTGCGGTAAATCAGATTTTCACTCTACACTAACATGTTGCTCAGCTGATTCTCACCATGAGCACAGAATGGAGGAAGTACATTTAGTCCAACATTTAAGTTCTTCAGAGAGGTCCAAATTCAGACTTTACACCAAACATTCATTCACACACACACACAACCCCTCACACGCACACACAACCCCTCACACACACACACAACCCCTCACACACACACACAACCCCTCACACACACACACAACCCCTCACACACACACCCCTCTCACACACGCACAACCCCTCACACACACACACAACCCCTCACACACACACACAACCCCTCACACACACACACAACCCCTCACACACACACACAACCCCTCACACACACACACAACCCCTCACACACAACCCCTCACACACAACCCCTCACACACAACCCCTCACACACAACCCCTCACACACAACCCCTCACACACAACCCCTCACACACACACACAACCCCTCACACACACACAACCCCTCTCACACATACACAACCCCTCTCACACATACACAACCCCTCACACACAACCCCTCACACACAACCCCTCACACACACACACAACCCCTCTCACACACACACACAACCCCTCTCACACACACACACAACCCCTCTCACACACACACACAACCCCTCTCACACACACACACACAACCCCTCACACACACACACAACCCCTCACACACACACACACCCCTCACACACACGCGCGCCCCCACTCTCGCGCGCCCCCTCCCCCATACACGCGCGCACACCGCCCGCTCTCCCCACGCGCAGACCCCGCCCATCCGCGCGCACACCCCTTTCCGCCCTCACACGCACGAGCCCTCACCGCGCGCCACACTCCCCCACTCCTTCACGAGCCTCACTCACCCTCCAGCGTCACCTCTCTCCCCGCTTTCTTCAGCGCCTGCACCGCCTGGTCGTGTGTGGACTGGCGGAGGTCGGCGCCGTTGACTGACAGAATGGCGTCGCCCACATACAGGGCGCCGGTCTGGTCCGCCGCGAGGCCGCGGAATATTTTGGAGATGAGGATCGGCATCCGGTTCTCGCGGCCGCCTTTGATGCTGATCCCAAGGCCGCCCGCCTCCTGCTTCACCACCCGCACGGAGCGCACCCGGTCCAACAGCGCTGCTGGCACTGGCCCGTGACTTGGGCTACCCGCCTCGGCAGGAACCAGCCCCGGGCACCCGGCTGCGGGCCCCGCCGGGCTCATGTGAGCTGGGCTCGGGCTGCGGTGTCGGGGCGATCCGTTAGAGATTCCATTCCAGGCAGCGGCCTCCAGCGCGGGCTCCTCGGCGCTGAGGCCCAGGCTGTCCCCGCCCAGATCGGCGCTCACACGGTACCAGCCCCGGTCCCGCAGGAACAACTCGAGCTGCCCGACCCGGGTCGCGCGGCTCGACACCGACACTCCAGCCGCCATCTCGCTGCTGCTACTACCTCCCGCGGGCTCCAACCAATCAAAATCCCCCTTCGCCCCAGCCAATCACAACCCCCCACCCCAGCCAATCACAGGCCTGCACTCCTCCAGCCAATCACAACCCCCCACCCCAGCCAATCGCAGGCCTGCACTCCTCCAGCCAATCACAACCCCCCACCCCAGCCAATCACAGGCCTGCACTCCTCCAACCAATCACAACCCCCCACCCCAGCCAATCGCAGACCTGCACTCCTCCAGCCAATCACAAACCGCCACCCCTAACCAATCACAGGGCTACATTCCTTCAGCCAATCACAATCCCACACCCCCAGCCAATCACAGGCCTGCAGGCCCCCAGCCAATCACAAATCCTCGCCGTCAACCAATCACAGCCAACGCTACCCGGAGCCTATCACTGAGCGGCCACACTCAGCTCTGTTGCTGTTCATTAACTACAGGCTGAGAAATAAGCAGATATCGGGGCCAAACAGATAACATATTTATTTAATATAAAATATTGCATCTTTATAAATCCAATGAATTGTTTGTGGAGGAAATGTCTAAGTTCCCACAAAGCAATGTTGACACCACCTTCCAGGCTCCAATTAAGTGGCAAATTTCTTCTGCTTGACTGGTGCTGGCAGATGTGTATTGATGTCCATCAGGGGGCGCTCTATTACCACAAGTGAATCCTCCGACAGCATCTCAACATGAAGCAGTGGCTGTAGAGAAGGAGCCATTCAGATATCACACACCAGACAAGGGAACGGGCAAACGTGACGTGGGAGGCGTTTGGGGGGAATGTGAGAGGAGGAAGGGCAGGTGGGGGAAACAAACTTTAGTTCCCACGAGCAAACTAAATACCTGGAATTTCTTGCAGATTTTGAAGGCGTGGGCCTGACTCCGGCGTGCGTTTGCTGACAGGCCTCTCAGGGCCGCTTGGTTATACAGGTGACACTTGGCTGTCGGTAAACGCTTGGGGACAAAGTGAAGTTACAATTAGGTCACCCGAAAACCAAGGAAATCCTGAAATAAATTGGAATGTCGCAGCCTAGAAATATTTCAACAATCCATCACACAACCTCAGCCGGGATGTGAAGGAGAGAAGCAAACATCAGTGGTTCCAAGATCTTGGCGAAAGTTAGGGTTAGGACAGTGTTAGCTTACCAGGGTCTGGTCAATGATACAGAACATGTACATGTCGTGGAGCATGAACTGGGTTGGGACATCAGGATTGAAGGTAATATGTGTAACAGGTGTGTCCCGTTCTACCCACTGAGGGTGCAGTCCTTGTTGCTGCAGCTTACGGCTCCAATCTGTGAACCGCTTCTCCCTGAGAGAGAACTCGAAAATCTGAGGAGACACGAGAGAGACTCAATAAACTCTGATTTCTGTCATGATGATCTGTTTAAGTGTCCAAGATGTGAACTGAGCTGACTCAGTCCAAGATGTGTACCGGGCTAGCTCACTCAATCCCAGGCCATACTCCAGGGCTCACTAGTACCAGGCCAGAAAGTTACAAGGTCAACGAATTATCTCCCAGCTTGGGTGGATATACACTTTGTTGATGGTTTTCTTCCTTCCACAAAAGATCAGCTCAGTTGCCCTGCGCCAACCTCCTGAAGACCACGTTATCAATGTGTTTGTTCCGGGTCAGTTATTTCAGAGACAGACTCCTCCATGCATCATGCCCTGCGTGGAGGAGGCTGTATCAATGGAAGTTCTTGTTTAAATAATAGAGTAGCTACCTGATGGTCTGTGTGCACTGTGAGCAGGTTATTAGTCTGGGGGTGAATGGCCATTGCTGTGGGAGGCTGGTTATAGACTGGAACAATGCAGTGTTGCTGCAACACAAAGAGAAATCATTAAGACACACAAACCCCACAACAAGTGCACCAGCCTCCCCCACCCAAGAGAGGGAGGGGGTGGTGAGGATGGGGTGAGGGGGGGGGAGTGAGGATGGGGAGGAGAGGGGGAAATAGGAGGGTGACCAAAGGCACATTTGAAGAGGAAGGCTTGCGGTGAGCCTTGAAGGAGGCGAAGGAGGGAGCAAGGTGAAGGGCTCCTGGATAGAGTTCCAGAGGGTGGGGGCAGAGAGGCTGAAGGCCCAACCGCCAATGGTGAGTTGGGCAGGGAGCAGGCCAGTGCCCGCTGAGCGGAGGGAGCAACGTTTGGTGTTAATAGGTCCCAGAGGTAGGGAGGAGCAAGATCTTACAGGGCTTTAAAAGTGAGGACCAGAATTTTAAACTTGATCCTGTGAGGGATGGGGAGGCAGTGGAGCCGGATGAGGATGGGGGTGATCGCGTGCAGTGTGAAAAGAATGACTTTTGATGGCAGAAGCGAGAATCGTAGCCACAGCAAAGTGCAGCCACACAGTCTGTGTGATGCTTTTGCTACTGGAGTTCAAGCTCTGCTCTAGACATACCATCAGCTGCATCAGGTTATAGATGTTTATCTCTCCACCGTGACTTGCTGCCGCCACCCACTCCCCATCAGCACTGACAGCCAACAGAGAGATGGATTCCTGGCAACCTGCAGGAGACAAACACCCAGCATGAACAATACCCCAGACAGAGAGATGGGAAGAGAAAGACACACACTCAAACAGCAAGCACAGTCTGTTAAAACACATAAACTGACTGATGGGAATGGCAGCCAACAGCAGAGCATTATTTATTTATTATTCTATTTATTATAACAACTGAGCACAGCGTAGCCGGGCTGTGGCCACCCCGCAGCGGGGAGTTCTCACCAGATTTGGGGGTGAAGATGTGAAGCTCAGTGCACCGTGACCCTGTAACATCCACAACATGAACAGCACTTCTCTCTGAGCCGGCAAACAGCCGCGTGGAATCTGCCGAGAACACCAGGCACTGCACACCACGGAGCTGCTTCGGTGTCCCAGCAACCTGCAGCGGCACCATACACAGCCAGTGAACAACAGAGGAACACCGGCACCCTGGCCCCGTCCCACCCCGCAACAAAGCCTTGCCCCCACCCCGCAACAAAGCCTTGCCCCCACCCCGCAACAAAGCCTTGCCCCCACCCCGCAACAAAGCCTTGCCCCCACCCCGCAACAAAGCCTTGCCCCCACCCCGCAACAAAGCCTTGCCCCCACCCCGCAACAAAGCCTTGCCCCCACCCCGCAACAAAGTCTTGCCCCCACCCCGCAACAAAGCCTTGCCCCACCCCGCAACAAAGCCTTGCCCCCACCCCGCAACAAAGCTTTGCCCCACCCCGCAACAAAGCCTTGCCCCCACCCCGCAACAAAGCCGTGCCCTGCCCAGTGCCCCACCCCCAACCCCACCTTACCCACAGCAACCCCCAGCCCCCACCCTAGCCAGCCCCATCCAACACACTGGCCACACCCACCCCACTGGCCCCTACCCCCCAGCATTTCCATCTCCTCAACCCCAACAAAGCACGTACCCTGGTGACAGTGACAGAGCCGTCCTGATACTGGACACGATACACACAGACTCGGGAAGCCGTGGCGTAGGAGATCCACTCGCCACAGGGAGACAGACAGCAGCAGTGAATGTGATCTGAGCCCTGAGAGAGACAATCAACCGGAGGCTCAAAACTCAACCAAAGCTCCCTTTCCCCCACCACCTCCCAGACATTCCCTCTCCCCCACCCCCTCCCACTCTCCCTCCCCCACCCACACACTCGCTCTCTCTTCCACCCCCTCCCACACACATCCTCATTCACCCCCTTCCCACATCCACACTCCTTTTCCCTCATCTCAAACCTTTTTTTTCAGCTGAAGCACTTTGTCTGGTTTGCTGTCTGTAGGAGCCATCCCAGCGCCTGAAAACAGGGACAAGATTGTGATATTGTATCCGATTCTCACCACAGACCACCGACTGGGGAGGTGAGGCGGAGAGAAGGGGCGAGGAGGGTGAGGGGAGGCGAAAAGGCAAGTGAGGAGATGAGGTGAGGGGAGGGGAACTGACCTGTCAGAGGCGAATGGTCCAGCGACCAAAGCTCCAACTGACTTGGGAACTGGAACAGAAGAAGCTTCGCTTCCCGACTGCAACATACCAAACTCCGCTGCAGAGACAACAACACTCCATTCACACTCACCCAAGCCTCACCCCCAATTACCCCACAGCCCCTCCCCAACCATGCCACAGCTCCTCCTCCAACCACCCCCTAGACCCTCCCCCAACCCCTCCCTCAACCACCCCACAGACCCTCCCCCATACCCTGATACCTACATGAGGGAAGATGACTTTGCGAAGTGCAGCCTCATATGATTTAGTTTCCACTTTGTCCATCAGGGGGCGGAGCACCAGCTGAGCATCCAAACCTTAACCAGGAAGAGAAAAGTGAGTAAAGCCCCCAACCGTGCCACCCTCAGCCATCCCCCACCCCCACCCCCAGTATGTGACTCACCCCCGGAGACGAGTGCAGACTTGGTGTGCACCAGGCCCCGCACATCATGCGTGTGATATTTAAATGTCTTGGTTCGAACCCACTGGACATCGCCGCCCCCAGACTTAGTTTCCAGGAGCTGGAACTGGATGACAGTTCCCTCTGATGTTCCCACAGCGATGCTGTCCTCAGCCTGGAGAGAGAGGGCCCAGGGAGGCCAGAGACAGTCACACTGAGGGCACATCACACGCGCAGCTGCGTATAAACATGAGAGAGAGGTGGATGTCTCACCGGGTTCACCGCTAACGACAAGGCGTCGCACTTGGTCACGTGGTGAGTGTTCAGGAGGGTTCCCGTTTGCCAGTCCCACAGCTGCACTTTCCCAGTGGAGTCAGCGCTCACAATACTGTCACTCAGGAACAGGACGCTCCACACCACACACTCACGATTGCGCTGACTGGAAATACGGCGGTCCACATCCATCCTCTGCACACAGTGACCTAGAGAGAGAGAGAGACAGTGAGCAAGCGAGCAGCAGTGACAGAGAGACAGAGGCACAGAGAGAGAGCTGTCACTGGATCAGTCCCAACCTCTTACTCACCAGACTTTACATCAAACACACAGATGACATTCAACGATCCTGTTGCTATCAGTGAACCAGCCTTATGCCAGGCCAACGAGAGAACACGCCCTGAAATTGGGAGACATTTCAAACACGTTACTGCTCACGTTCCTCACCCAGTCTCACCCCTTCTTCACCATCGCACCCGGCAGTGCCTGAGTCCTGCAGTCAGCCCAGCACACACTGGGCACTAGCACACATTGGCACACACTGACACCACACACACTGGGCACTAGCATACACTGACACAAGTATACACTGACACATGTATACACTGACACCTTCACACACTAACACCAGCGCACACTGGGAACTAGCACACACTAACACAAGTACACACTGACACCTGCACACACTGATACCCACTGACACCAGCACACAGACACCAGCGCACACTGGGCACTAGCACATACTGGGGCCCATCCACTAGCACACACCAACACACCGACAGCAGCACACTGACACACTCGACGACACAACAACTTGCACTTATATAGCACCCTCCACACAAGGTAATGTCTCAGAGCTCTTAACAGTGGCAGAGCCTGACTCCCAGCCAGGGGGAGGTGGCCGTAAGCATGGTCAAAGTGGAAGGTCTTCAGGTGGGACTTGAAAAAAGGGAGAGAAGGGGAAAGCCAGAGGGATTGAGGGAAAGTGTTCCAGAGTTTCGGGGTGTAATGGCTGAAAGCACGACCTCCGATGGCGGGGCAGAGGGTGCAAGTGGCGAGCAGGAGGCCAGTGACAGTCGAGCGGAGCCACCAGGTGGTGGATTGGGGAGTGAGGAAGTCGGAGAGGTTAGGGAGGTGCCAGAGAGTGAAGGGATTTGAACACAAGTCTGACACTGACACCAGCACTTTGGGAACTCATCATTACAGTTGATAAATGTAAATTGTATTGTATGTGTATGTACACGGGAGTCACTTTTCTGAGGGAAACAGAAATGTTATTGTGGAACCTTTCTGCCGATCCAGATTCCTTGCATATTGAAGTTTTTCTGGAATAATCTCGAATAGTTTGACTGAACCATCTTCGCAGCCAATCTGCAGCACAAACAGAAAGGTGTTAGTGTTACTCGGACTAGAAACAGTCAGAGCAATTACAATTACTTCACTTTCTTCTCCCTCTGCCCAAACACTGAGCAAACACTGGTATTAAAAAAAAATTTCATTCCTCAAATTCTCAAAGTATCAATGAACAACACTCCCGGGTCAGCTACAGCATGGGTTACAGACAAAGTTAAACTCCCTCCACACTATCCTTCCACATTCCCATGTCAGGGACAGCACGGGTTAGATACAGAAGACCAACAGTCAGTTTGATTTGCTAGGTCGCTTATTGTCATTTGTAATTTATGGTTGAGGTCGGTCAGGAAGCCTGGAACTTACCGCAAGGTGAGTCTCCTCGGGGTTACAGCTCATGCACCAAACAGGGCCGCCAAAAGCATCAAGGCTGTACTTTGGACACAGCCTCTGCAGATCTATTTCCATGATCTCTCCAGTTAATCCCACAGTGAACAGCCGATTCCATCCCACCCAACACATCGCTTCAATTGATTTCCTGTCATCCCCAGGAATCACCTGCAAAAGGAATAATTTCTCAGCAAATAAAAATCACTGGATCAAAGTGGTGCTGTAGAATGTCCAAAACTGCACGCACAATCTTGCCCAAGCACCGGGGCAGTCTTGAGGATGGGGACGTGCTAACACCTTTTGCTACATTTCTCCACGTTGTCACACAGATGAGCACACACCTGGCTCCCAGCCTCTACTCATTCTTGTTACATGAAGCGCCCCCACGCTCATATTTCCTTGCATTTGACACAGCAGTTTTCATGTTGGGAGGAAATCTCAGACACTTACAGGATTAACTGAAAAGTGGAGCAACTGTGTATTTTGTAGGCAAAAGTAGCAGTCAATTTGCACACAGTCAAATCCAACAAACAGCGATAAATTTCATGTACAATTTCAATCAAAAGGGACTGTGGGCCGTCTCTCCAACAGCACCACTGAATCTTTAACATCCTCCTGAATAGACCGACAGGACCTCAGTTGAACATCAGTGAGGAGCCGGGGCTCTCGGTGGTGAGGAGCCGGGGCTCTCGGTGGTGAGGAGCCGGGGCTCTCGGTGGTGAGGAGCCGGGGCTCTCGGTGGTGAGGAGCCGGGGCTCTCGGTGGTGAGGAGCCGGGGCTCTCGGTGGTGAGGAGCCGGGGCTCTCGGTGTAATTACCTTCTCCTGGAAGAAGTTGTTGTTGAAGCTGAAGATTTCCACAGCCCCCGAGAGGCGCGCGGCCGCCAGGCGCCCAGAGCAGCTGTTGTAGCTCAGGCAGCGCAGCCCCGCCGGCAGATAGTCAAAGAACCTCACCCGGTGAACCAGCAGCTCGGCCATTCCTGGGGGAGGGATAGAGAGGGGGTGGAGACTGTGGGGGGGGGAGGGGGGAGGCTGGGGCTGTGGGGGGGGGAGGCTGGGGCTGTGGGGGGGGGAGACTGTGGGGGGGGGGAAGGCTGGGGCTGTGGGGGGGGAGACTGGGGCTGTGGGGGGGGGAGACTGGGGCTGTGGGGGGAGACTGGGGCTGTGGGGGGGAGACTGGGGCTGTGGGGGGGGAGACTGGGGCTGTGGGGGGGGGGAGGCTGAGGCTGAGGGGGGGATTGGGGCTGAGGCTGTGGGGGGGAGACTGGGGCTGTGGGGGGGGAGACTGGGGCTGTGGGGGGGAGACTGGGGCTGTGGGGGGGGGGAGACTGGGGCTGTGGGGGGGAGGCTGGGGCTGTGGGGGGGAGACTGGGGCTGTGGGGGGGAGGCTGGGGCTGTGGGGGGGAGACTGGGGCTGTGGGGGGGAGACTGTGGGGGAAGGCTGGGGCTGTGGGGGGGGAGGCTGGGGCTGTGGGGGGGGAGACTGGGGCTGTGGGGGGGGAGGCTGGGGCTGTGGGGGGGAGACTGGGGCTGTGGGGGGGGAGACTGTGGGGGGAAGGCTGGGGCTGTGGGGGGGGGGAGACTGGGGCTGTGGGGGGGAGACTGGGGCGCTGTGTGTCTAACTCGGGACGGGACACAATGTGTGCGCGGCCGCCATGCGCTGACCTGTGAACCGGAAGCTGATGTAAAGGTGCGCGCGCAAGCCGACTCGCTGGCGGGAAAATTGTTATAGGTAGTGAGACACACACAGTGACATACAGTGTCACACACAGTCACACACACATACAGTGTCACACACAGTTACACACATAGTGACTGTCACGCATTGTCACACACAGGTACAGAGAGTAAGTGTTAAGGGGGAGGAAGTGTATTAAGTATTCCCCAGAGCCCCGATAGTGGTTTAATACTGCAGATTAAAGCGCAGCTGCACTGTTCAGGGGTATGGTGCAGATTGTGATATCAAGGTAAGATTTACAATAATTATACTGCTGACTGCTACCAGTCACTCAGAGATATTACCTGCTGGGTCAGCCACAACTGGGGGTGGAGGAGGAAACAGCATTTAATGTAACCAGACATTCATGACAGAACGTGTACATGATTCACTAAAATATCCCTCTGCAAACAGAAGAGACGATGGGGTTGTGGCAGAGTGGCTCCTGATGGAACTCCAAGGAGAGATAGAATCTCGGCACCACATTGGACTGGCTGGCAACCTCATGGGGGATCTGCACTACACAAGAGAGGTACCTCACTCGCCTCCCGTAATTCTCTGCTTCATTGCTAGTTCCAGTTCATCATCAAATAATTATTGCATTTGATACAGTGTCTGTACTGTCTAAATGCTTTAAGCGATTTAACATCAAATGTATTGACTGCATTTGTAGGTGAACAATGGGAAATTTCCATGTGTAACGAGTGTACATATGTGGAACTCTGTCTGGTTTGGGTACTCTTAAGCACGGTGATGGGTTCCTGCAGACACCTATCACTTTACTGCATGAATGAAATCATTTTGCTTTTATAGAAGAATAAGGAAACTTTGTCCATGTGCTGATCAATTCTTTTTGTGCCAGGGAGTTCCAATCCTGATAATCGGCCACCACATCCTGTACGGTAAAGTCAGCCATCTAGAGAGACCATTTGCCGTGCTGGTCAAACATTCAACCTCAAAAGAAACATCTGAAAGCCGCCTGCAGGCTGAGATCCCGGGAGATGGAAATTCTGTGACTAATTATCTGGTCACTGCTCTTATCAAGAAAAAGATAATTTTCAAAACTCGACCAAAACCCATCATTACCAATGTGCCCAAGAAGTTGTGAGTGTATGAAGCTAGGTACAGTTTGTGTCAGACATCTCCGGCTAAATGTGAATTTCAAAACTGCTCGTTTCATGCTAAGTGATTCCTGGACAGATTTACCAGTGGCTGGAACATCAACAATAAAAGAACAATAAAACTTTTCGCTAACATTTTGCAATTTTAGAGTGAAAGGATATTTGTGCACGTCACATTGCCGATCTCAAGCCAGTGAGAGGTTGGCAGCAAATAGGGAGCCCGGGTCAAGGGGATCTGTACTCGGCAGAGAAATATTCAACCTCAAAGGAAGGTGGAACCTGCTTCCCTCATTGGCAGATTTGGTGTCGAGCTGCTGCCACATTCTCCAGCACCTTCTGCCCTGGAAGGTCTTCATACAGTTAATTACCACAAAACCTAGTGACTAGAGGGAAATTTTCAGCTAATCCATACCAACAACAGCTTGCACTGCATTCAGATCAAAGAACAAATGCTTTCTGCAGTTTAATGAGGGAGAAATATGGACACGTCACCAGGAGAAATTCCTACTAATCTCTTGATAAGTGTCTTGCAATCTGTTAATGTTCCCCAGAACCGGCAGAGAACCTCAGTCCAGGGACTCATTGAAAGACTGCGCCTCGGGCAAAGTTGTGTTCCGCCAGTTCTGTGCCGAGTCCTGAGACTCATCATGGTGTCGGCTTTATGTGGCCGGAAAATTTCAGGTCATGTTCAGGCGGATCCGGCCTGATACCTTCCTGTACTGTTCTTTTTTCAAGGCTCCCTGACTGACTGACCCACTGACTAACACTGACTGACTGACCCATTGAGTAACACTGACTGACTGACCCACTGACTGACTGGCCAGAATGCTCAACAGCAACAATTTGCATTTATATATCGCCGTTCACGTGGTTTAGCGTCCCGAAGCGCTTGCCGGGATTTCCTGCCTTTATTTCGGATTCTCCAAGATTGGAATACAAAGTTTCACCGCCTGAATATTACCAACCAGACTTTCACAAAAATCCAAGTCTTTAAACCTTTAATTTGATTAAAAAAAGTTTTAAAATCTCAGGCGTTTGTAAAAATAAATCGAGCCGCAATGAGGGCGAGTAGTTACCAATCATTGAGAAGCTGCTTACCCCAAACAAGGGGAAAGACCAAAGAATACAGTCTTTTCATTGAAAACCCTGCTGTAGTATTAAATACATAAATTCCCACAAATAGTTTTATAGAAAAATAAAATAATTCGCATTTTAAAAAATGGATTGGTACGTAAACTGAATCCCAGGCTCTCTCACTACCTGCATTATCCAAACCTTTCATGGGATTGTCCCACATGCAGGGCAGCTGTCACCTGGGATTAATTTAATCCAGGAATTCATCGTTGGTTGTGTAACAGAACTGGAACCACAAAGCATCAACACAAACACTCCCATCTCTCCCCTGGAACAGTAACACTCACATCCCCAGGCAGGAGTGTGAGGACAGGAAAGATAATCGTTCTGCCCCAAGTCATTGCCGAGTCTCAAGTCTTGTCCTTCGCTTGTATTTTTCAAACAGATTATTCCTGTTCAGTCAACATTAAATTAGAAAAATAATTAAGAAAAACTTAAAACTGAAAAGTTGTGCAGTGAGTTTTGGACTATAACAATTGGCTTTGTGGTGACCACTGATGGGTGTGAAAGGAAGAGAGGAATGAGTAACAAATGAGGAGCAGAGTGTACAGGTAGGAGAGTGAGACTGGAGGCCATTGTGTAGTCAGGAAGGAAAGACGAGGGTCTTGGGGAAACGTTGGCAAACTACTGAGCCACGTGTGGTTCCTGAAGGGACTGTGTGGCTCACACTTGTACATGAGCTACACATGTGGCTCAGTACAAATCTGGGTTTGACAAGGCTGTTTCAGGTGCAGGAAGTTAGTGACGCCTGACAGAATATTTACAGAGTCTGGTTAGGTAAAGAATATTGGCTGCAAAATTTTGGAGTGAGCTGGAACTGGAGGGAGATAACTGGAGAAACGTGTCCTTGAAGTGACCAGGGAATGAATAAGGATTAAGGGGGATATGAGATCCTGGCATAATAATTATAAGAAGAATAAGAAGAATTCCTGCAGTTCATATAGTAATAGTTGTGGAGTCCTGTAGCTCAGTGGTTAGAGCACTTGCCTTGCAAGCGACAGACCTGGGTTCAATTCCAGGCAGGGTGAAACCTTGGGTAAGTTTCCTTACTCCACACGACTAATAATAATCCCGCCAAAAAAAAATATAATAAAAAATTGGGCATTTTCAATCCAAGACTGTTTATGGGATGCTGCTGTGCGCAATTGGCTGCCGCGTTTCGCCCACAAATATACGGTCAATTCACTTTACAGCACATTCTGTGAAGCTCTTTGAGACGTCTAGAAGATGTGAAAGCGCTATATTAAATGCAAGGATTATATTATTATTATCCCAATTAAACCTGCCTCAACATCCTTCTGAGTTAGTGTATTCCACATCTCTCTATGTGAAGAAATTGTTTCTTGCTTCTAACCACTATGTCCCCTCCAACAGCAGGAAGAATTGTTTCCTATCTATCTTGCCAGTTCCCTTTATTATTTTAAACATTTCATTCACATTATCCTCAACATCATCTTTGGAAATATATCCCGTGCCTCCAGACTTTCATGGTTGCTAAACACATTAATCAATGGTGTTAATTTGTTGCCTCATCGATGAATGCTCTCCACTGCTATATCCCAAGATTGTGAGCTCAAAAATCCCCATTATCCTCCAAATGTGAAAGTCCCTGTGCCAGAAGTCCTGTGACACGGTGGAAAGTGCTTGTCTTTCAGTTATTACCTTGAGCTTCAGGAACAACTGAACCCTGTAGCACTGCTCCCATGATGACCTTATTCTGGAGCAGGGACTCAGGCCTCCATCAAAACCAGGTCCTCATGCTCCGGTTTTTCATTGCGGCGCCGAGCCATGATGGCGAGGTAGAGAGAGAGAAGGAGGAGCCAGTAACAAGCATAGATTATGGCCCCGATAATGAGGAAGGTCCGCTCAGTCTCCTTGAAGGGCACCTGTGCCTCACAGTAAATGGTGTAGCTGAGTCCTCCTGCTAGGACCGAGAACCAGACAGACACTGGCACCAGCCCAATGAGATTGACCACAATCCGCCGGCGCCCTGAGGTGCCCCACCCGGCCTGGTTGATAGTAAAAAGGGCGAAGATTTTGGCAGGGAGGAGGCTGGACATATACAGGACAGAGTAGAGTGACATGAAGACCATAACAATGCTGCCACGCAATAAGCAGGCGTATGTGGCCTTGATCATCCCCACTGTCTGAACTGTGAGCAGGAAAAGCAGGATGTTCCAGAGGCGCCCACTGTAGAACAGCTGAATTACTGTCGTGATAAGGAAAAAGGGGAAGAAGCCAGTCACAATAGATTCATAGGTCATCCACAGATGATGCTTGTGGAGCCAGAGAGCATTGTACAGCCACTCGCGAAAGTAGGACTTACTCCAGCGTGTCTGCTGGTTTAGCCACCGCAGGTATGTGCTGGGGGTCTCTGTCAGGCATTTGGAGCGGGCAGTGTACTTGGTTTTATAGCCTAGACTCAGCACTCGGTTAGTCAGGTGCCTATCATCCCCAAAGCTACACTTGGATCCCAGGAACTGCTGGTTATACCAGTCCTCGAGGAAGAGGCGAAGCAGTGAATTGCGGTACATGCCTAATGGGCCGCTGATGCATTGAACACAGCCAAAGTAGGACTGACACGCCCGCTCCACATTAAACGCCATCCAGTAGCGTACACTACTCAGGAAGGAGATCCACGAATCATATTTATTCAGTATCTGTTGGATAAAAACAGAATTTTAATTATAAGTAACAATTAGCCTTGCATTTGATGCAGTATCAAAATGACTCAAAATGCTTCACAAATAATTGCTCATGTATTTTCTTTCATCAACCAGGTGCTTGACATATGGAAAAACAGGACCATGCTGAAGAATTTCCAAACTATTGTAAAACTACAGTTTTCATGTGTCTGGTATGGAGTCAACAGCAATAACTTGTATTTATTTTGTGCACTGCATGCAGGATAGTGTGTGTCAGAGGGTGCACTCTCCCCCCGGAGGGACATAATCTGCTCATCTAATCCCGGAAAGTCTATAATAATAATAATCCTTGCATTTGATATAGCACTCTTCATGCCTCAAAGCGCTTCACAGAAGACTGTAAAGTGAATTGACTGTATATTTTGTGTGCGAAACGCAGTAGCCAATTGCGCACAGCAGCGTCCCACAAACAGTACTGCCTCTGAGACCATCACAAAAGATCAATCGGATCCTGATCTTCTATTGCCAAATGTGTCATTTGAAGCCATCTCAATCCAGAAAAGACCCTTCAGCACCCCCACCCCCCCACCACCACCACACACCCAGGGACAAAGAGACGTTTTCCTCCAACTGTTACATTTGTAAATGATTGTTCTCACCTGTACATCTCCACCCACTGCTCCCACCTTGGGATCTTCCTCCAGGATTCTCACCATTTCTATGGTGCAGGCAGGATCCAGCACAGTGTCCGAATCACATACCTGAGGAAGAGAACATTTACACTTTCAGCTTGCAACCCAACACTGGAATGACACATTCTGTCCATAGGCGACCTGACCATGCTATAGGCCACCTGAGCCGCATGATATAATATAATTGTAGATTTAACATTAATACACAGAGGGTTTCCATGTCAACAACAACAACAACTTGCATTTATGAGCCGCACTTCACGCGGGGTAGCGCTTATTAAATGGCATTTTAAAGGTGAAATGATTGCGGGAGGGTGAGGGAGGAAGGTGCCGTGACAGAATCAGACCTGGTGTATTTGATACAGTTTATCATCACTTTAAACTTCTCAAAAACCTTCCAGAGATTTTCTGTAAAATGCGCACTTTGGGACAGAGATCAGTGGGTCCCACAAACCGGAGATTTGCTCTCAGGTTTCCAGTGCCAGTGCGTGGATCACGCTGTAAGTGTGTGAGCACCTTCTCTGATCTCGCCCGTTAAACTCAGGTTAAAAGGGGGAAAACACTCGCCTAAAAAACTTTTTTTTTAAAAAAAACTTCTCATTCGAGAGAGAATCGCCGCATGAAAGAGATCTCTCCCCCGCTGTTTGTTTCCAGATTGTGAATAAAGTGGATTTAGAACTGGCAGAGGAGACACTGCTTAGCGCCCAATGAGGCGCTCATTTCCCTCAAACAATTTACACTTAACACAGACCATACAGTGTCAAGAAAACAAAAACAGAAGCCGCTGGGAACACTCAGCAGGTCAGGCAGCATCTATGGAGAAAGGAAAGTGAGTTTGGTGCGAGTTTCACAACCGAATCGTCTTTCAAATAAAAGATGTGAGTTACGAAAATCCAGAGAAATTCACAATAATGTATCAGAACCGCGAATTGCGTGTGTGTCTGTGAGATGAGAGTGAGAGACAGACACACAGACAGGCAGTGATTCAGCTACACTGGGCGGGATTTCTGCAGTAACTGTTTGATCTCCATTCATTGTATTTCTGTTACATTACGATGTCAGATGATATTTCCGTTCCCAGTAACTAAAGTTATTCTTCCAGAAACTCTCACAATAAGAGGTTTAACACAGATCATGTCCCTAAACCCTAACCTCCACCCACACCTCCTTACCTGTATATAGTCCACGCTGTCTCCCAGAGCGCTGAAGGCTGTGAACATGACCTCTCTCTTGCCTCCCCACTTCTGCATGATGCAGGAGAACTTGTTCTGGGTCACGATCTGCTCCACCCGCTTCTTGTTCTCAGTCAGGGTAAAGTCTGTGTCCCCGGGGTCTCTGTCGTGATAATTACTGCTCCAGACATAGGAGCCAGTGTTGTCCTGGCCCAGCACCTGGTTAAAGATCTCCATCATGTACATGTCCTCCTCGCTGTTGCCATCTATCACCATTACCACCTTCAGGTTGGGGTAGGACAGCCTCTTGACCGACATCAGACACTTGCTCAGATACTCGGGATCCTCCTGAAACGCCGCGATACACAGGGCTGTGGACCTGCTGCACTTGCTGAGCCGCCCCCGAGCCCTCATCCTGCGTTGCTCCAGATAGGCGAAGAGGCTCTGGATACAGAGGTGCAGAGCGAGAATCGCCCCATAAACCCCGAAAGACAGGTGATAATTCTCCGTGGAGCCAAATTGATATCCTTTCACATAGGCGAGGGTGATGGCTCCCAATACCGCCAGAGCGAACAGGCTGGTTCCCAGCAGCCGCAGCACAGAGGTGACTTTCTCACAGGACATCTGCAACCAGGGAGATGGTCAGCACATCACAGGCAGCGGGAACAGAGAGGCATAGAGACGCACACACATAACCGTGAGACACACACAACAGGGAGACACACAAAAGATATACACAAACAACAGACATAGAACACACACCGGCGGTAAACTGCGATTGTTCAGCGGTTGAATAGATGGGGAGGAACATGGGTCAGATCCAGTGGAGAGTGAGAGAGAAATCCAACAACTGTCTGCTCTCGCTATAAATGACTATGCGCGTCTGTCTTTGTCTGCGTCTCTCATTCTCTACCGTGTGTGTTTATCGGTCTCGGTTTCCCGGTGGCAGGTTTGAAAGGGAATGAATTGCTATTTCTATTGAATCTTAGTTTCTTTCTCATTGAAGAAACTCAGGTCTGGAACTACGAGAATCAGCAAAAGGATAAAGAGCCGCAGTGATGGGATCCATCAGCCTGACCAGCCCCAATGAGTGCAGTTGGTCAGACTCTCACCTCTGATGTAATGTCTCCCCCAGTTTCTCACCTCTTCCCGAGCAGCGCTAACACTCACCTCGGCACCTGGGCTCGGCTCCCGGAGTCTGTATCTGCGGCTGTTATAGTAGCTGTGAGATGTTCCTCCCCTCCGCACGGAGCCCCTCCCCACCCACAGCCAACGACGACTTGATTTACACAGCGCCCCTCACGTAGGGCAGTGCCTCAGAGCACTTAACAGTGACGGAGCACGACGCCAAGTCAGGGGGAGGTGACCGTAAGCACCGTCGAAGAGGACGGTCTTCAGCCACGACTCGAAGATGGGGAAGGCGGAGGATTTGGGGAAAGTGTTCCAGAGATTCGGGGCGTAGTGGCTGAAGGACGAGGGATAAGCAGGATGCTGGAGCCAGCCGAATGGAGGCAGCCAACAGTGGTTGTGCCAGGGGGTGAAGGCAATTGTAGAGAGTCAGCGACTCAGACCCCCTACCCGCCAGAAAGCCAGCCCCCCAGAAGCACAAACCCCACACAGAGAGCCATTCCCCCAACATAGCCTTCCTCACAGAGAGCCAGTCCCCACCCCCAGAGGTTGGGGATTGAGATGGTGTTACGAGTGATACGTCCCAAGTCACTGGACAGGCTGGGATTTTGATCCGAGCTGGGGGTCGGGATTGGGGAGGGCGGAGAGGGTACCCGAAGGCTTGGTTGAAGAGGAGGTGCGTCTTAAAGGAGGCAAGGGAGCGAGCGAGGTGAAGGGAATAGAGCTCTAAAGGATGGGGGCAGAAACACTGAGGACCCGACCGTTGATGATGGGCGGACTGGACGCGGGACGTGAAGCAGGCCAGAGCCTGCTGAGTGGAGGGAGCGGACAGATTGATATAACGCTTTGAGGCTTCCTCCCAATATGAAAGGCACAAAATCAATATCAAATGCAAGTTATTATATTACTGTTTTGCTGTGTTAAAACTATTTAATTCATTTGCTGGTCAGGGACAAGGAATGAGACCAGCACAAATACTGCTGCACGGTACAGTCAGCAGAGCTTGCTGCTGCTGGTCGCTCTACTCCACCCTCTGGAGGTCAGGCTTGGCTGCCACACTCACACCATGGCCATTTAGGCAGTGCCTCAGTCCATACACTGACCGACTCAACCCCCCATTACTGCTCAAGCCAGACAATTCAGTATTTGTGTGAAGCATTGTGAGACAGACATCCTCTCGTCAGGAAATACATAATGGAAAGTGAATTGTTACACAAACCTGAACTCATTCTTGCTTCCGCTTAAAGCTATTTGAGAGACCTGGTAACATTGTGATCTGGACCCTCACTTAGAACAGCAGCGATTCTTCATCCGGTCAGGGTACCCCTACACCCCCCACCGCCCCTCGGGTAAAAATGTAAACAAGTCATTGAATCATAACAAGTGAGCGAGCGAGTCACAGAAAACATTCATTGTATTTACTAAAATATCTTTTTATGAAAAATAATTTTTTGTTGACTTGATGCCTCCAACCCAGAGAGGGTGAGAACCACATTTTTCTCCCCCAATTGTCACCTCCCTCGTTCCCCCCTCTCGAGCCCCCCTCAGCCCCCACCCTTGGTAACTCTATCCCGCAAACACTCTCATTAATACCCCTCCAGGAATTTTTAAATCATGGAAGAACCATAATTTTTTTCTCCAGTTTTTGATCTGGGAATAGAAACTTCCTGATAACATCGTCCATCTCCTGCAGCGCGAGCTGAGCATGTAACACGGTGACCTCGTCCATCTCTGTCCTCAGCACAAACTTCAGCAAACGATAGAGATCCCGCAGCACGTCACTCAGCACCTGGGGCAGAAAGAGCGACAATTATAGTCAATGGTCGTTTGTCCACACACAGGACGAGTGGCCACAAGCTTAGTCACTGTGAGTAATATTCCTAAACTCATGGTCAGTATTACCATGTCCTGGACAGCATATTATTTACTGAGCTACACCCTGCTCCATTGCTACAACTGGAGCTCAGTTCAAAGGCTGGTGAGAGGCTGACTGTAACAACAGCAAATAGCTGAGAATCACAGAGCCAATTCCTAACGCTGAACAAAGAGGTTTGTGTCATCAATGAGCAGCCAGAGCCCAAGACCGTCATTAGATTTTTAATAAAATAACAGACAGAGATGCCATTATAAGGAGAGTGTTACTGCAATATCCCTTGATCAAGGTTTGAGTGGTTGGCCTGGGGCCAGGGAGGGGAGCCTGTCTCAGCTACTAACCAAAGCCCTGCAAACAGAAACTTTCCTGGGATTCGAGTCCTTTGAAAAACTCGCAGAAAAGATCAAAAAAACTTAACATGTTCAAGTGGAATTGTTATTATTTTGAAAAAGATTTAAAGTGATTAAGGTAAACAAGTGCTTATTCTCCCCCACAGCAGCTAAACTCTGCATCCTGAACTCAACTGTTCCCATTACCTCCAATCTCAATAACTGCTGCCCCCCCATAATCCCCAGCTCCCACTGTGGACAAGGCTTTACACTTTCCTCAGCCCAAGGTCTTGTTTGCCTCAAGTCCAGGAACCCCTGTGTGTGAGCAGACAGACAGAACGTGACTGGTCTCAAGGCTTTACACTTTGCTCAGCCCAAGGTCTTGTTTGCCTCAAGTCCATTAAGAACATTATGACATTAAGATTGTTTCACAATAAAAATAAAATCCACAATTCAAAAGATTCTAACCACAAACATATCAAATGACTCAAGAGTATGATTCAGATGCTGAGTTTGCACATTTTCAGGATACAGGATCCAAATGAGATGCCAAATGTGGCTCCCAGCCAGCAGGCCTGAATCCCCCCCCCGACTGGCCCCCACCTACATAGAGGGATGTGACAATATACATGTGAAGAGAGGCTGGTTAAGTGTTTTTATTCTCACTGGAGTGTGTGTGTGTTTTACTGTAGGTGTGTAAGCAGCTCTGTGCAGACAGGCCTGGACTCACGACTGCTCCTGTTGGGATTCCCAGTGTTCTCTGTTACCGCCCAACCTGCCATTAACTCTCTGCAGCCAATGATTAGAGGCTTAGTCGAGTCCAGGTGCTGCCAGTTCCACATTAAAGCACTGCCAGACGCCACCCTGTGTGAAGGCGTTCATTTGTTTAATGGGCACACATTGGCTGGCACTGAGCTGCCAAACACTCTGGTCTCAGGCTAAGCTGGGAAATCAATTCCCACCCGCATGTAATAATGAGAAGCCAGAAACGTGTTGTGTGTGTATGTGTGTATGCTTAAGTAAGAGAAAGTGAGCGTAACACAAAATATGCAGATAAGTAATTGAGTACGACAGTGCTGGGTTGTGTGAAAAGGTGTGTGTGTGTATGCATGCTGGGGGAGGGAGGCATTACAGGAACACTGTTCAAGTCACCACAAGGGTGTGTGCACACACTGCACTCAGCCTCTCACCTGCAGTGCTTTCTCACTGAGTCCCCGCAACAGGAGTGTCACCACATGCACTGCAGCACGTCGCACCTCAGCCTCCTGCTCTGTCTTCACAATGGCAGAAAGGCAAGCCACAACCTGAGTGAGGAGATCGCTGTTTAGATATTGCGTCAGGACTCGGCCCAAGCACTAACAAGCCACGTCTGTGGCACCTTGTCACAGCCGCAGACACCACAAACAGCATCACATTATCAGTTATTTCATCAAGAAAGTTATTAGATTTGCCAAGCTATTACTCAATCCCCACTGACTGTATTTAATCATCTCTGTGAATATTTATATTGTCCCATACGATGGCCCACTGTGGCTGTCAGACTGACTGCTCTACAGTTACTCGCTTTATCCCATTGCCGCTTTTTGAACCAAAGAGTTACTTATGTTTCAGTACCTTGGGACGTCCGCCCGACGTGAAATAATGCCATTTGTTGTTGTTGTTAGTGACCCTCCAGAGAAGACTTGCCTATTCTAGTTTCCCTCCAACTTCCGGCAGCGTTCTTGGAGGCTGCCCTCAGCCTGGTGACTCGCTCACTTTGAGGTCCAGAAATTATTTTAGTCCCATTTCCTTTTCTATAGTTTTTCCTTCTAATTGCTTCACATTTTCTCTCGTAAACTCAGGATCCTCAGATAAGAGGTTTCTCGCCTGCTTGAGGAGTAGATCTGCACTTACCTCATGTATAACAGGCCCGAGAGCAAAGTGCAGCCTCTGGCAGAGCTCGCCCAGATTAGACAGGCTGCTGGCTCTCATCGTGCTGTCAGCATCTCGGCTCCCAATCAGAAAGGCCTGGATCAGGGGGTCCCGGTAATGAGGGGCAACTGCGCCTGCAGAGACAGTAGCCAGTTATCATGGACAGCAGAGAGGCTGGTTTGCTGCAGCAACGACTAGATGGCACGGCTGGCTCTTTGGGTGACAGAGTGAAATGTCTTCACATACAAAATCAGAACGATATGGAGCACAAAAGGCCATGTGACACTGATTCTCTCCACATAAGCCTCCACTTTGTGAGCTCCTGAGGGAGACAGAAAATCATAGGCTAACCAACCACCTGCTCCAACATTCCTCCACAGTCGCACTTGTGCACAGTCCTAGGAACGAGTATATATGTACGATTGTCTCATCATATGCCTCAATCCTCAGTTTTACAAACAAACCCTGGAAAGAGGCAGGTGAGCAGCTCTATGTATAATAGAATGTGGAGCAATGATCAGTGACACCCAGCATCGCACGCACACCCAGCGTCGCACACACTCCATGCCCACTGTAGCAGCTGCAATGTCTGCTCCACTGCACCAACAGAGTGAGCAGAGTTGCACATTAATAACTGCAACACACACATCACCTTCAGAAAGGCGCTATACAAATATAATTTTGTTGATTGTTCAAAAGATTGTGCTGACACAGGCAGAAGGTAATCACTGAATGCTCACAGAAAGAAGGACAGACACAAGATGGCAGACACTTGCCCCATTACAAGGTCCTCAGTAGTGGTTGTACCTGTGGACTGCATCACAAGCCATTGTCTCGGTATCTGCTGCACACTGAGGATTGTGTATGTCAAAGCCATCCCTGCAGCTCAGTGATTACCTTCCCCCATTACCTTCCCCATTATAGATTTCCCCCATTGGCTCAGTGCATTTCCCCACTGAGGAACTCAGTCACACTCACTGACACAAACCGATTGCACCCTGTGATAGATTAGCTCACTAACACTCACAGTCTAGCTCACATTTTGCAATCATCACCAAAGGTACCAAAGGATGCACAAAGTTGTGTCCCAGCAGGAGTTAAATGTCTTCAAGAGAAACATAAGGAGGTTAGTGCTGGGAGTCTACATTTCAACAGGAAATCACAGACTCCACATCACTTGTCTCAGTGAGCCCAGCCCAGCGTTCTGCCCTTGTCAGTTATCTGTGTCTGTCCTTCACGTCACAACACGTACCAAAAGATGACCTTATCTTCAGGATTAGCTAATCGCTTGCTCACTACTGGGGCGTGTTCCTCAGAAACATCCACAGGAGAAACGAGCGAGACAAGAGTCAGTCAAACACAACAATCTGGTGGGACAGCTAAACAATTTGCTCTGTGTCTCTATCCTGGAACAGAGTTAGAAGGTTACACAAACAGGACGGCAGCGGGGCCTGGGACAGACAGACTGACTCACCTAATGCCCTTGTGACTCGCATCAGTACCTCTCCCATCTTCATCCTCCTGTCCACACTTCCTGCTGTTTGTTCTCGCAGTGACGTGCTCTGGTATTCTCGTAGCAAGTGCAGCAGCATGTGGTCAGGAGCGGAGTCTGACAGCACCTCTAGACCTGTGGGGAGACATCAACAGTGTAGCTGGACTTCCAGTCAATAAGATTAATATTCAACAACACAGAAAATGGTCCCAACAAGAGACCAGTCAACAAATATCCTTATTATTATTAATTGTTATTAATATCTTTATTATTATATCTTAATGACATTGAGGGAAAGATTGAGAAGTTACGATTTTCATTTAATTTATTGTTTTTTCCTCCAATTTTCTCACTTTCTTGAGATGTTGATTAACGTTCTCCATTACCTCACCCAAGTGGCCACTCTTCCTGTGTGAATCCCAATAGTGAGTGTCCCCGAGCTCCCAACCACAGGTATCACAGTGACACAGCACAGACACAGGCCTAACATCACAGCTGACACAGGCCTAATGACACAGCACAGACAGCACTCACTCCGCTAACCTTGAATAGCAGTTAAATAAACAAACGAGTCTTCGTGCCCCAGATTGTCCAGGAAAACCTAAAACAAAGATTTCAACAAACCTTAGCAATAAGTCAAATATTATTATTCCCCCTCAGCCCTAGCCTCACTCCGCACACTAAGAAACTCACCGTCAGAAGCTGTTCCCAGTGATTCAAAGCTTCCTGGCTCCTGTGTTTGATGGTTTGTGTGAGGGTGCGGAGAGCAGCCACCCTGGTGGGCACCTCAGGGTCACAGGCCGCTTGCAGAACCTGGTGGAAATTGTTGGGAGGATTCCCAGACTGTGTGTGATCCACCATGTGTGTAGACGGGGTCAGTGGCCTAGGCTCAGGCACTGTGCCTTCTCCTGGACCACATTCCTGGAGATTATTAAACTTGGTCGATGTCATGTCCAACTCTGAGCCATGGTGGCCTCTGGTGCCATGTCTGCTCCCCGCAGCAATGTGTGATGGTCGGGTGATGGCTCCGTGGGTGGCGATTGTAATGCGTAACTCTGCGGCCAGTTGCTGTGTGCTGGGGTCCCTGTGTGCCACACTGATCTGCTCCAGCGGGGCGAGCAGCACCTCCATAGCTTCATAGTCAGCCTGAGCAAACTGCAGAGAGGTGACATGTGGGGTTATACTAAGCGGGGTATGTGGGGGTTATGTGGGAGCTACACTGAGGTAGGGAATGGTGGGGTTTACCTGCACTCCTCCTCCCAGCATGGCTGCGATCAGCCCCAATGCCACACTCAGCGTCTCGGTCTCCACAGTGTCCATGTCTCGGCCAGTGAGATCAGCACAGACTCGCTGTAGCACAGCCCCAACAAACTCCATCAGCTGCAGAGAAGAGAAGAGTGACACGAGGGCTCTCGTCCCCCACACAAGGCGTTGCTACTGATCGCTTTGCTCCATTGCCAAGGCACCAAAAACGTTGTCGTGGTTTCTGTGTCAGTCACGTTATCATGGCAACAAGGCCCTGGCAATGCTGGTCATCACTTTAAAGTCACTACTGCTGTACAACACTGAGCAAGAACAAAGGAGCCAAAGAACCAGCAACGACAACCCTTATTAATATTGCTTCCCCTGACCCCGCCCCACCCACCCTGTCCCCTGCCCTGCCTCACCTCACCTGCACAGTGTTGCTCAGCACCGTGGGACCCAGTCGCTCACTCAGCACAGCTACAAGCTGCAGAGTGAGCAGCTGCTGAGACTCCCTGTCACTGGGGTCCAGGAGCGGCTGAGATCCTGATGCAGGATGGCAGTCGCCATCCTCTCCCAGGCTCACCAGGCCCTGCACAGGAACATGCATGTCAGTCCCAGCATGTCACACGCATGTGCACTCACACATACATATATACATACACAACCCCACACATACACCCACACACATATATATAAATCCCCACACCCACATACATATACATATATACACCCACACACACATATGTATACACACCCGGATGCCTCCCGCACAAGGTCCCCACCCCCCCACACGCGGCCCCCCATCCCCGTCCGACCTTCAAACACTGGAGGAAGAAGTCTCCGGCGACGCCGCCCTTCTGAGGCAGGCAGCTTAGGATGTCCCCCAGGCATTCGAGCCGCCATTGCTCCCAGTGAAGCTTCTCATACAGAACCTCGTCAGCTTCACTGAAAGGAGGGAGAGGGCGTCACTCACTGCTGGCACTCTGTGTCTGTCTGTGTGTGAGTGAGTGTCGGTGTGACTGTGTGTGTGAGTGAGTGTCGGTGTGACTGTGTGTGTGTGTGTGAGTGAGTGTCGGTGTGACTGTGTGTGTGTGTGAGTGAGTGAGTGAGTGTCGGTGTGACTGTGTGTGTGTGTGAGTGAGTGTCGGTGTGACTGTGTGTGTGTGTGAGTGAGTGTCGGTGTGACTGTGTGTGTGTGAGTGAGTGAGTGTCTGTGTGACTGTGTGTGTGAGTGAGTGAGTGTCTGTGTGACTGTGTGTGTGTGTGTGAGTGAGTGAGTGAGTGTCTGTGTGACTGTGTGTGTGTGTGTGAGTGAGTGACTGTGTGACTGTGTGTGTGTGAGTGAGTGAGTGAGTGAGTGTCTGTGTGAGTGAGTGTCTGTGTGACTGTGTGTGTGAGTGAGTGTCTGTGTGACTGTGAGTGAGTGAGTGTCTGTGTGACTGTGTGTGTGTGTGAGTGAGTGACTGTGTGACTGTGTATGTGTGTGTGTGAGTGAGTGAGTGAGTGAGTGTCTGTGTGACTGTGTGTGTGAGTGAGTGTCTGTGTGACTGTGTGTTTGTGTGTGAGTGAGTGAGTGTCTGTGTGACTGTGTGTTTGTGTGTGAGTGAGTGAGTGTCTGTGTGACAGTGAGCGAGTGAGCAAGTGAGCCATTATCCCCACACCAGGTTGCAGCATCGCAGCACAGACTTATACCTATTTTAATGTTATATTTATAATAATCATTATTCTATTACACGGTGTCTCTGTGAGTGGGTGGGTACCATACACCCAGTTACTGAGTAAACATAGAATCCTTACAGCGCCTCAGCACAGCATCACGGTATCTCAAAGCAGAACGTGTAGTAACTGTGTATGGAGATGGATTACCCGGAAACCTCCTTCACAGAGAGCCTGACACCTCCCTGGCTGCCCGGTTTGAAGCAGTACTGTGGATGGAAGCCCGGGATAAGGGCTGAGCTGGGAGCAGGAGTCAGCCCTGCGAGCTGTTGTAACACCCACACTGCCCTGTGTGGCTCCAATTGCTGCATCAACCACAACACGATCTCCTGTGATAGAGAGCTGTGAGAGAGATTACCACCCCCGCTCACACCCGTGCCCTCCCCCCCTCTCACCCCAGCCCCACCCCGCTCACACCCACCCTCCCCAGCTCAGACCCATTGCTCGCACCCACCCGTTCACACCTGCTCAAACCCCCGCTTACGCCCATCACACTCATCCCCTCCACCCACCCAGTCACCCCCGGACACCATCACACAGACCCGCACCGTAAGTAGGAGACGCCTTGTTTTGTGAAACAGTAAAGATGGAAGATGACACAAATCACCGATTGCAGTGATTTCAGCAGCATGGCATCTGCATCATTGCCAACCACACACAACTGTACAGGAAAGAGCGTGAAAATAATAGTTATTCCATTTAATAAAGTGCCTTATCACATCACCAAAGCGCTTCAGAAATTATTAGTTTCCGCCCCACCTCAACCCCCACCCTTCCCTGGGTCCCTGCCCTTTGTGAGGAGACTATATAAATGTACCTTATATATATTCTCAACGGACCTGCTGAGATCTCCCTCCTCCACAAGCCGGGCTCCGAGTGGCTGATCTCCTGACAGCACCTCTGACAGGAAGAGACAGCAAAACTCAATGTGATGTGAATAACCAACGGAGAAGCCTTGTCCTGTCTCCCAGCGCCGGGGGCCAAGGTGGGGGCACAGCGATACTCACAACACTAAAACATTAGCAGGTACTACACTGCCCTGGTCAGCACTGCCCTGGTCAGCACTCCCCCCTCCCCCCACCACGCCTCACACTCCACCTCTCCTCCCACCACGCCTCAGCCTCCCCCCACCTCAGCCTCCCCCCACCTCAACTCACACTCCCCCCCCCCTTCCCCCACCACGCCTCACACTCCCCCCACCACGCCTCACATTCCCCCCCACCACGTCTCACACTTGCCCCACCACGCCTCACACTTCCCCCACCCCTCACCACACCTCACACTCCCCCCACCACGACCCACACTCCCCCACCACCCACACCACACTCCCCACCACCCACACTACCCCCCCTCACCACGCCCCACACTACCCCCCCTCACCACGCCCCACATTCCCCCCCCACCACGCCCCACACCAAGCCCCACACTCCCCCCCCCACGCTCCACACAACATCTCACACTCCCCCCGCTCTCCTCAAACTCCCCCCACTCTCCTCACACTCCCCCCACTCTCCTCACACTCCCCCCACTCTCCTCACACTCCCCCCACTCTCCTCACACTCCCCTGCACCCCACCCCCCAACCGCCTCTCGCTGGCCCAGTGCCTGGTGACTGACCTGTGGGCTCCAGGCAGAGGTGCAGGGGGCTGAACAGGGGTGTAAGCAAGTACTTGTCAGCCAGGCCTGGCTGCTCGCTCAGCAGGGAAAGCGCTGACCTCGTGGCCACTTTCTCAAACTGACGAGCAGTAAGTTTATCTTTGATGTTCAGCATCTCCAGGACCTGAGAAAGAGAAATGGCCGAAATGACAGTGCGAAACAATGCCCTGTACCAGAGACCATTCACACTCTCTCACACACACGCACGCGCTCACACGCACGCACGCGCTCACACGCACGCACGCGCTCACACGCACGCACGCGCTCACACGCACGCACGCGCTCACACGCACGCACGCGCTCACACGCACGCACGCGCTCACACGCACGCACTCAAACACAGGTCTTGCTTGTATCCTGCTAGAAAAGTGAACACAAGATTGTGGATCTGTTTTCTTCAGTATAATGTTAGCCTGTGCCCGGGGTCATGTTAAAGCCCCCACACAGTGCCAGATAGCACTACCCTGTGTATGCACTAACCAGGTTAGCGCTATCTTCACCACACATAATATTTAACGTTTCAGCTTTAATCTTCTCTAACCCTGTATACAATCAAACATCCTCGTTCACCGAAATCTCGCACGTCTCAGTGGCTCCCTGCCTCATAAGAACATAAGAAATGCCAGATGAAAAAAGACCAAGGTCCGTCTAGTTTGCCTTCCACCTTCCTGGCGGTCACATGGACACATGTCCCAAACTACCTTTGTACGATATCCCATAATGTTATTTCCTAAAAAACTAGCAAATCTGTGTTTGAAAGAATCAACATTTCCTGCTTCAACCGTCTCCCCGGGGAGCCTGTTCCACAGGCTCACTATTCGCTTACTTACAGCCTCCTTACCTCTGCCTCCCCACAAGTTCCCCACGTTATTTAATTATCCCCCATCCTGGGTTTCTGAGGCTGACCTGATTTTATTCTGGGTTTATGTTTACCTTTTGTGCTCAGCGATTGGCTGACCTCCTTGAGCTATGTGTCCTAGTTATTTCTTACACTTCCTCCCTCATGGCTTTGAAGTTTTACCTTTTTAGAATCTTCCCTTTGTCCTTCCCTTCCTGCAGCTGACAGTCAGATTGCCTTACATCCACTCTTACTCCAATCCCTGGAGGTGTTGCTGGTATAGAAAAGCTTTACATTGGCACCAATGTACCCCGAGGCTGTGTGCTGTGCACTGTGTGCACGCACTGTGTGTGTGCTGCATGTGTATGACTGGCAGGTTTCCAGGTCAGTCACTGCTGCAGAATTGCCGCTGTGGAAGGGATGCACTGGAGCGATTACCTGAGGACACACGTGACTGTAGTATTCTTCAATGGACAGACACTGCTGAGGACATGCTGCGAGGATCCGTGCAACACTCTCATATTGCTTCCAATCAGCATCAACCACATCTGCACATTGGCCTCCAGCTGTAACATAGAGACTACTAACTCACGCTGTCTCTAACATAGGGATGAATAACTCGTGTTCAAACGTTGTCTCTAACACAGGGACAAGTAACTAGTAATAATAATAATAATCCTTGCATTTGATGTAGTGCTTTTCATGTCTTCTAGACATCTCAAAGCGCTTCACGGAATTGCTGTAAAGTATATTTGTGGGCGAAACGCGGCAGCCAATTGCACACATCAGTGTCCCACAAACAGTTGTAGATTGAAAATGACCAATTTAGTATTGTTTTGTTTTGGAGGGATTATTATTAGGTGTGTGGAGTAAGGAAACTTGCCCAAGGTTTCAGCCTGCCTGGAATTGAACCCAGGTGTCTCACTTGCAAGGCGAGTGCTTTAACCACTGAGCCATAGGACTCCTGTAGTGCTGTCTGTAATACAGAGACGAGTAACTAGTGTTGTCCCTAACACAGAGACTAGTAACTAGTGCTGTCTGTAACACAGAGATAAGTAACTAGTGCTGTCTGTAACAGAAACAAGTAACTAGTACTTTCTAACACAGGGACTCAAAACTAAGTTGGTATAACAGAGAGGTGTAGAACAACTCCCCTGGTATGTGTGATTTTGGTACAAAGCAAACAGTTCATGTCAAGGCAAGTGACCGGTGAGTAAGTAATGCTGAGCACACTGACCCAGTTCTGATGCCCTGAAGAGCGGAAACTATGAGTCTCTGAAGAAACCTGTCGAGACCTGTTTTTTTTTTTTTACACAGAATCACTATTAACAATAAACATTTTCGTATCTCGCTTCCCAGAAGCCTGGTCTGCAGCCAATATTCAAATTCCACTTCCTGAGACAAGCACAGTGAGACCACACCTGAACCACAGCACTCCCCAGTCCAGTCCCCAACAAGCTGATAGAAACCGGGATGTTAAATTACATGTTATACTATCTCTTCTTATTGCTTCACTGGTTTTCCCACCATTGACACCAGATTTACAGCTCTGTAATTGTACAGCAGCTCTCTTCTCCCTGATTATTGCTAAGGTAAATTGTGTTTGTGCTCTGATCCATTAGTGCAGAGATTGAAACATCAAACATTTATAACTTGTTCCTAATATTATCAGGTGCAAGAGCCTGCCCATGTCCGAGTACAGTTATGTCAGCTGGCAACACTCCCTTTGGGAACTGACTTGAGAATTGCAGATCCCAATGCAAATCAGTCAGTCTTCATCTCACCTCCAGCTCCTTCCAAAATCCCTCGGACAACCGCCTGGACACCATGAGGTTTCATCAGCCTCTGAGAGAGCAGCTGCCCACACAGGACCCGCAGCCATCGTGGGGCTGCAGGGTGTCGCTGGGATTTCCCGCTGTTCGGTGCAGCAACCTGTGACAGGACAAGCAGGAGCTCAGTGTGTGTGGGTCACAGGCAGCTCAGGTCGGGGTGGACACTCCGCCAGGTTGCCAGGCTCACAACGTGTTTTTCAGAATGAGATTGAGTAGAAACAAATTGAATGTGCTATGAAGACAAACACAGAGGGCAATGGGCACCAGAAACACTTTACAAATATCAATGAGATCAGGAATGTGTGTGAGGGTGTCTTTGTGTAAGTATATGTGACTGTGAGGGTGTGTGATTGTCTGGGTAGTGAATTGGAATATTGGTATCAGCAAAAATTAAAGCTCAACATGTGTTACAACACATATGAGATTCAGAAATGTAACAGAGAGTGTGACGGAGAGGGGCCATTGGGACGGGATGGACTTGAGCCAAGCCGACCCAATATAAATAATATAGAAACGCTGCTGTGGAATCTATGAATGAATACAAAACTGCATCTCGGGACGTTCTCCCAACGTGAAAGGCACTTTCGAAACGTAATTTGTTATTGTTCCTGTAGGTCCTAGTGTGCTGAGGCTGTTGTACATATGTGGTACCTGCTTGGCTCCTCCCTGCAGCAGCAACAGTTGCCTGACCACGAGGGGCTGGTACACACGATCCAGCAGCTGCCGAAGAAACTCCTGACACCGCTGACACTCCTCAGCCATCAGCTCCTGTCAATGAGAAAATGCCAATTATGCAAGGCAGCCTCTGGTACCCTCTGCTGGACAAGCAGCACTGCACCAGTGGCCTCTTTATCTAGAATCACATTATTAACAGTATAAATTACATTGCTCTAGTGCCTTTCACATCAGGACAATCTCCCAAAGCACTTGAAAGTTTTTCCTCCCTGAGCTGGGGAATTTTATTAACTCCAAATTAACAAACTAATAATCTTACAGTAAATTAACTCATATGTTCATGTCAGCAAATGGAACAGCATCATGTCCTAGTGTTATCTTGAGACATAATAAAAAATAATAATCCTTACATTTGATATAGTGCCTTAACGTGTCTTCGAAATGTCTCAAAGCGCTTCACAGAATATATTGTAAAGTAAATCGATTGTATATTTTGTGGGTGAAACGTGCAGCCAATTGATTCGTGGGGGGAAGGGTATTTATTAATGAACAGGGTAAAGGTATTTATTAATGAGGGAGGGGGGGGGGAAAGTAAGAGTATTTACCTGCTCAGCCATAGGGGATCTAATTTGCTGCCAATTTATTTTTACGAAAATTCACAGAAATTCTGCTGTGTGAGTCGCTACTTGTTGCTGTACCTTTGGCAGCTCACTGCTCCCTCGGGGATCCTCTGGTGAGACCGGCCCCATCCGACTCCTGTGTGGAGAATATCCCAGTTGGCAAAGGCCAGCAATCACATCCCCAAGGTGCCGTGTGAGGAGCATGTTTCCGAGAGAATGGTGCTCAGCAATGTCCAACAGCACGGTGACACATGTGTGTAGCCTGCGGCTCCCGCTGGGCGGCACAGAATAGCTGATCACCTTCTCAACCATTGCTGCAAACACCGATCTGCAGGCAAGAGGTGTCCCAACTCCAGAGAGGAGATAGGGGCAGATTCCAAGGCTGATGATGAACTGCAGTGCAGCTTGGACAGTCCTCTGTTGTGCGATGCTCAGGGTGTCTGGCGAGAGTGCCGGTGCACACTCTGGGCTCCTGGGGTTTGGCTTTGGAGGGGAGAATGACGCTAACAGATCAATCATCGTCTGCTTCAAACACAAGAGAAGCAGCAGTGTCTCCGAAACAAACATCCACACGACATCCTGCGACTCCAGCCACCAGCGTAATCGCGGCACAAGCTGCCCCCGGAGCCGGCTAAGCTCCGTGTAGCCCGGATCCTGCTCCAGCTTCTCCCTCAACAGCAACAGGTTGTGAGACAGCATGAGAAGCACAGCCCCCGCCTCAGTGTCCTGTGCGGAGACTTGGCAGCTCTCTGTAACCAGAGTAAAAGGCTTGAGCTGAAAACTGAGAACCACAACATAAACTTCACAAGCAGTAGCGATATTCTGTCTCTCGCAACACATCCCGTTCACAAACATTCCTGATTTCCTGACTTGCAGGCAAACCAGAGTAACTGCCAATCATCCTTACCAATAATCAAGTATTGATTATCCTTTCACTGGACACAGCGCTGACAACATCAAAACATCTCAAAGCGTTTCATGGCTAAACGCTGTGAAGTGATCTGACTGAGAGCGGAGCTCGAGCTGAGTCAGGCTATGTCTCCCCGCAAATCCCTAACCACAGCAATGTACAGCACAGGAGCCCATTCAGCCCACCAGCAAAACAAGCCCGAGCTGGTGGGAGATACGGCTGCCGATAGCATCCCCGGGGCCTAACACGGTAACCCCGGGCCTGTAACACGGGAACCGCGGGCCTGTAACACGGGAACCGCGGGCCTGTAACACGGTAACCCCGGGCCTGTAACACGGGAACCGCGGGCCTGTAACACGGTAACCCCGGGCCTGTAACACGGGAACCCCGGGCCTGTGACACGGGAACACCGGGCCTGTGACACGGTAACCCCGGGCCTGTAACACGGGAACCCCGGGCCTGTAACACGGGAACCCCGGGCCTGTAACACGGGAACCCCGGGCCTGTAACACGGGAACACCGGGACTAACCGCCGCAGGTGACCAACTCTCTCAGAGCCTCAGTTGCCGCTACCAAAGCCGCCATCATCCGCGTCACTGCGCTGCGCCACCGCCCGACGCGCATTTAACACGTTGTGGATTGTGATTCACGCAGCTCCAAAAGCACGTGAGCCCTAGTAGGCGGGGCTGTGAGCTGGGGGCGGGGCTGTGAGCTGGGGGCGGGGCTGTGAGCTGGGGGCGGGGCTGTGAGCTGGGGGCGGGGCTGTGAGCTGGGGGCGGGGCTGTGAGCTGGGGGCGGGGCTGTGAGCTGGGGGCGGGGCTGTGAGCTGGGGGCGGGGCTGTGAGCTGGGGGCGGGGCTGTGAGCTGGGGGCGGGGCTGTGAGCTGGGGGCGGGGCTGTGAGCTGGGGGCGGGGCTGTGAGCTGGGGGCGGGGCTGTGAGCTGGGGGCGGGCTGTGAGCTGGGGGCGGGGCTGTGAGCTGGGGGCGGGGCTGTGAGCTGGGGCGGGGCTGTGAGCTGGGGGCGGGGCTGTGAGCTGGGGGCGGGGCTGTGAGCTGGGGGCGGGGCTGTGAGCTGGGGGCGGGGCTGTGAGCTGGGGGCGGGGCTGTGAGCTGGGGGCGGGGCTGTGAGCTGGGGGCGGGGCTGTGAGCTGGGGGCGGGGCTGGGGCGAGGGAGGAACCACAGACCAGGGAACAATTTCCCAAAGTTAGTTTAATGGCGGCTCAGATCCCAAACCTTAAATAATTATCTGCACAAACACATTAACACTAAATTTCCTTTCAACATAAAATTTCTTTTATAAAGTTTCTTTTAACATAAATATAAAAATCTTTCAAACAGAATGGCTCAATAACTGAACTTAAATAAGTTTATTCCTGACAATAACGCCTCACTCACTCATCCGTCTGTCTGTGTTAGTAAAGCCACACAAAGGTGCTCGTGTGCAGAGGTGTGCCTTATCAATATAAAAGTCACACCTTCCTGTCCTGCCTTCGTTTCTAACAAATAAGCTAAACATGTTCAATGGTCAATAGTTTGTAGCAAAAGTAAGTCATTTGCAGAGCCTCGCAATCTCTTGTAAACAAAGTTCTCAGAGCTTCAGACGGTTAGTGTGATTGTTGTGTGGGTCTGACACTCGAGTCCTGGGAGGCTGCAAGCACGCGGGAATCACTGCTCAGCCTAGGCACATGTTGCTGAAATCAAGTTCCTTAAAATCATTACAGCAACATCCTGCGGGTTAGAAGCTTTTACTATGTCGGGGGGAGGGGGGGGGGCGAAGAGTTGCTGTGGCAGCTCAATGTGCCACTCTTTTCCCAAAGTGCATGCTTTAGTGAATTGGGGAATGGCAGCTTCCTGTAAGTGGGATAGTTCACTCTGTGGCCAGTGCTTGCTGGAGCTCAGCCTCGCTCAGTAACAGTCTGACGTCGGTCAGGAGGTCCAGGACTGCATATTTTTGAGCATCTCTGCGAAGGCCTCTCTGGATGGAGCTGCCACATTTCTCAGTGAGTCTTCGATCCTGCTGCACAGACTGAAGGATTTCAGGTCGAGCCAGATGAAGCCAAAATGATCCTCATCGAACAAGATGAAAAGGCCCGGAGTCCGCTCAGGGCTGGTGAAGCCGTGACCGGCGATCAGACCCGTCCCGTAAAAACTGCCAACAAAACCAGACATTAATGACAATCATAGTAATCCTTGCATTTCATGTAGCCCGTTATGTCAAAATGTCTTAAAGCCTTCACAGTAAACACAATATTGTTTAGTGTAGTGACTATGAATTTGTAGACAAACCCAACATCCAATCTCCACACAGCCAGAAGTGACCAATGTAACTGAAGGATTGTTGGCCAGCCACGAGGAGAAACTCCCTTTGAATAGTGTTAAGGGATCTTTTAATGTTACCCTGAACAGGCAGGTGGGACCTTGGTTTAACCTCCCATCCATAGGACGGTCCCTCCAACAACGCAGCACTTCCTCACCACGGTGCTAGAATATCAGCCTGAACCATGAGCTCAAAGTCTGGTCTAAATGGAGCAGGCACCAAAGCAGCCTCCTGTCTCTTTAACAGGGGGCTGCGCTCTGCTGCCACAGTATCTCTCAGTCCCTTCCCTTTAGGCCAACATGAGGCTGTTTACCAAGTGCGACACATCCTTGGATACATCTCATTCCGAGCCAGGACTCCCACAGGAAGTACGAAGGGCTGGCCAGCAGACACCACTCCCTCTGCCATCCCTGCTCCCGCGCCCACTGTGCCCGTCTTGCTGCTGGTCTCCTCAGGTGTCGATCCAAGCTTCGGTTGCTCCATGCTGTTGTGTGTGGTCTGCAGATCCTCCACGCTGCGCTGGGCATTCTCCTGCCAGTGTTCCCGGGGGTCAGGGCTTTGCTGTGCCTGTTGATGAATTTCCAGCACAATTCGTGACAACTCCTCAAAGTTGCGGAGCTGCTCGATGTCCGGTAGCCTCACTGGGCGGGTCATGTCGATGTGCAGCGTCAGTTGTCCCGCGGGCACATTTGGGTCTCCCTGAAACACACATGTTCAGCACAGCAGGAGGTTACATTAGGCTGTGGTGTCCATCCCCAGACACCCTCATTTACATCACTTTCCAGCTCTTTCCTGCCCTCTCTTACTCCTCAGGTGTCACTCAGTTCCTTTTGAACAAGTGTAAAGCAGTCAAACTGCTGTGCATCCTCAACTGTCTTATCTTCCCCACATCCAAGCCATGACCTACTCTGCCTTCCCTCAACTCGGTAACATCGCCCGACTCCGCCACTACCTCACCCTTCAGGCCGCCGAAACCCTTGTTCATGCCTTCATCATCTCCAGGCTGACTATGCAAACGCCCTGCGTGTCAGTCTTCCCAACACCTCCCTCTCCAGGCTGCAGATAATCCAGAACTTTGCAGCCCGTGTCCTCCCCTGCACCAAACTCCATGACCCCATCTCCCCCACTCTCGCCCAACTCCATTAGCTCCCCATCCTTCAGAGGGTCCAGTTCAAGATTCTGGTCTTCACCTACAAAGCCCTCCATGGCCTCGCCCCACCCTACCTCTGCAACCTCCTAACCCCCTACCAACCCGCCCGCTCCCTCCGCTCAGTCGGCTCTGGCTGCTCCACGTCCCCTGACCCACCCACCCCACCATTGGCAGGAGAGCCTTCAGCCATTCTGCCCCCAACCTCCGGAATTCCATCCCTCAGTCACTCTGCCTCGCCCCCTCCTTAGCCTCCTTTTAAGTCCCTCCTCTTCAACCATGCCATCGGCCACCCCCTTTCCCCTCCCTTCCCTTCTCCCCCCTGACCCGAGCTCGGGTCTGAAATGCTGTACACTGTCCAGCGCCTTGGGACGTCCTCCCAACGTGAAAGGCGCTATACAAATATAATCTTGTTGTTGTTATAACGAGCTGCGTTAGTGCTGATTGTGTGTAGTACTCGTTCACTGTTGTTAAGCACTCTGAGACCTTTCCCGTGTAAAGGATACAATATAAATGCAAGTTGTTGTTGTCTCCCTGTCCAGGCTCACACCATTTCTAATCCTAACTATAATGTTCTGAACTGATCAGGACCACAGGTTGTACAAACGTGAACACATTATCGGATAATCAGTGAACATAGGAAATGATTGGGTTGGCTGGCTGCTTGTGTTATGAAGCAGACTCCTTCCTGCTCGATGCACCGACAGATCATCATTTCCCTGTAATCCACAGGATGCAATAAAAACACACCGTGATTTTGGTGACTTTGAGGTGAGTCCCGTGAAAGCTCAGCATAACGATCTCCAGCCCATGGCTCCCATACGTCCCTTTAAACAGGCCAGGGGGTATCAGATCCTCTGGGCTGGGCACCGGCAAATAGATCCTGCGATATGTCAAGCAGTTACTGAAACAAACAAGCAAACAGGCATTAGGACACCTCAACTAGTCCAGCCTACCATCCAGTAACAGCTAGTCATTGCATCTGGTCACATACAGTACTTTTCCCCACACACAACAGGCACCCACCCCCAGCCGTATCCAGTACTGCAGACTCTCCTGGCAAACAACTAGACTAGACACCACCACCAGAGGGTGGGCTCAATCCACTTTTCCTTTGCACAGCATATCACTTTGGGACCAGCTCAGCCCCAAGGAGTCCCCACTTACCTCCCCCACTCCAGGTCAGTCAATGGGTTGGTATGACAATAATGGAAGAAGGCTTCAGTCAAACTTATTCAGATCAAAATGACCCAGATTTCTGCAGCTCTCTCTCAATCACACAAGGATTCCTGCAGGTTCCCAAACAAGCATCTCTTCTGACATACGACCGGAGTCATTACAGCAAGTTGCTTCAATGGCCAGAGGCTATGGGATGCTGGTCTCGGGATGAAACACTCACTCATATTGACTGGTGTAGATGAACTTCATCAGGATGAGCTCCTGCATGTGCTCATGGAAGATATCTTCGAGGGTACGACCCCACTCCTCCGCCAGCCACGTCCTGAACTCCTGCCAATGGAGACACAACAGAGCCTCATAGCTAGTTCTCAGTCAGACATTGCTCATAGGCACTCTGCGACCAGGGCAGGCCTGGGCAGAGCTGGGCGGAGCTGTTCAGGTATGGGCAGGGCAGTGTGTGTGGTGCAGCTGGCAGTGTGTGGTGTTGGTATGGCTGGCAGCATGTGGTGTCGATGTGGCTGGCAGTGTGTCTGGCGTCGATGTGGCTTTCAGTGTGTCTGGCGTCGATGTGGCTGGCAGTGTGTGTGGTGTTGATGTGGCTGACAGTGTGTATGGTGTTGATGTGGCTGACAGTGTGTGTGGTGTTGATGTGGCTGGCAATGTGTGTGGTGTTGATGTGGCTGGCAATGTGTGTGGTGTTGATGTGGCTGGCAGCATGTGGTGTTGATGTGGCTGGCAGTGTGTGTGGTGTTGATATGTGTGAGGTCACATCATTATCAGGGCCACAGGATTCTGCCCCAGTGACAAATTAATCTGATGGACTAACCTCCTGCCGGCCGCCAGCCATTCGATGGTGATCTGTTTGGTTACACTTGGTGGAAAACTCATCCTTTTTTACAATCTACAAAAGCAAAGACTTGTTCACACGGCATCCCACAGAGCAAGCTAACCCTCCTTCCCAAATACACACACCCCCTCTCCCACCCCCCCAAACATACACACAGCACTTCCCTCCCACCAAACATAAGCGCACCCACACACAGCCCCTTCCCCCCAATATACACGCACCCACACACAGCCTCCCCTCCCCCAAACATACATACACAGCCTCTTCTTCCGCCCCCCAAACTTACACACACACCCACAGCCTCTCCCCCACCAAACATACACACACAAGTTGTTAAGAACTCAATTCCACTATATTGTTCTGCCTCTTAGTTCAGTGTCAATGAGGCCCCATGTCGGAGCCTCCCCTCCGCCCGAGGCGGAGGCAGAGCAGTGACACAGCCCCAGGTGCAGTAGGAATCGAGGCCAGATACGCAATTACAATCTCATTGTCTTACCTGGACATCCCCTCTGTGTGAGCCCTTGTGGCCGTACATGCACTCCACCTCTGCCTGGTGCTTTTCCCACAAGTGAATTCGGAACAAAGGTTTGCACCGCATGGTGTCATTGACTTGGGGGTCGTGAGGGGGGAGATACATCCAGCCGATAATAAACAGGCCATCCACCTGCGGTACAACAGGAAACCCAGTGAGACACGCGAGAACCACATAGCACTACTACTTCCCTGCCCCTCTGCCCCCTCCCTACCCCCCCTCTGCCCCCTCCCTACCCCCCACTGCCCCCTCCCTACCCCCCCACTGCCCCCTCCTTATCCCCTCTGCCCCCTCCCTACCCCCCACTGCCCCCTCCCTATACATGTGTGTGTCTAAGTATGTGTACGTGTGTGTCTGCGTAGTGTATGTGTATATGTTTGTGTATGTGTGTATATATGTGTGTGTGGGTGGGGGGGAAATCACTCACCACCACATTAAGTAGTCCCCCATAGGGACCGATGTCCGGTTGCCACAGGCCCAGAATGTGTCTGTAAGGATGTAACACTGCAACAAACCACAGACTCACAGTCAACATTGACTATAAACTCTGCACTTGGGTACATGAATCCCCCTTGTTATACAGGTTTAATTAGGGGAGTGACAAACAGAGTAGCTATAGATTTTTATTGAAACACTGAAGCATGAAATTAGGAGCTGCCTGTTACTGAAGTTTTCCTCAAAGACAAACACTGTCCATGCGACAAGCAGCTACACCTTCTATTCAGCACAGAGCAGCCAGACAAGACACATGTTGGCATGAAGGAGAAGAGAAAAAAATGACAGAGCGAAAGAGACAATAAACAAACAAGAGTGAGATAGACATAGTAAAGGAAAGCAGGAGATAGAGTCAAAGAGTGTCAATGAGAGAGAGAGTCAGTGAGAGTCAATTTGTGAGAGAGAGAATTGGTGAGAGAAAGAAAGGATGATCTCCAGTGGCAAAAGGCAGAATATCTGAGACATTGAGGTGAGAGATCTCCAGACAACAACAACAACAAGGTTACATTTGTATAGCGCCTTTCATGTCGGGAGGAGTACAGATTTCAGACCCGAGCTGGGGTCGGGGGGGGGGGGGGAGGGGGTGGCCGATGGCATGGTCGAAGAGGAGGGTCTTGAGTCAGGACTTGGAGGAGGCTAAAGAGGGGGCGAGGCGGAGTGACTGGGGGGTGGAATTCCAGAGATTGGGGGCAGAATGGCTGAAGGCTCTTCTGTCAATGGTGGGGCAGGTGGGTTGGGGGACGTAGAGCAGGCCGGAGCTGACTGAGCGGAGGGAGCGGGCGGGTTGGTAGGGGGTTAGGAGGTCGCAGAGGTAGGGTGGGGCGAGGCCATGGAGGGCTTTGTATGTGAGGACCAGGACAGAAGAACAAAGCCTTGTTATAATGTTTACACCCAGGCCAGGCCCATGCCAGAAGGTCACAGATCCACACTTAACTGCAAGAGAAAAATGTCTCAAACATTGGCCATATCTGATATAAAAGACGCAGCAGAAACTAGCTTCCTGCACATACAGGTGCCAACGATGTGCCTCTCACACCAGCACTTCCTGACCTGCCATGTGCCACATACCCACTTTCTTTGGGACTGATGCACCAGTGACCTAAGCTTTCCCACATTAACTCATTAACTTGCAGCCTGATCACACTGACCAGAGTTTATTCCTCAGGAGCAGGTAAAGCAAAGTGCTAGCAGCAAGACATGGCCCAGGAGCACTGCCCAGAGCCAGTACGTCCCCAGCTCTGGGCCTAAATCAACAAAGAGAGCAGAAGGAGAGACACACCAGGCACTGCTCCAGTCAGGCTCACACATACAGCGAGTGTAAACATCCCGATAATCCACATTCTCAGTCAGGAAGCAGCTTCACAAACCTCCCTGTTGTGACTCGAGGATTAAAACTTAAACTGACACGTCAGTCAGACCAACTACTCTCATTCCAATTTTAATATAACTTTTCTTCATGTATTTATCCAATTCTTTGTAGCTGCTGTAATGGACTCGGAACTAATGGCACAGATTCCAGCTAAAAATCTATCAATTTTCCCACTTGTCTTTTTCAGCTTGAGGCATTGGGCAGAAAATGTGTGTGACACACGATCAGTCCTGCGTTACGCTTTTCCAGCAGTGAATGTGAGGACGGAGGACGGTAGGAGAGAGTGTCCCTCTCTGTCCTGAGATCAGCAGCTCTGTGCGCCCAGTCCGAGACGGGGCTGTCTTTGAAGCAGGAGATTTGAGGCGACACAGTACCAATGCCACGCAGTGACAGCGCTAATCTGCTCAGATTGGGATCAAAACGTTAGATTTTCCTTTATCAAAGACTTTGTACGGAAACAATGGATACGCTGACAGGCAATCGGGAGCTTTCCTACTCACGTTTAACGTACAGATCCCGACACGCGATCCCGGCCGTCTCCAAACTGCGCAGATTCTCAGAAACTCCATATTCTGCAATAAAGCCATTCAGTGAGTCAGTGAGGCCCGACCTGAGCACACGGCCCCATTCCTGGGAGCAGCCACCCAGGGGGGGGGGTTGTGCACCCGGGGGGGGGTTGTGCACCCGGGGGGGGGGTTGTGCAATCGGGGGGGGTTGTGCACCCGGGGGGTGTTGTGCACCCGGGGGGGGTTTGTGCACCCGGGGGGGGGGTTGTGCACCCGGGGGGGGGGGGGGGTTGTGCACCCGGGGGGGGTTTGTGCACCCGGGGGGGGGTTCGGCACCCGGGGGGGGATTGTGCACCCGGGGGGGGGGGGGGGGGGGGGGTTGTGCACCCGGGGGGGGGTTGTGCACCCGGAGACCAAATGTGTCAACGATAACACGAGAGGCCCCGCCTCTCCCCCGGAGCCCCGCCTCTCCCCCGGAGCCCCGCCTCTCCCCCGGAGCCCCGCCTCTCCCCCGGAGCCCCGCCTCTCCCCCGGAGCCCCGCCTCTCCCCCGGAGCCCCGCCTCTCCCCCGGAGCCCCGCCTCTCCCCGGAGCCCCGCCTCTCCCCCGGAGCCCCGCCTCTCCCCCGGAGCCCCGCCTCTCCCCCGGAGCCCCGCCTCTCCCCCGGAGCCCCGCCTCTCCCCCGGAGCCCCGCCTCTCCCCGGGTCAGGCCTCACCCCAGCGGCAGCGCCGCCGCCAGATGGTGTCTGTGCTCAGGATTTGCTGGAATTCCCTGCAGGCGGCGGCCAAGCGCGGCAGCCACACGCCGGGCAGGTAGGAGAAGATGTGGACCAGCAGCTCGGGGGGCAACTCCAGCACGTGCCGGGGCCCCGGGGGCCGGGCCGGAGGCGGGGCTGCGAGCGGGAGGCCCCGGGGAGAGCGCGGGGCCGGGACCGCGGCCCGAGAAGCTGCCGCTGCCCTCTCCATGGCCGCCATCAGCCGCCGCACTGCGCCTGCGCACACTCACACACGTGATACATACGTGACGCCCCCACACACAGTGTCACACACACACACTGACCCCCACACACACACACTGACCCCCACACACACACACTGTGACCCCCTCCACACACACACACACTGTGACCCCCTCCACACACACACACACTGACCCCCACACACACACACTGACCCCCTCCCACACACACACTGACCCCCACACACACACACTGACCCCCTCCCACACACACACTGACCCCCACACACACACACTGACCCCCCCACACACACACTGTGACCCCCTCCACACACACACACACTGACCCCCACACACAGTGTCACACACACACTGACCCCCTCCACACACACTGACCCCCACACACACACACACACTGACCCCCTCCACACACACACACACTGACCCCCTCCCACACACACACACTGACCCCCTTCACACACACACACACTGACCCCCACACACACACACACTGACCCCCACCCACACACACACTGACCCCCACACACACACACTGACCCCCACACACACACACTGTGACCCCCTCCACACACACACACACTGACCCCCACACACAGTGTCACACACACACTGACCCCCTCCACACACACTGACCCCCACACACACACACACACTGACCCCCTCCACACACACACACTGACCCCCTCCCACACACACACACTGACCCCCTTCACACACACACACACTGACCCCCCCACACACACACACACTGACCCCCTCACACACACACACACTGACCCCCCCACACACACACACACTGACCCCCACACACACACACTGACCCCCTCCACACACACACACCACTGCCCCTCCACACACACACCACTGACCCTCCACACACACACACACTGACCCACACACACACTGACCCCCACACACACACACTGACCCCTCCCACACACACACTGACCCCCACACACACACACTGACCCCCTCCCACACACACACTGACCCCCCCCCCCCACACACACTGACCCCTCCCACACACACACTGACCCCCCCCCCCACACACACTGACCCCCCCACACACACACACTGACCCCCTTCACACACACACACACTGTGACCCCTCCCACACACACACTGACCCCCACACACACTGACTCCCCCCCACACACACACTGACCCCCCCCCCACACACTGACCCCTCCCACACACACACTGACCCCCCCCCACACACTCTGACCCCCCCACACACACACACTGACCCCCTTCACACACACACACTGTGACCCCCTCCACACACACACTGACCCCCCCACACACACACACTGACCCCCCTCCCACACACACACTGACCCCCCCACACACACTGACCCCCCCGCCACACACACTGACCCCCTCCCACACACACTGACCCCCCCACACACACACTGACCCCCTCCCCACACACCCTGACCCCCTCACACACCCTAACCCCCTCACACACCCTGACCCCCTCACACACCCTGACCCCCTCACACACACACTGACCCCCCCCCACACACACTAACCCCCTCCCACACACCCTGACCCCCCCACACACACACACTGACCCCCTCCCACACACACTGACCCCCCCCCACACACACACAGACCCCCCACACACACCCTGACCCCCTCCCACACACACTGACCACCCCACACACACACTGACCCCACCCCACACACACTGACCCCCTCCCACACACACTGACCCCCCCCACACACACTGCCCCCCCCTCCCACACACACACACACACACTGCCCCCCTCCCACACACACACTGACCCCCCCACACACACACACACATTGACCCCCCCCCACACACACACTGACCCCCGCACACAGTGTCACACGCTGACACTGACCCTCACACACACACACACTGACCCCCACACACACAGTCTCACACGCTGACACTGACCCCCCCCACACACACAGTGTCACACGCTGACAATGACCTCCTCACACACACACTGACCCCCCCACACACACACACTGACCCCCACACACACACTGAACCCCCCCACACACACACTGACCGCCCCCCACACACACACTGACCGCCCCCCACACACACACACTGACCCCCCCCACACACACACACTGACCCCCCCTACACACACACTGACCCTCACACACACACACACACTGACCCCCCCCACACACGGTGTCACACGCTGACACGGACCTTCACACACACACACTGACCCCCCCACACACACAGTGTCACACGCTGACACTGACCCCCCCACACACTCACTGATCCCCCCCACACACTCACTGACCCCCCCCACACACACACTGACCCCCACACACACCCTGACTCCCCCACACACTCACTGACCCCCACACACACACTGACCCCCCCCACACACTCACTGATCCCCCCCCACACACACACTGACCCCCACACACACCCTGACTCCCCCACACACTCACTGACCCCCCCACACACACACTGACCCCCCCACACACTCACTGACCCCCCCACACACACTGACCCCCCCCACACACACACTGATCCCCCCCCACACACACACTGATCCCCCCCCACACACACCCTGACCCCCCACACACACCCTGACCCCCCACACACACCCCGACTCCCCCACACACTCACTGACCCTCCCCCCACACACACACTGACCCTCCCCACACACACACTGACCCCCACACACACCTCGACTCCCCCACACACTCACTGACCCCCCACACACACACTGACCCCCCACACACTCACTGACCCCCCCACACTCACTGACCCCCCCACACACACTCACTGATCCCCCCCCACACACTCACTGATCCCCCCCCACACACACCCTGACCCCCCACACACACCCTGACCCCCCACACACACCTCGACTCCCCCACACACTCACTGACCCCCCCCACACACACCCTGACCCCCCACACACACACTCACTGATCCCCCACCCACACACTCACTGACCCTCCCCCCCATATACACTGACCCTTTGCCCCCCACACACACACAGACCTTCACACACATACACACAGTGACACACACACTGACCCTCATATTGACCCGCACATACCGGACTTGTGTCTCACAATCACTCTTCACTGAAACACTGAGGAAAACACATTAAAACATTCACAGCCGCAGAATAAAACTGCGCCGCCACTCATTGGCGCACTCCTCGTTCACCTCAATCTCACTGTCAGAGTTAAAATGAATCCTTTATTATACTGTAAGTTGCTGTAATGTTCTGAGACCCTCTCTCCTGGTGTTCCCGGAGTGACGCGGTGACCGTCTGCTTTCTGGGGACCATTCGCTGTGCTGATGGGATGACGTGTGGGCAGTCGGGGCTGAGGTCCGGGAGCGGAGCGGAGCGGAGCCTTCACTTCCCCTTCGAGCCGCTCATTGCAGCGGATAAAGGCGATGGTCTGTGCGGCTCTGGAACTCTCACTCCACCTGTTGGCCACGAGCTGTAACTACACGCTGAGCAGTGACTCCACACAGAGCGGCGAGTGTGTGTGTGTGTGGAACGAATGTGCGAAGGAAACGACGAGGCAGATTATGTCGGCAAATTCAACTGCGAATTAGTTAGCTATTTTATCAAATAAATTAATAGCATGAACGACGAAGTAGTCCAGGATCGTGTTTTTTTCTAAGACCAGTTGGCCAGTTCCTATATAGATATATATGTGACCCCAGTGAGAAGGCATTTTAGACGGATTCTGACCTCCCTAACATGTCAATGTAAAACGAGTGTGTGGTATGTAGGGTACTGTGGGAGGACAGGGTGCGGCAGGTCTGCATTCTGCTGCCCTGTTGCTGGGCTGCACATTTTCCTGGGTCAAGGACTCCAGCTGTCCTACTCTGGTCCCAGTGGGATGAGTTAACACCAACATGTGCAGACAGCTGAGAGGTTCAACAATGGAGCCGCAGATACCAGAGTTCCGATGATATTTTCATGTATGTATTTGGTTTCAGCTATGGTTAAAACCGCTCCATGTGGGATGGCTCAAATCTCCATCCTCTTCTCCCAGGCAGCAAGTAACCCGGCACCATTTTACAGAATCCACTGGCTTCAAGAGAGAGCAGGAACCAGAATACATCAATGCCCCCCCTCCCCCCCACAGACCCCTTTCCAAGACACCGACCCCCCCCCCCCCCCCCCCCCCCCCCCCCCCATAGACAATCCTCCCCACACACACACACACACAAACCTTCCCGAGACTCTTTCCCCTCAGCACAGGATGTTGTTTGATCAGCCGATGACCACGTGTGGAAACCCATCACTGCTTAAGAGGATCGAACCAAACAGCATTCCATCGAGTCACGGAAAATGCTGACTAGAAATGGAATACTCACTCTCTCCCAGAGGGATGCACCCTCCTTGTTTAATTCTGGAGAGTATTTAGGTGCAGGTTTGGGACCACGGCCAAGTGTGCATTGGGGATAACTGCTGGAGTCCAAACAGTTAAAACCACATAGCTTGCCCATCGATATCGCTGTCTGGCAAGGATCCTGCTACTTGTCCAGTTAGGACTACCTTACTGTTAGGGTTAACAGGAGCCCAGTGGCAAGAGGGGCGATTGACTGGGAAACCTGGGGATGGGGGATTATTGCCTTCTGGAAGCTCCGGCCACGGTTTTAGGGGGAGCTTTTCCTCCTCACTGACTCACTGCGTGGAAAAGATTCCAGCTTTTTAATGATTAAAGTTGAATGAAACTTGCACAGAAATATCAGCAAATGTTCAAAAATCTCAATGCATTAAAAAAACTCATGAATATACACTCAGGGCTGCAAGACACTGAAATATACACTCAGAGCCTGTTACACTCTGAATATACACCAGACCCCGTTACACTCTGAACATACACCCAGACCCCGTTACACTCTGAATATACACCCAGACCCTGTTACACTCTGAATATACACCCAGACCCCGTTACACTCTGAATATACACCCAGACCCCGTTACACTCTGAATATACACCCAGACCCCGTTACACTCTGAATATACACCCAAACCCCATTACACACTGAGTATATACCTGGGCTGAAAGACACTGCATATAAACCCAGTTGGTGTGAAACATTGAATGTGTGAGTGAATTGTGCACATTCTTCCCAGTACTTTCTGCATAATTTACAACTAATATATTGTGTACATTGTGCATCTGTACACTCACATCCCCTCTTTCTCTCATTCCTCTCCATCTCCCACATTCCCCCTCTCCCACATTTCTCTTTCCATCTCCCACATTCTCTCCCATATTCCTCTTTGTCTCCCACATTCCCTTTCTCTCTTCCACATTTCTCTATCCATCTCCCACATTTCTCTCTCTCCCATATTCCTCTTTCTCTGTCTCCCACATTCCCTCTCTCTCTCTCTCCCCTGCCTATAAACAGCAAACCCCAATATCCATCCCCATAAGCCGACCCTTTAGAGCAGACACAGCCACCCACCCACCCCCCGAGCAGGCTGACTACAGTCACAAGCAGTGTCCAGGCTTGGGATAGGGTCAGAGTTCAGGATGAGAGTTTGCATTGCTATTGGGAATCAGCCCGGGAGCGGGCATTAGTGTTCTCCATACATGTCGGCCAGCTTCCTGAAGCGAGGGCCCCAGTCATTCAGGTAATCGTAATCATGCTGGTCCTCGGCGGAGGCGGAGGCGAGGGAGCTGAGGGTCCCAGCCACAGAGCCCTCACCCTCATAGTCATAGATCAGAGCCATGTCATAGGGAGGGGCGTTGGGGTCATTGTCAGCAGCATCCAATCCCTGCAGGCAACAGAACACAATGATTCGTGTTTGGGAGGACAGATTTTCTCCATTTGCATAAAAAGGCACAAATTCTAAATTTGCTGATGATGCAAAAATGATGTCACTAACGTAGAAGAAAACTTCAGGAGAACTTTAGAGAGATGGCGGATACAATTTAATATATTCCCCCTCTAACCCCTCCCCCATATTCCCCCTCCCCACATTCCCCCCCGCACACACCAGCAATCCCCACTCTCCCTCCCCACACTTACCCCATTGATGAAATCCTCTATATCGCTGGGATCAGCGGGTGGCCTGCGGGGGTACACTGCGGGGCTGTGGTTGTAGGGAGCATCCCTGCGGAGAGGGGGCTTCCCTCTAGCGGGAGCTGGGAACACTCTGTCCGGGTCCCGCAGCTGCTCCAGATTGTAGGCTTCCTGTAAAATCAAACCAAGCCCCAAGACAACACCTTACATACAATGTAACACACACCTTACACATAGCCAGAAGACAGCAGCTTACACACAGCGTCACATGTCACTTGAGGGAAAAACATGTGAAAAGCAAGAGATGGTACAGGAATGTGGGGGGGTGGTCGCTCGCTCACCGCATGATCCCCTCCCCTTGACCTCGGTGCCTGACCCCCATCCCCCATGTGGTTGCCGTGGTGACTGACCTGGTCCTCCTCGCCGCCGCCCTGCTCATCGTAGTTTAAGACATTGTCTCTGATGTCACTGTCAGAGTCGCTCAGCAACGCCTTGTGTCCCCGTCGCCCGTTCCAGCACAGGCTGACCATCACCATCACTAAGGGCACAACACAGTCACCTCGGCTCAACCCCCACCATCCCGGCTCAACCCCCCAATGGCCAGCCCCAGCCAATATGGCCAGCTCCCCCATATGGCCAGCTGCCCCCTCCATATGGCCAGCGCCCCCCACCCCATATGGCCGACCACCCCCTCCCCTTGTAGCTAAACCCCCTCTCTCCCCCTCACCCCGTGGCCAGAACCGCCCCTCAATGGCCAGAAATGCCTTCACCATGGCCTGCCCCCACCGCTCTGATACATTGCAATAGTGGCTTACAGAACAGCAGAAAGAAGCTGGTGAGGATGATGATGGCGGCCCCCAGGCTGACGCCCACATGGGAGCCATGGAAAGCGGCAGCGATGGCTTCACAGCGGCCTCTGTCCCCACAGACACACACCGTCACATTCAGGCTCTGTTCGAACTCCTGGCATGGCTCCCCCGAGTCACTGACTCTCACCCCCACCTGGTAAAACCCTTCAGGCATAGCACTCAGCATCCCCAGCACGGCGTGTGTGTCTGGAACCAGAGCAACAGCCTCAGCCACACCTACGCCAGCACTGGGATCAACCTCATCACATCCTCCACTCACCGACAAGCTCCCCCCACTTACCAACATTTCCCCCCCCCCCACTCACCGACATGCCCCCTCACCGACATGCCCCCTCACCGACATGCAACCCCCCACTCACCGACATGCAACCCCCCACTCACCGACATGCAACCCCCCACTCACCGACATGCAACCCCCCACTCACCGACATGCAACCCCCCACTCACCGACATGCAACCCCCCACTCACCGACATACATCCCCCCCTCACCGACATCCCCCCCCTCTCACCGACATCACCCCCACCGACATCACCCCCCTCTCACCGACATCCCCCCTCTCACCGACATCCCCCCCTCACCGACATCCCCCCCCCTCACCGACATCCCCCCCCCTCACCGACACCCACCCCCCCTCACCGACACCCCCCCACTGACACCCCCCCTCACTGACATCCCCCCCCTCACTGACATCCCCCCCTCACTGACAATCCCCCCTCACTGACAATCCCCCCTCACTGACACCCCCCCTCACTGACACCCTCCCCACACTGACACCCCCCCCTCACTGACACCCCCCCCCGCACTGACATCCCCCCCCGCACTGACATCCCCCCCCCGCACTGACACCCCCCCTCACTGACACCCTCCCCCGCACTGACACACCCCCGCACTGACACCTCCCCCCCCCCACTGACACCCCCCCCCTCACTGACATCCCCATCACTGATACCCCTCTCAAACTCTCAGTGTAAATCACCCCGAGATTTGGGGGAATGAATGTCAACAAATTATTTCAATCCATTTCACATCACGTGGCCCCGCCCCACGCAGACCCAGGCCCCGCCCCACGCAGACCCAGGCCCCGCCCCACGCAGACCCAGGCCCCGCCCCACGCAGACCCAGGCCCCGCCCCACACCCAGGCCCCGCCCCACGCAGACCCAGGCCCCGCCCCACGCAGACCCAGGCCCCGCCCCACGCAGACCCAGGCCCCGCCCCACGCAGACCCAGGCCCCGCCCCACGCAGTCATCCAACCGTTGAGCGCTGTGATCGTCCAGTTGTGCAGTGGTTCCGAGTCAGGAAGTAACTGGAAGTGGAAGGGCTCCGCGTGCGGCTCCTGATCCTGATCCGTGGCCCAGATCAGCATTCCAGCGCCCGCGCCAGTCCCGCGGCACAGGGTTCCCGCTCCGGGGAACAGCAGCGGCGGAAAGTCATTCACTTCGGTGATGTGTATGTTCAGAGTCCCAATCACCGTGTGCGGGGGGAAGCCTTCGGACACCGGAAAACACTCCCGTTACACCTCACACAGTGACACTCTCACACACAGTGACACTCTCACACACAGTGACACTCTCACACACACAGTGACACTCTCACACACACAGTGACACTCTCACACACACAGTCACACTCACACACACACAGTGACACTCTCACACACACAGTGACACTCTCACACACACAGTGACACTCTCACACACAGTGACACTCTCACACACACAGTGACACTCTCACACACACACAGTGACACTCTCACACACACACACAGTGACACTCTCACACACACAGTGACACTCTCACACACACAGTGACACTCTCACACACACAGTGACACTCTCACACACACAGTGACAGCTCTCACACACACAGTGACAGCTCTCACACACACAGTGACACTCACACACACACAGTGACAGCTCTCACACACACACAGTGACAGCTCACTCACACACACAGTGACAGCTCACTCACACACACAGTGACAGCTCACTCACACACACAGTGACAGCTCTCACACAAAAAACACAGTGACAGCTCTCACACACACACACAGTGACAGCTCTCACACACACACAGTGACAGCTCTCACACACACAGTGACAGCTTTCACACACACACACACACAGTGACAGCTCTCACACACACACACAGTGACGGTCTCTCACTCTCACACACACACAGTGACGGGCTCTCACACACACACACAGTGACAGCTCTCACACACACAGTGACAGCTTTCACACACACACACACAGTGACAGCTCTCACACACACAGTGACAGCTCTCACACACACACACACACACACACACACACAGTGACAGCTCTCACACACACACACAGTGACAGCTCTCACACACACACACACACAGTGACAGCTCTCACACACACACACACACACAGTGACAGCTCACACACACACAGTGACCGACACGTTACTGCTCAGACTGAGGTGACGTCCACACGAGGAGTGGCGCTGACACACAATCCGGAACATTCTGCTCTGCACTTAAATAGTGAGCATTCGATAACTCACACCCGATGAATCTGATGTCTGAGACGAAATCGAAATCACTGATACTATGTGATCCGAACAGGCGCCAGACAGCGGCACAGCTTACCGTGGTCGACGGCGGCGATGATCGCCGTGTAGCGGTTGTGCCGCAGGTACGGGGAGCTGCGCAGCACCACCTGCCGCAGAACAACTTCACCTGTCTCAGGATCAACCAGCAACCAGTCAGCCGGGTCATACTGAATACTGTAACTGCAACACAGCAAACAGTGTTACGTTGGAGACAGCACGTACCGAGATAGTGTACAGAGAGTGTGAGAGAGAGTGTGGGTACACACGGGGAGAGAGAGAGAGCATACACACACGGGGAGTAAAAAAGTGTCTTGGGAAGTGTGAAGCTGACCTGATGTTGTGCTGTTGTTCTCTGTCAGGGTCAGTCACTGTGTATACAGTCAGGACGGTTCCTGCTGTTGATCCCTCGGGGACCAGCAGGTTGCGGGGGTCGTCCTGAAAGCGGGGGGGCTCGTTTACGTCTGTGATCGTGATGATGACCCTGGCCGAGGGCTGACTTGATGGTGAGGCTCCAGCCCACAGTTCTGCCCAGTTCTGCACCGTCACAGTCAGGCTATAGTCGGCCACGGCTTCGTAATCCAGGCTCTGGGACAACGTAACCACAGAGAAACTCAATCTTACTCCACAATACCCTCATCTCAGTCATATACACAATAATAATCCTTGCATTTGATATAGCGCTTTTTACGTCTTCTAGACATCTCGAAGTGCCTCACAGAATATACTGTAAAGTGAATTGACTGTATATTTTGTGGGTAAAAACGCTGCAGCCAATTGCGCACAGCAGCGTCCCACAAACAGTCGTGGATTGAAGTGACCGATTTATTATTATTTTCTTTTCTTGAGGAATTATTAGAGAGAGTGTACACGGCAAGAGGCAGTGTACACTGGGAGAGGGAGTGTACCAGGGAGAGGGAGATTATATACAATGACAGGGCAGCTTGTAACACTGAGATTGTTAGTCAGACAGACAGAGAGACACAGTGGTATGTGTGTGTGTGTAAGGGGATGATATGGGGGTCAGGGACACGGTTCATATTTACCCAAACAATATCATCCTCAAACCCTCTCACCTTCTCCACCAAGACGATACCCTGGTTGGTGTGGGGGTCGGTGCTGATGCTGAAATGCCCATCCTGGTTGCCGCTGACGATGGTGTAGTTTGCCAGCCAGTTCCTGGTCCCAGCCTCATCCTTGTCCTCCACACTAACTCTGCCCACCTCCTGTCCCACTGTGTCCTCAGTCACTGCCACAGCAAACTGCACAGCAAAGGGAAACGTACACAGCTCCTTACTGCCAGGGTTCCACTAGCCGACAGACACACACCGTCTCCCCAGTTTGCAAGAGACACACACACACTTCCTGGTGTGCGAGACATACATAACACACACGTATACACATACACACGCACCTCGCTGGCAGTGAAGTGTGGGGCATTGTCGTTGAGGTCAGTGATGAAGATGATGGCGCTGGCTGTGTTGGCGAGGCCGACCCCAGAGAGGTCAGCGACCTGCAGCGTCAGGTTATATGTGGAGATGGTCTGCAAACACACAGCAGCAACACTATACAAACAGCAACAGTCACAGCAACTGGGTGCGGGGGTAGGTCATTAGGGGGAGGTCAATGGTCTGGGGGGAGCCAGGGCGGGGAGTGGTTCAGGTAGACGATCGGTGGGGGGGGGGTTCGGGGGGATGTTGGGTGGGGCCGGGGGAGCATCCCAGGGGGTGTCGAGGAGGCGCCTCACGGTGGGAGTCGGGGGGGCCTCACGTGGGAAGCGCCTCTCGGGGGCGGGGAGCAGACACTGCAGACACTCACCTCTCGGTCTAGCCCCACCCCCACAGTGCGGATTTCCCCAGTGACGGGGTCGATACGGAAGAGGCCTTTGCTATGGCCGAGGATGGAGAACTGCAACGCGGCGTTGTCTGTCTGAGGGTCATCAGCGTCAGAGGCAGCGATCTGCATCACCAGAGTTCCTGCAGCCACAGCACAGTCACCAGTCGCACACACACGCGCACCCCCCCCTCGGCGCGTACCATCCCCCCCCCCCCCCCCGAAGCACCATCCCCACCCCCCACACCGGCACACCTCACGCTGCCCACTCACCAGGGGGAGATCCCTCCAGGACATGGCCAATGAAGTGCTGCTGGTCAAAGACGGGCCTGTTATCGTTCTGATCAATGACAATGATCTCCAGGTCGGTGGGATCCTCAAGGGGATTCCCCGACATATTCACAGCGTAAGCTTTAATCTAAACACAGAGTGAGTCAGGTGTTGGGTCATACACTGGGGCAGACACACAGCCATCAACAAAAAACATGACATTTACACAAAGCCTTTCACTTTGGGAGGACGTGCCAAGGCACTGGGCGGTCAAGGGTTTTCACCCAAGCTGTGGGCTGGAGACAAGAGGTGAGGGGTGGTGGAGGTGGAAAGAGGACGAAAGTTGCAGTCGAAGAAGAAGGTATTGAGATGGGCCTTGAAGGAAGCGAGGGAGGGGGCGAGGCGGAGGAGCTCTGGGATGGAGTTCCAGAGGGTGGGGGCAGAGAGGCTGAAGGAACGACTGATGATGGTGGAGCACGGGTAGGTCCAGGCAGGGAGGGGCGCGTGGGGTTGGGCCAGGCGGCGGCGGGCAGCATGGAGCAGGCCAGGGGTTGGGGGAGCAGGCCGGCACCTGCCGAGAACTTGATCGAGGGGAAGCCAGGCCACGGTCCTACCTTATAACTGGATTTCTCCTCGCGATCCAGCACCGTCATCAGCAGCACCTGCCCCGAGTCAGCGTCAATGGTGAATATCCCTCTGGGCTCCTCATCTACACCAGGGCCTTTAATACTGTAAATCACCTCCCCGGGGATCAGCTGGTCTGACTTAATCTGCAGAGAAAACAATAACTGTGTGTTGGCGCCGGGGCAGGGCCACCCAGAGTGAGGTCAGGAACCTGGAGTGGGGGCGAGGAGTTGGAGAGGGTTAGTGGGGAGCAGATTAGTGGGGGGGGGAAGGGGCGGGATGAACCGGGGGTGACGGCGTGAGCCAGGGGGACGGGGATATAGCCGGTGTGGGCGGGATGAACCAGGGTAGTGAACTGGTGGGGTGGGGGGTTAGCCGGTGGGGAATAGCGGTGAGTATAGCGGGGTGGGGTTAGCCTGTGTGGGGGGGTGGGTAGTGGTAGGGGTCACACACATTCCTAGCAGACACTGCTTGGTGAGCTCAGGGCAAGGCTAGGGTAAGTACCTGCACTAAGGGGAGGGGGATCTTGCGGGTGTTCTCGGAGACGCTGATGGGGGGAATGACCCAGGCTCTCTTCACTCGCTGCAGCCCATCGCCTCTTGCCACCGGCCGCCATGGGTACATGACAGGGACCTGGGCATGCGGGGTGTCCTTCACTGGCACTTGATTACACTGGGGACCATCGGCAGCACAACCACATGGAGGGAGAACACAAACACAGCTCAGGCTACAGGCATTTCCACACTTTGTACACAGGAGGATTGTTGTGAGTCAATGAATGGAATATTCCCAAGAAAGTGTAAATATTGTCCAGCGCGTTTACCCCTCCCCCCACCTCCTGAAGGGTAGCAGCCTCCACCCCCCACTGGCGGCCTTGATGATGTGTGCACTGTGGGGATATGGTGAGGAGATAGTGAGAAACCCCTCAGAATATCCCCAGCTGTCCCACTGCCCAGTCCTGCAATATACACAGCACCTGCCACAATCCTTCCCCCTCCCCCGCTCCTTTTCCCCTCTCCCCACCCCTCCCATTCTCCTCTGCCCCTCCCCCACCCCTCTCCCCCGGTTTGTTGCCCAGGTAGAATTCTCCTCACGCTGTATGAGGAATGTGTGCAGGAGTGTGTGTGAGCAGTCTGTGTGCAAATGGGCTGCTGTGTTTGCTCAATTGCCAGCAGTTACCTGTGATGTGATAAGAAGTTTGACTGTTGTGGGCACTCTATGTGAGTGTTACATCAGACGGCAGCCCAGAGTGACAGCACCACATGCAGTGGGCAACCTCTCCTTTACACACACTCCACATTCAGGACAAGCAAAGGCTGGGGAAGAGCAGCTGAAATGCTAATTACACGGCATCTGTTACTGAGTGCAATCAGCTGTTGTATCAACTTTCTCATTTCTACAATCGAGCTTTCCCCGCGTTGTTCCTCCTCCCTTCCTGTTCAATCTGCCCGAGACACAGCCGGGGGCAGGCGGCTGATCACGGCATCAAATTAAAAGCAGATTTCAGTCCTATTTGATGGATACTAGTTACCAACAGGCTACTGTGGGAGCTGCAGCTTGTCACAGAGATTAGTTGTTTGTTTAAACAATGTGAATGAAATTTCCCTCAAGTTCAATCAAATTTCTCTTAAACAAGCCCCAACTCAAACCCTCAACCTAACCCTAAATCCAGCCCCAAACCCAATATATTGCACAAATTAAAATCCCGGTAAACCAGGTCCCCCTGAAAGGAATCCCATTCTCCAATGGGAATTTAAACCCAGCTTTTAACCCTCAATATGAGAAAAACAACATTGAAGCCGGAGGTATTTCATACACGACTGTAGCCCCTCATGTTCCCAGAACCCCCCCACCAAACCCTAGCCCGTCACAGGGGGCGCAACGACAGCAGTGATGTAACGGGGGGGGGGGACAACAACAACACATTACATTTTGTGTAGTATCGGTGGAAACAATTCTCCCAGCACCTGGGCACATCGCCACAGAGACATTCTGCACCACTTTAAACTGGTTTCACGGGTATCACTGGGGCTGAGTCGGGTCTCAGCTGTTAAGCCTCACAGTGAGTTCGTGTTGGGCTGTGAGAGAATGGCTGGGACCAGCGGCTGTTTCAGTTTAACTTACTTTTATCAAAGTGCAGCCAGCACGATCAGGACAGCAACAGCAGAACACAGGAAGCTGTATCCCAGATTACATCCACAAAGTACAGTCACTACACTTTACAGTATATCCTGTGAAGTGCTTTGAGACATCTCAATAATGTGATAAGGCACTATATCAAGGATTATTATTCTCATTATTCTGGAGCTCAGTCTGTGTCACATTCAACCCACAGCTCATGTTTTAGGGAAGTGGAGCTGGGCTGGGTGCACCAGCAAGAGTGCGACTGGGCACACCTCTAAAGCACACACCCACCCTTGCATACACACACCCTCTCACACACACACCCTCCACCCTCACACACAAACCCTAAAGCTAACACCCACCCTCACACACACACCCTCACACAAGCTTCACATACCTGTACCAGCATCACCAGGGCGAGCAAAGTGAAGATTTCTGTGTCTCTCATAGCACTGGAGAGGCAGAGAGAGAGCAGGGGCCGGGCTGGAGAGGCAACAAGAAATTAGGGGGCGAGCTGGAGCTGTGCTAGATGAAGACAGCTGCCTGTGGGACACCAATTATCTGACAGCTTATTGGTTATCATAGGGTCCGAGAATGCAAGTGACTGACTGCACATGTGCTTAAGGGAGGCAAAGTCTGAAATATCTGTCTCCTGATATAGAGCAGCAACTGTCTAGAGAGACAGCAAACAGCTGCTGCTGCTCTGGCGACCCCACTCCCCCCCACCCCGCATGGGGCAGGTCACAGGTCATGAGACAGGGTTTAGTGGCGAGAATGTGCCCCTCCTGAGCTTGTGGTCGAGAGTATCTGGGAAGTGATCCTCACCCAACAGCTGAAGTTTGGCATCTCACAGACATTACTGAGCTCCGCAGCAATGAGGAAAGTGAGACAGACTGAAGGCATCTCTCTGACAGCATCCACATCAGTGGCTGAAATGTCTTGAGTGTCAAGCCCCAGATCCAGGTTTTCATCTTAGTCTCCCCTAATGGAGAACAAGAATAGTGAAACAAAAACAGAGAGAGCTGGGAAAACTCAGCAGGTCAGGCAGAATCTATGGAGAAAGGAAAGTGAGTTAATGTTTCGGGTCCACGATCCTGTCAGAATGTTCTGACGTAGGGTCGTGGACCCGAAACGTTGACTCACTTTCCTTTCTCCATAGATTCTGCCTGACCTGCTGAGTTTTCCCGCTCTCTCTGTTTTTGTTTCAGATTTCCAGCATCTGCAGTATTTTGTGTTAAGAACAACAGTGACACTGATCCAACACCCCCAGTCCTTGGTGATGAGATAAACCCTGAATCTTGTTGGCTCAGCTGCTTGCTGGGCAGTAATTATGTGCTGTTGCATGTCGTGGACAGACAGACAGAAAGACAGAAAGACAGAGACAAATACATTGAATCAAAAGAAGTTGGGTGAGGTCTTGGTGTGAGCCAGTCGCTTGGCATCTCAGACATTGTTTCGGGCAAATGTTTTTGAGCAGATACAGGATATGTAACTCCTGGAGAGTGAGGGTTAAAGGGCAATATTCTGTTTATTAAACAAAACGTAATGTCGCTTACTCGTGGTCACAAACTCTGAGCCGTGGGATGTGCACATAACCAGGTCAGAACACATACTGGTAACCATGTCTAGTTGCTGGTAACTGCACCGGTAACCATGACTACTTGCCAGGCTGTGGGAAGAAATGTTTCAATAAATCTTTTTTGTTAACTTTTCCCATTGGGTTGCGAGGAATTTCATCCACAAGAATCAGCTCAGAGGGGATGCTGTATGGTGCCATCTGTTCCCTGTAATGACAAATCAGCCTCACCTCAGCAACTTGTTCCTGTTTCTGTCCTCAGCACATTGACTGCAGCCCCCCCCTTCCGATCCCTCACTCACCTTGCCCACCCCTTCAGCTCCCCCAGAGACAGCGAGACTCCCTCCTGTACCGTCACCACAGCCGTCACCTTCTGACCCCAGGTAACATCAGGAACACCGATCACCGCCACATCTGCAGAGCAAAGAGACCGACCAAGTCTGTAACAGCAGCGACTCAGCACTACCCTCCCCCTGGCAAAACTAGACCCACACAATGCACACAGAGAGACACACACACCCAGTGACAGGGCGAGAGAGAGACACACACACACACAGTGCCAGGGGGAGAGAGAGACACACACACAGTGCCAGGGGGAGAGACAGAAACATATTATTTCAACGTGGTTCAATATAAATTTGTTCAGTGGCTAACCTGCAATATGCGGGTGTGCCAGGAGGTGGCGCTCCACATACAGAGCACTAATCTTATAGCCACCACTTTTGATGATGTCGACAGATGTTCGTCCCAGAATCCAGTATCGGCCGTTCTTATACACCGCAGTGTCTCCTGTAACACACACACACACTCCTTATACACCGCAGTGTCTCCTGTAACACACACACACACTCCTTATACACCGCAGTGTCTCCTGTAACACACACACACACTCCTTATACACCGCAGTGTCTCCTGTAACACACACACACACTCCTTATACACCGCAGTGTCTCCTGTAACACACACACACACTCCTTATACACGCAGTGTCTCCTGTAACACACACACACACTCCTTATACACCGCAGTGTCTCCTGTAACACACACACACACTCCTTATACACCGCAGTGTCTCCTGTAACACACACACACACTCCTTATACACCGCAGTGTCTCCTGTAACACACACACACACTCCTTATACACCGCAGTGTCTCCTGTAACACACACACACACTCCTTATACACCGCAGTGTCTCCTGTAACACACACACACACTCCTTATACACCGCAGTGTCTCCTGTAACACGCACACACACTCCTTATACACCGCAGTGTCTCCTGTAACACACACACACCTTACACAGCATGGCGCCCCCTACGAGAAGGTGCTAATGGGGGTTACCGTCCAGTAAGCAGTAGATATCAGCTCTCCAGTCATTACCTGTCTTGAACCAGCCGTCGTGTGTGAATGATTCCTTGGTTTCCTCTGCTTGGTTCCAATACTTCTGAAATACTGAAGCTCCTCTGACCTGTAACTCTCCCTCTCTCCCTTCCATGCCAGGCGTGACCTGCCAACCACAACAGACATCAGGCACAGCAAGCTATAGCCACAGAACCAGTGTGTAACAGTGTGCAGTGATTCACCAATAAAAGACATTACACACCATGCAAGGTCAGAGGTCACTACAGCGGAGAACAGGAGTGATGCCAGGCTTCTCAGCTCATACAACTGTCAGCCTAGTGACGTGTATGTGTGTGTGTGCATGTGTCAGCCTCAGTGTAACTGAGTCTCTGACGGCCTGACCTTACCCTCGTCTGGTCACTGTTGCTCTCTGTGATGACGGTACAGGACGGCTGGTATCGTGAGGAGGCTTCCAGTGCGATGCGGACCTCGACCCCGGGCAGTGGGTTCCCAACCGACCCTGAGCACAGACCACACCCACCCTGAGCACAGCCACACACCTCGGCCCGGCCAAAGAGCCTCACAGAACCCATCCACACTCCAACAGAGCCACACTAAGTTCTATGTGCGCACTCGCGTCTGTGTGAGTCTGCGTGCGTGAGCCTGTGCGAGTCTATGTGTGTTTCTGTGTGTGTCTATGTGTGTGTGCTCATGGTAGTGTGTGCAGACAACTTGGGTGTGTCATGTACTGTGACGTGTACAAGACAGAGAATGTCAGTGTGTGGCACAGGATGGCGTACCTGGCACACGGCTGCCATGCAGTGGGTTGGAAAGCGCCATCCCGACCTCCGTCATCCCATAGCGCTCCAGCAACGTGTGGCCTGTCAGCTTTCTCCACATCTCCAGCATCGGCTGAGGGAGAGCGGCCGATCCTGACACCATCAACCTGCAGTCACAGCAAAGGCAGAGCCTGATCAGCCCCTCACAGCTCCAGCCCCCACCACCTCACAGCTCCCCCACTCACAGTTGCAGCAACCCCCACTACAGCAGTCCCACCTCACAGCAGGCCCGACCCCTTGCAATAGGCCCATCCCAGTCACACCCCCACATGCCACAGCCCCGCCACCAGTCCACTGTGGTTAGTCTGCTTGGCACCCACCCCACCTGATTTTGTCCTTGCACACAGCGTGGATAAAGTCCTTGACGTGGCACTGGGTGAAGTGTTTCTGGTAAAACTGGATCAGTTTGGCGTAGATGGTTGGCACGGCCATGAAGACATTAACCCGAGGCGTCCGTGAGGTGTCCGTTCTCAACAACTGCTCCCAAACCTGCAACAAAGGAATCATTAACCGGGAGTGAGCGATGCCCTGGCTGAGCCTTATCTCTATCTGCTCTGCTTTGTGCTAACTGCAGTTAAAGTACCTTCTGAGCGTTGAAGTCTGGCAGCATCACACAGGTGGCGCCCACCCAGAGCGGGCAGAGCAGTTTGTTGAGGACACCATGTAGATGGTGCAGAGGCAGCACGTGCAGAATGACATCGTCCTTGCTCCAGGCCCACAGCTCCACTAGGGAGGTAACCTGCAGACAGAAAAGCTGTCATAATTACTGAGCCACAGACAGATTGTGTTTGTGTCCATGTGGGGGGGGACTGATTACTGAAGCTAACCTGGTGCCGCAGAGTCTGGTGTGTGGTCAGGACCCCTTTGGGCCGCCCTGTAGTTCCGCTGGTGTATAATATCAGGGCGCCTCTGTCCTTCCAATCAGCAGGGAAGCCCGTGGTGGTGAGCTGTGGATGTAGGTGTGTGGAGCCTGGTGAGGGTTCCTGGGACAGGCTGCCACTCTGCAGCACCAGCCATTTAACACCGAGTCGGTCAGCGATGGAAGTCACTCTCTCCGCAAATGTCTCCTCCACAATGACCAGGCTGCTTTCACAGTCTCTCAGCGTGTACTCCAGCTCTGGTGCTGGGTGGCTTTTACACAGAGGGACACCAATCCCACCGCTCATCCAGGCGGCCCACTGCGCCACCACATAAGAGGCGTCGTTGGGGCACAAAAAGCATACTCGCTGCTGTGCGATGTCTCCGCTGGAACAGTCTAGGGCCCTCAGGATATCCCGGGACAGTGACAGGCTGATGCTGTACAGCTGCCCATAGGTGTGGTGTCCGAAGCTGTCTACAATCGCTAGTCTGTCAGCAAAGCTGGGAGCTCTGGTGAACACAAAGTGTCTGTGAGAAAGGGCTGTCAGGTACAGCACCTTCCTCAAACATTTCACAGGCCTGCGGATACCCAGCCGCCAACTGTGCCAGCATTGAACACAGCCTTGTGATGTGAAGCCAGGACTCTGTCGCAGGAGAGTGTACAGCATCCTGCAGCTGGTCCAAACCCTTCGATAATCCAGCAAAGAACAAAGGTTAGGTTTACATTAGTAACTGGGAGTCAGAATGAGAAGTTTATTAACAAGCACCTGCAACGTCAAAATGGCTGAGCACTTCACAGGTAATTGTTATCAAATATAGTCAATCTATTTGTGGAGTCCTGTAACTCAGTGGTTAGAGCACTCGCTTTGCAAGCGAGAGACCTGAGTTCAATTCCCGGCAGAGGGCGAAACCTTGGGCAAGTTTCCTTACTCCACACAGAGCCTAATAATAATCCTCCAAAACCCAAACAATAATAAATTGGTCATTTTGAATCTACGACTGTTTGTGGGACATTGCTGTGCGCAATTGGCTGCCGCGTTCACCCACAAATATACAGTCAATTCACTTTACAGTGTGTTCTGTGAAGCGCTTTGGGACGTCCTCCCGACGTGAAAAGCGCTATATCAAATGCAAGGATTATTATTATTATTATTAATGTGGGCAAACACAAGGCCAATCTGCAAACAGCAAATCCCACAACAGGGATGAGGTGAATGACCAATTGTATCTGTGGGGGATTGTTGGCCACGACACCACGAACGAGAAATTCCCTTCTCTTTTCAATGAGTGTGGAGGGTCTTATTGTCCACCTGAACAGCGCACAGACATGACCTTAGTTTTATGTCTGGAGGATGGCAACGGCTGACAATGCAGTGACAGCCTGGACTGTGAGCTCAAGTACCAACCCGAGCCCTCACCCCAGAGGGAGTGAGAGCTTCTCAGTCAGATTGACACCATTTCTTTTTTGGTCAACCATCACATACTCCAAACCAAACAGTTCCGTATAAACCGCCTATATGTAAATTCACAAGATATTTATTGCAATGGAATGCGCTCTCTCTCTCTCTCTCTCTCTCTCTGGAGGGAGACCTCCCGCTCACCTAATTCCGGAGAGTATTAGGCGCAGTGGCGAGAGCCGAGGCTCGGGGGGAGCCCAGAGTGTGCGTTGGGGTAACTGCTGGAGTCTAACCCACACAGCTTTGTCATTGGCAGCTTTCCCGCCGCTTGTCCAGTCGGGACCTGTTGGCAGATTATTATCGTTGTGCCGCTGAGGCCATTGCGGATGATTTTTATTCTCACTTTCCCGCTGTTTCAGGGACCTGTGCGGACCGGAAATGAACCTGACATCCGGTGTGTCCATCGCTAACACCCGTCCCCGGGGCCTCGGGGCAATGAACGCTGAGCTGCAGTACGTGCTCTCCACCACCAGGCGGCAGCAGTTGATTGTAGCTGCTCTCTGGCGCCATCATGTGGCGAATACTGACATTGCAGCCAAGTTGCATTACCTGCTGACCGCAGCACATAGCAATGTTGACCTCAAGACCCAACTCCTGGAGCCCAGAACCCAAACAAGTGGTGTGAGAAACTTCAGAGACAAATTCACAGCTAATTGTAATACCCCGGCCTGGCACAATTACTAGAACTCTCGCCTCAAGGTCAGGAGGTGCCTTCGGACGTCCTCCCGACGTGAAAGGCGCTCTATAAATGGAATCTTGTTGTGGTTGTTGTTGAGGTGGATTTAAATAGAAAAAAAAATTGATAAAGTACCTTTCATATCATCCTCAGTGCCTGAGGTAAGGAGGTGCTGACGGGAGACGATCAGGAGAGTCTTGGTCTTGTTGACGTTCAACTTAGCTCTTATCCAGGACTTGATGTCTGACAGACATTCAGTCAGGACAACAGTGGTCCTGAAGTCAAGGGTGGAGACAGAGAGGTACAGTTGGGTGACATCTGCATGCATGTGGAAGTTGACCCCATGTCTGCAGATGATGTCATCAAGTAGGAGCATATAGATATTGAAGAGGAGGGGACCAAGGACAGAGCCCTAAGGAACATTGCACGAGACAGTGCGGGGGCTAGAGGAGAAAGCGTTTGTGGAGATGAAGTGGAGATGATATGAGAGATACAATCTGAACCAGTCAAGGACAGAACCCTGAAGGTTGAGGTGAGAGGAGAGGCAGTGGATGAGGATAGAGTGGTCAACGGTGTCAAAAGCAGCAGAGAGGTCAAGGAGGACGAGAAGGCAGAGGGAGCCCTGGTCGCAGATGGACAAAATGTCACTTGTCATTTTGACCAAAGCTGTTTCTGTGCTATGGGTGGCATGTAAACCCGACTGGATGGGTTCGTGACAGGAGTGGTGGGAAAGGAAGGAGCAAAACTGGGAAGCAACGAGTTGTTCCAGAACCTTGGAGAGGAAAGGGAGGTTGGCGATGGGGCGGTAGTTTGAGAGCAGGTGTGGGTCCAGGTAGGATTTTTTAAGGGGATGGGAATGATACCAGTGGACAGGGAGAGGTTTATGATGTCTGTGAGTAGGGGGGGCAAGCAGGTGGAGCTGAGAGGTAAGGAGAGGGTTAGGGATGGGGTCAAAGGAGCAGGTGGCTGGTTTTGGTGGGTTATGGTAGTGGTGAGAGGAGGGGAAGGCAGGTTCGAAGGTATGGAGAGTAACACAATGTTACAGTCAGCAAGAGCTGGACGGAGGTAGTGAGAGCATTTCCTGCCAACAAACCACAACACAAATCAGCATGGAGACCCAACAGCTTTATTTAGTTACATCCATTGAGGACAAGATATACAACAGTCTAAATCACGTACATTACAAATTACAAGGTCCCTGCTCCAGGCACCCACTACAGCCGTGTGCACACACAAGCTCAGCACAGCCTGAAAAGAGCCTTGTGTAGTGGCACATAATGAGCCTAAAACCTTGATTGGATTTATCTCTAAAGCGATTTTCACAAACACAGAAGTGGAACTTGAGGATCAATGAACAGGACAATAAAAAAATCAACTGAAATAAGTGGCATTTTCATTGCATTTCAAGATTAATAAAGTTAAACCAGGAAAATGATCTGAGAGCTGTATCCTCCTCACCAGAGGCAGAATGGCATCTATTACATTTAATAAAAAATTCCACCCTTTATAGCCCCTTCTCTCCGCCCTCTGTTGTGTTTACACACCACTTCCCCATTGACTACAGTCTGATTAACAAGACTGGTGACTGTGGCAAATAAGAGTACACTCAAACCCCAAAGCCAACTTGAACCCTGATCCCAGACCAGGTGATCAGACTGAAAAAAGGCACAAGAGCTTCCTCAAACTAACCCGAAAGTAGGCAATAAACCCTGAGCAGTAACATGTGCTCAGGCCTTCAATTAACACATGGACTAAAGTCAATTCATCTGTTACAAGAAACAAGTCTATAAAATCAGAGATTTGAGGTTCACAACAACAGCAGCAGAGAGAGGCCACTGCTGGAGAGCGTGCGATGGCCATGGTTTGTCCCCAAGTCCAGCAAATATAAGAGCTTTAGACATGACCTGGAACTATCAGCAGCATGGCCAAAATCAACAGACTTGCACCATCATCCCAGAGACAAGATTGTCAAATACCCTGAAAAACAAGAAAAAATGTGTGAGAGAATGAGAAAGCACCAGAGCATGAATGACACACAGAGATAGAAACGAGTGAGATGAAGAGGGAGAGAGTGAAAGAGAAGCGTAAGCTAGAATGAAACAAACAGAATACTTCTACCCCCAACAGCCCTCCTTACGTGGACTGGATGGGCTCCCCTGGGGTGTAGAAGGGATTGCACATGATATCGGTGTAGGAATTGTGCAGCTTTCGGAACATCTGCACAGAAATAAATAAATCAGATTCAGAGTTACGAGTGCTGGACAGCCAAGCCCACCCACTCCCAAGTCAGTGACAGCACATGTTAGAGACACAGTAACGCTCCCTTACACTGTGTGTCCACACTCCCAGGTCAGGGTTAGAGACACAGTAAAGCTCCCTCTACACTGTGCGTCCACACTCCCAGGTCAGGGTTAGAGACACAGTAACGCTCCCTTACACTGTGTGTCCACACTCCCAGGTCAGAGTTAGAGACACTGTGAATGGTATTGGTCAGACTGCAGGGGCTATGTGTGGTGATCAGGTACTTACACTGCGGATCTCGTTGTCCCTCAGTGCAATGTTGGAGGAATCCACCACGATGATAAACTTGACTTTAGTGTTGGTTACATAGCCATACCTGCACCAGAGCTCAGGAAGTCACACCCAATCACAACACCAGTAAACAGCCACATTTGCCACATTAAATATCAAATGCAAGGATTATTATTCTTATTATCAAATAACGTTCACAAACGCAACCGAGTCCAGGCACCGATGTGGGCTTCCAATTACTGACCATCCACTCTCCCAAAATTGCACAGAATATGCCCCCCCCCACAGGAACGCGGTGAGAAATGAAAAGTTGCCACCTGCCTTGAGTGCGTGTGAGTTGGGAACAGGAGTTACATGGGAGTGAATGTAGGGAAGGGGTCAGAGAGGATGACTGATCACTAACTGACTATCCCTCGGCATCAGCACAAGCCACTGAGTTGAGGATACACCTTGTAATCCTCGGTGGGGTACAGCAATCCCAGGTACAGCTCTCTCTGATCCACCAGCGCTTTCCCCACCGCCGAAATCTTCTCCTCCACCACATCCAGTGACGTGTGAACCGTGTAGTGAAACTTCAACTGCTTCTCCATCGGAACAGTCTTAATGTACAACGGGTAATTCTGTACACAAACAGGTGGGATTAATGCACACCCAGTCCCGCCCCCCCCCCCACACCCCCCACACCCCCTCCCCCACACCCAGCCCCCCCCCACACCCCCTCCCCCACACCCCCTCCCCTACACCCCCTCCCCACACCCCCTCCCACACCCCCTCCCCACACCCCTCCCCTACACCCAGCCCCCCCACACCCCCTCCCCCCACCCCCTCCCCCACACCCCCCCCCACACCCCCTCCCCACACCCCCTCCCCCACACCCAGCCCCCCCCACACCCCTCCCCCACACCCCCTCCCCTACACCCAGCCCCCCCACACCCCCTCCCCCACACCCCCTCCCTACACCCAGCCCCCCCCCACACCCCCCCCCGCAGCCCCCCCCACACCCCCCCCCGCAGCCCCTCCCCCCCCCCCCACACCCCCACAGACCTGTTTGGCGATCACTGAGACACAAACCGCCATCTTGGGGGCCGCTCTGGTCATGTGACGAGTAAAGATGGCGGCGGCGGTTTCAGCTGCGCTTCTGTGTCTGAGCCTCACCCCGACCTCCGGCCTCCCCCCGGCCCGCGGGCCGCCACCGGCCCCGGCCTCCCCCGGCCCCCGGCCTCCCCCGACCTCCGGCCTCCCCCCGGCCCGCGGGCCGCCACCGGCCCCCGGCCTCCCCCCGGCCCCCGGCCTCCCCCCGGCCCCCGGCCTCCCCCCGGGCCCTAACCTCCTGCTGCTGCTCATGGATGATGTGAGTTCCCGCCCGTGTGGCCGCTGTTGACTTTCTCTCGTGTGAAATGCGCTGAATCACATGGTGTTGAGGTCGCGCTGTTTGTGTGCAGATGGGATGGGGGGACCTGGGAGTGCTCGGCCAACCCGCAGAGGAGACCCCGAACCTGGACAGGATGGCGGCAGAGGGGATGCTGTTCCCCAACTTCTACACTGCCAGTCCGCTCTGCTCCCCGGGTAGGTCACTACACAACACCCCGGGGCTGTCAGTGTGTGACACTGTGTGTGTGTGTGACACTGTGTGTGTGTGTGACACTGTGTGTGTGTGTGTGTGTGTGTGACACTGTGTGTGTGTGTGTGTGACACTGTGTGTGTGTGACACTGTGTGTGTGTGTGACTGACACTGTGTGTGTGTGTGTGACACTGTGTGTGTGTGTGTGACACTGTGTGTGTGTGACTGACACTGTGTGTGTGTGTGACTGTGTGTGTGACACTGTGTGTGTGTGTGACACTGTGTGTGTGACAGTGTGTGTGACACAGTGTGTGAATGACTGTGTGTGTGTGACACTGTGTGAATGACTGTGTGTGTGTGTGACACTGTGTGATTGACACAGTGTGTGTGAATGACAGTGTGTGACACAGTGTGACAAAGAGGGCTGCACATCACAGTGTTACAGTCCAGATTTATCAGACACTGTTATAGTGAGGGCTTTGATACAGTGAGGTGTGATACCTGGCAGACTGACTGACAGACTGATGTCTATTCTCCGTTGTGCAGCTCGGGCGTCTTTGTTGACAGGACGGTTACCCATCAGGAATGGCTTCTACACCACCAATGCTCACGCTCGCAATGGTGAGCACCTCACTTGCTCTTTGTGTCTTTCGAGAAGTTTGAAGTCTGACCTAAGCCAATGGTGGGAGAAGAGGCCAGGGTTAGCACGCCCTTCCCCCTCCCGTGCCCCGCTCTCGCCTGCCCCATGGCCCCCACCTGCCTATGACACCCCCCCCCACCCATACCCCTGACCCCCTGCCCGCCCATAGTCCAGGTTGGCGCAGGTCAAGAGAAAGTAGCACAGAACTGATACAGCGCTGAGCGGAGCTACTGCTGAATCCCCTGTTTCTCTATGTGTCCTGTCTGCAGCATATACACCACAGGAAATAGTGGGAGGGATTTCAGATGCGGAACTGCTACTACCAGAGCTCCTTAAGAAGGCTGGATACACAAACAAAATCATCGGCAAGTGGTCAGTGGGTGGGGTGTGTGTGTTGGGGGTATGGGGAGAAGGTTGAAAACATTTATTAAGATTCCAGCTGCCCACTGAATGAATCCTCTGTGACTGCCTCTAGTGAAGTCCTGTAGCTCATTGGTTACAGCACTCACCTGACAAGCAAGAGACCTGGGCTTGATTCCTTGCAGGGCGAAACCTTGGGCAAGTTTTCTTACTCCACACGCCTGTTTACTTAGCAGTAAGTAAGAACCCGGTTGTTAGTCGATTGGCGGATCGCTTTTGTGGGGATAATAATTCCTTCAAATAATAAATAGTAATAACAAATTGGTCACATCAATCCACGATTGTTTGTAGGACACTGGCAATTGGCTGCCGCGTTTCGCCCACAAAATATAGTCACTACAGTCTACAATATATTCTGTGAGAAGTCTCGAAGATGTGATAAGGTGCTATATCAAATGCAAGGATTATTATTACCCTCAATTCCAGCATCTTGTTTTCTGTTGGTTCCACAGGCACCTTGGGCACAGAGAGCACTTCCACCCCCTTAGGCACGGCTTTGATCAGTGGTTCGGGGCCCCAAACTGCCATTTCGGTCCCTACAACAACATGGTGAAACCCAACATTCCCGTGTACAACAACTCCGAGATGGTTGGCAGGTAAAACACACTGAGCACAGCATAAGCACAGATCCAGAAATCAGCCAGTGAAATGTTTCAACACTGTTGCTCAATCACTCATGGCTGTGTGTGGAACATGGCTGTGCACTAATTAGTTGCCAGGTTTGCTCACAAGTACACTGTGAAATGCTTTGGGACAGTTTGATATAAAAGGCCTCCCTCCGTTGCAGGCACTGAAGCACTGACTTGTCGTCTCTCTTCCTGTAGGTATTATGAAGAGTTTGACATAAACTTAAAAACTGGAGAGTCCAACCTCACGCAGATCTATTTACAGGTGAGGACTCTGGTGACTGCTGTGTGCTGTGTCCCTCCTGACTCCCTATAACCCTGTTTTTGTATTGCTTACAGGAAGCGCTTCAGTTCATCAGGGATCAGGCGCTGAAGAAGCTAGAGCCATTCTTCCTTTACTGGGCCATTGACGCCACTCACGCTCCCGTCTATGCCTCAAAATCCTTCCTGAAAACCAGTCAAAGAGGCTTGTGAGTACTCGACTCAGAGATTGTGGTTGTAAACTGCTTTACTGTGTCGCTAACCTGGGAGTGTGAATGAGCAATTTCAGGTTGAATGGATGTGAATTGGGAGCAGACGGGATTGTGACCCGGGTATTGATATTGCGGTAGGTATGGCGATGCTGTCCGTGAGATTGATGACAGCATTGGGAAAATACTGGCTGAGCTTCGGACACAAGGCATCGCAGAGAATACCTTTGTCTTCTTCACATCTGATAATGGCGCAGCTCTAATCTCAGCTCCCACCCAAGGTAGGTACCCGACAGTTCAGGCTCTGTGTTTGTGCGCGCATGCGTGTGTAGGGGCAGTGAATGAGCTGAGTTAACGTTGGCTTGTGCTTGTGTAGGGGGCAGTAACGGGCCTTTCCTGTGTGGAAAGCAAACAACATTCGAAGGTGGGATGCGGGAGCCGGGGATCGCCTGGTGGCCAGGACACATCGCCCCTAAACAGGTGGGTCTGCAGGGGAACAGCCCCTAAACAGTTGGGTCTCGCGGGGGAACAGCCTGTAAACAGGTGGGTCAGGGGGGACAGGGAAAGAGGAGGTGCCCTGGGCTTTAATTGGATCTGAATGAAATGGTGGGCAGGGAGGGAGATGAACATAAGAGCCTTCAAAGAGGTAGATTTGAAATGGGAGTTAAAGACAACAGGAGAGTCATGAGGATTTGGAGAGGTTTGGGGACTTTTCATCACATAATAATATAATAATAATAATCCTTGCATTTGATATAGCGCTTTTCACGTCGGGAGGACGTCCCAAAGCGTTTCACAGAACACACTGTAAAGTGAATTAACTGTATATTTGTGGGCGAACGCGGCAGCCAATTGCGCACAGCAATGTCCCACAAACAGTCGTAGATTGAAAATGACCAATTTATTATTGCTTTTGGTTTTGGAGGGATTATTATTAGGCTCTGTGTGGAGTAAGGAAACTTGCCCGAGGTTTCGCCCTCTGCCTGGAATTCAACTCAGGTCTCTCACTTGCAAAGCGAGTGCTCTAACCACTGAGCTACAGGACACATTAAATAGACTCCCAGTGCCCAGCCTGACATACCCTCTGATTGTAGGTGAGTTACCAGCTGGGCAGTGTCATGGATCTGTTCACCACCAGCCTGGCACTAGCCAGCCTGCAGCCCCCCAGTGACCGGGAAATTGACGGCATTGACCTGTCACCTGTGCTGTTGCAGAACCAGACTATTATTGAGAGGTGTGTGACCTCCCCTAGGGGAACTTTTTGCAAGATTTGCTTTAAACTCTGATGCTCTCTTTCTTATCTCCTCGTCAATATCTTATAAATAATAATCCTTGCATCTTATGTAGCACCTTTCACATCGGGGGGACGTCTTAAAACACTTCTCAGTAAAGGGTAGTGACTGTGTTTTGCAGGTGTAAGTTATCTGTTACTATTTTCCTTCTCAAACCCTCCCCTTAATGCTGAACAGTGCCATTCAATCCCTTTAACCTTCTCTGCTCCAGCATGTTGCACTATCCCAGATGTCTGTGAACTTGAAGTTGTGAGATCGAGTGTTTGCTTACTCACTCGTTCTGTACCCATAGGCCAGTGTTTTACTACAGAGGAAATGAGATGATGGCAGTGCGTGTGGGGCTGTACAAAGCACATTACTGGACATGGAGCAACTCCTGGGAGGAGTTCAAGCAGGTGAGTCATGGCAGAACGAACGAGTAAGTGGCGTGTAGCTGGTGTGGAGGGGAATCTGTAGCTTGTGGGGGGGGTCTTTATCTGGGGGTAGAGTCTATTGCTGGGGGACAAGAGAGTCTGTAGCTGGGGGTAGGGGAGTCTGTTTAGCTGGAGGGATGGGGGGGTCTAGCTAGGGGGTGGAGATCTGTAGTTGGCGGGGGATGTCTGTAGCTGCGGGGAGGAGTCAGTAGTGGGGTGGGGGGAAGGGGTGCGGTTGCCTGGCTTCTCTTCTTCCTCAGCCTTAAACACGGTGCATGTATTTCATTGGTCAATCATTTTACGTCTTTTTGTGGGATGTTGCTGCGCACACATTGGCTGCCAGATTCGCCTACAAAAACACACAGTCACTAAACTTACAGCATATCCAGTGAAGCACTATGAGATGTCCTCCCGAGGTAAAAGGCTCTGTACCAAATGCAAGGATTACTATTATTACTTCTTCTCTGTACTTGCATCTTGCTCACTGCTCCACCGCTTCTGTTCAGAATATTTGCTAGCTGCTTTGGGAAGTCCTCCCGACGTGAAAGGCGCTTGTTGTTGTTGTGTTGGTGCTGGTGTGAGCAGCCTGTTGATTGCTGTCTGTGATGGTGCGCTGGCTCTGGCTGTTGGTGCAGATGATGCAGAAAATAATGGCATCGGGGATGGGCCATGCTGCCAGACAGGGCTCCGAGGCTTTGCCACACGTGCCTGGTTTGTGAGCCCTGCTGCCGGTGAAGGACAGACCTCAGTCTGTCTCCTGTCAGTCACAACAGTGTTGCTGTATTTCCAGATGTAGGAACATTACAATAAAATGATTCTCCCCTGATTGAAGGGAATCGACTTCTGCCCTGGACAGAGTGTGCCTAATGTGACCACACATGATCAGCAAGACCACAGCTCCCAGCCCCTACTCTTCCACCTGGGCAGGGACCCTGGAGAGAAAGTTCCAATCAGGTGAGATTTCTCCCAGGTAACCCTCAGATGAGCCTTAGCCCATAAAAATGTGATGCTACAAAACAGGAAACAGACTCCCCCCCACTTCTCCCTCCCCCTCTCTCTTCCCTCCCCCCTCTCTCTTCCCCCCCACCCTCTCTATTTCCCCCCCACCTTCTCTCTTCCCCCTCCACCCTCTCTTTCCCACCCCCCCACATTCAGGCTCCATTAGTCTAACCTATTGTTCTCATTGGCTGTGTTGCAGAGAGTGGCATCGCGAGTATTCGGAGATCATGAATCTAATCCACCCAATCGTTCAGCAGCACAAATCCTCCCTGGTGCCCGGAGAGCCTCAGCTCAATGTGTGTGACTGGGGAGTAATGGTTAGTATTGTCTCAGAGACGGTCAGTATTGTTGACTGAGCAGAGACTGAATGTTTGTAGATCACCATGATGATAATCTGAACAAAGCTTGATTTGCAGTATAGTACCACCTCCTGCTGGTTCCGGCAGCCTGTCTCAGATCTCTCCACCACTCCCCTCTTCCCATGAGTGTCAAGTGTGAGTGAGTGTGCAGGAACAATGATGAATCTTATTGGTTGTTCATTTTTCTCCCATCAGAACTGGGCACCTCCAGGCTGTGCGAAGCTGGGCAAGTGCCTGAAAGGCCCTGGCTCCAATCCGTGGAAGTGTGACTGGCCACATTAATACCACCTGCATTTTGGATCCCGGAGCTTAATATGGACTGAGTTTGTTGGAGCTTGCTTAACATGTGTGTCTGAGCTGCTCTCTTCCTCTTTCTCTCATAGCAGAACATATTCATAAAGTCAACCCATTGATGGGAAAATACACAATGGTTGAAAATCATCCTAAATTGTCTGGTGGTTAAGCAGGATGCTCTGAGGCTGACTCACGAGAGCTTTCCCATTGCAGTCTTTCAACCAGAGGCAAATCAGCACATACTCAGAAAAATTGAGATAGTCAATCAGATAAACTCTTATTCCTAAGATTGGGAGGGTTACAGTAAAGGAAAAGGTATGTTGTATTTGCACTCTGGTGTCTTCATGATGCTGGCAGGCGGCATCCATTTTACACTTTGTTGAACCTTTCGAAGGTCGAGGTTCATTCTTCCAACAACAACAACTTGTATTTATATAATGTCCTTTCTCACAGGGTAGCGTCCCGGAGCGCTTCACAGTAGCAGAGTCTGATGAGCCATGTTTCCAAAACCTTAGACAAACATTATTGAGAGGTAGGAGCCTTGTGCTTCTCATTGCTAATCTCACAACTATTGATCAGTTTCTGGCTGGTCCATGTTATTCCCCATCTCCTGCAAAGGCAGTTCATTAGCTTATTCATAGCTGGCTATCGTGCACTGGCGCTCCAATGTCTCCCGAGTGTCTGTTGATGGCACTGTGGCAAGTCGTTGTTTGGAGACCATATATCGCCAGTTGGTGGCGCTGTTGTACAAACACCCACTGCAGTACCACAGACAACCTGTTGAAGACGCTATCTACCAAGGCTGTAGTACCACACACGCCTGTGCTGACATGGTTGTACCATTTAACCTAAAACATATGTCTGGAAAATTGATGGCTTTCACGAACCATTCAGTAAATCTAACTGGTCACAGACATCAAACCCTCTTGCACAACAGCTAGCTGTACAAATTTTTATTGTACTCGCCATACTCTGACATTTCCTACAGTACTTTCAAGGTCCAGTTTTTGCAGCCAGAAATTCCTGTTTGATTTTCAGCAGGAAAGTCCTGCCAGTTTGTAGGCAATGTTAATTTAGTAATGTGATTGTTGTGGGTTTACAATGAACTCTTACACAGTTGTCATATCACTTGCTTCTGCAATTTTATCTTTTGGCTCTCCCGGTTCTGTCTTGTTCTGCTCGTAGTCCTCCTCTCAGTTATGCTGATGATCACAGCATCACTTTCTTCTGTAATCAGAGTAATTGGAAATGGAACAATTTGAGCCACTGCAACCTGTGCCCCAGGCAGGGAGGCAGAATGTTTTAGATGAAGCTATTTTACTCTATTTAAATAAACTTCCAATTTTTTTTCCTGTTTATGTTTTGAATGTTTTTATGGTCAGTGCAGCCTGGCAAGAGTGGCACCTAGGCCACAGTGAACACAGATCCCTTACCTCCACTGTTCACTCTCAGGATGATTCTGGCAGTTGAGATTTTAGTGAATGGGGGAAGTTTATTCTGGAAAATGCAAGACAATTCTAAATCTGTTTGCCCATAGCAGGCCAGTAATGGATACATAACCTACTTCGAAGACTAAGCCAACTCAGCTCCTGGGAATTGTGCAGAAGCTGGGGTGCCTCTCATTGGCAGCTGGGTAGACATCTTGAATGTTGAGTGCAGATCCATCTCTGCATAATATTACAGATTGGTGCAGTACAGCACTGTACCCTCTACAACAGCAACAATAATAATAAATTACATTGATATAACACTTTTCATGGCAGGAGGACATTCCCAAGATGGTAGGCAGTTGAAACTGTAACTGCTTTGTCTGGGTGAAAGCTATTTATTGTAACTGCTTCTCCCCCATGTGATCAATTGCTAATGTCATTGCATGGATGGACAGCAAATAGGAGTGGGAACTGATTCATCTTCCCTTCTACACCTGGGCACTGAGGCTTGAGTACTATCAGCTCAATCAACAACAATAACTTACATTTATACAGCAGCCACACACACCCTCCTGTCCCCATTGTTCCTCTCTCCCCCATTGCCCCCTCAACCGCACCCTCGTATCCTCAACACCCCCTTAACCCCCATTACCTCCCCCCCATTGCGCCTTCTCCCCATTTTCCCCCTATTGCCCCCTCCCCCATTGCACCCTCAAGCTCCCCATTGCCTCCTCACCCCCATAATGCCCCTCACCACCCATATTGCCACCTTATTGTCCCCTCCCCTTTGCCCCTCCACCATTGCGCCCCTGTCCCCTCACCCCCCCATTGCCCTCTCACCCTCACCCCCCATTGCCCCCTCAATCACCTCCCTTCCCATTGCCCCTTCTCCCCGACTCGCCACCCCCGTGCCCCCTCCCCCTGTTGCCCCCTTCCCACCGGTTGCCCCCTCACACCCTCTGCCCCTGGGGGAGGAGCTGGTGTCACCTGACCGGTGCTGTCCAATGAGCGGCGGGTAATGGCGGCGGTGCTGGCCCGCTCTCGCGCTGCTGTCCGCCCGCCGCCCGCGCGCCGTTACCCTGGTTACCCGCCTCCCGCCTCCCACCCGCAGCTCCGGCCTCGGACAGGTGAGTGTCGGCAACGGGCCCGTGGGGAAGGCATTAATCTCAGTACTGACGGGGAGCCCGGGAGCCGCTCACTCCCACACCCCGGCCTCATGTCGGCCATAGGCCGCGGCCTCATGCTGGCGCCGCGTCCCTCCCGCAATCGGTCTGCCTGCGAGGGGGCCGCAGCCGCCGGTTTCCCAGCGTGTGAGCCCGACAGGAAAGGCGGGGGGGCGCTGAGGCCCCATGGCGGCCGAGGCCTCACCCGAGGGCTGAGTGTGGTGAGAATCGGGCCCCGCTCTCCGCCTCTTTCCCCCCCGAAATATCCTCAACTGTAGCCTAACTGGGCCTCAGCCTGAGCTGCAGCGGCGCCTCTTAATCCCGGGCTCAGATCACACCCTAATCTCTTCCCTTGTGACTGAGGTCATTTTCAGGCTTCGTTTCCTTCGATCACTTTGGATTCACCCTTTGCCCTGGAGGTTGGTGCAGTTTGATGTCGGTCTCGGTTGGTCCCGGTGCAAACCTGACTCCTGCTCCCAACGTGCATTGCCTCAGTTGTGCTTCTCGGACGAGTTGTCTCGTAGAGCGCTCTCTCTGCTGTGTTCATTGTTCAGCATAATGTCAGATCAGTGAGTGCTGAAAGTTAATGATTGCAACAGTCATTTATCCACCAAATACAAATGTACAGGATCTCCACAAATTAGTCCAGCTCATGTTCATCCAGATCTCTAGTTCCTTCCTCTCTTAATCTTCCCTCTAATTCCACCTCAGATTCACGGGTCTAGTTTGTCTTTGGAAGTACCGTATGGCAAACTTCTTGCAGCTTGTACAGGTAGAACCAACCAACCCATTAGAGTTTTGGCTTGCAAGGTTAACAGAAGCCGAGTGGGAAGAATCCCTGCCCTCCTGACTGCTTTACTTTGCCAAGATCTGCTGATGAGCCAGCTGGTTGGTCTGTCATCAGCAGTGCCCTGGACATTTTTTTGTTCAATCAAAAAGTGAAGTGCAACTATTAGGAGATTGGTTTTGCTGTACGGAAGCAAGGCTCCAAAGAACCTCAGGTTATTTGTTGCCAAAATCTATCTGGGTCACGTCATTGTATTGCAGTTAATGTATTGCAGTTTGCACAGAAGTTGAGCTACAAGTGAAGTTACTAAGTTGAGGAAGTGACGATCTCAGGGATGTTTCCTCTGCAGTTTCATAGACCAGTAGGTAAAGGCTGGTTTGATTCCTGGTAAGTTCTGAATTATCTAATCACCACTGGAGATCAGTTATGGTGCTAGAATTGCAATTTTGGTTAGTAAAAGACTCGATGTTTGTGTGCTTAAGTTTCTTCCTTGGTCACTGTGGCCCTGTTTAAAAGAGTGAGCCCAAGAGTTACCTGTCGCTTCCTCATGTAGAGAGCTTTCCTGTAGTTAGTGAACATCCCATATATCTTCATTGTGGAGATACACTACAGCCAGAGGGAGCAGAGACCAGGCTGTGCTGTTCCTGGGTGAGGATGATGCATGGCATTGAGGAATAGAAAACTGTCAGACTGATTTAGTGTCTTTAAGTGTAAGGGACTGTTAACACTATAAACCTTATCTGCAGATTCACTGGCGTGCTCAGCTGTTACATTTGCTAACCAGCTCTTTTGAATCGTAAGTGGATCAAGTAATATCTTGTTTCATTTATTTCAGTAGTGTGGGTAAAACCCAGCTTGCCAATGGGTCTCCCTTGTCAAATGTTGAAATGGCCACAGGTACCACATAGATGGTGCTTGAAGCTGACTCCAGACCTTAAACCAAGTTCAGTTGATCTGGCAATAAACCAGACAACAACAACAACAACTTGGACTTATATAGCGCTCTCCGTGGTGGACGGCGTCTCAGAGTGCTTCACAGTAACAGATCCTGGGGCTGAGCCAGGGGGAGGGGGAGGAAGGTGACCAAAGGTCCAGTCGAAAAGACCTGAAAATAGGAAGAGAAGGGGCGAGGCGAAGGGAGTGGGAAGGGAGTTCCAGAGCCTCGGGGCATAGTGGCTAGGCTCGGCCGCTGAGGGTGGAGCGGAGGACTCGGGGGACAAGGAGGAGACCAGACCCTGAGGAACGAAGGTAACAGGCACTATTTTGAGGAGAGAGGAGGCAGAGATGTAGGGGTGTGCGGAGGAGTGGAGGGATTTGAAGACCAGGGTGAGGATTTTGAAATCAATCCTCTCTGGGACAGGGAGCCAGCCAGTGCAGACTTCTGCACTGGAAGCACTAGTAAAAGTATTTAAAGATGAATTGTACTGACTGCACTGGGTTATAGATTAGAGCTTGCTTCTCATGCAAGGTTTTTACCAACTGTTTGCATTGGTCTGAGAAGGTACCTTAAGTATGTTAGCTCCTGTTGGGTTGGCAGACTAGTGACATCTGTCACTTATACAGCAGGGAATAGTTAAATGTAAGAATAATTTACAGACTAACTAGTTTTTCTAGCCCACTCATCCAATTCTTTGTATTCATTTAAACACAGAATCCTTTTAGTTGACAGGAAATTGTCTAGTTCTCTGAAACCTTTGCAATTCCTTGTTCCATCAACTATACTAGTAGTTTGTTCCACATAACTATCATGTTTTTAATAAAAAGTCTGCATTTTGTCATTCTCTTTTGTTACCTTCTTTTGAAGGTATGTCATCTTAGTGAATCCTGGTCTGTGGGTGAGCACGTTATTTTGTTGGGTGTAATGGGGAGCTGCTCGAGAGTTCGTAATATACTTTTGTGTATTTGTTTTTGTAGCAGGGTAACATTGGCTTCCAATGGACGTCTCCGATAGTCCTGACTGTGACCCTCATTCCCCAGAGGAACAGCTCTCTGATGATCTGTTGCTTGAGGGTGGGCATGAACAGGATGAAGAGGACGACATAGACAAACAGTCAGAACATGACGGGGAATGCCTCGATTCTGATGACAATGATCGTTGCAGTGAAAGTGCTGAGCTTGAAAGTGCTGGTGATCCTGACAATGAGGGGAGTCAGGATGAAGTGGAGACCCGTGAATCTGAGGTAGAAGAGGAGGAAAAAGTGAAAGAGGAAGGAGACTGCAGTGAGGAGAGTGGCAATGATGGCGAGAATGACGAGCTACCCAAAGACATAGACCTAGAGTCTGATCGAGAGAATCCAGCAAGTCCAAAAAGGATACGCAATGCTGAGCAAGGAGAAAATGCACTCTCTGGGAAGCAGGACTTGCAGCCTGATGAGGTTGTTAATGATTCCAAGGATGAGGCATCTTCTGTCAGTAGAGATCTGGATGAACATGAGCTGGACTATGATGAGGAGGTTCCTGAAGAGCAGCCAGGGGCTGTGACTGAGGACAGTGAGAAACACAGCACAGAGGAGAAGAATGGCGACTCACCAAATGATGGTGAGAAAGAGAAAAGCAACTTTGAAGACAGAAAGTCTGAAAGAGAGAGGAGAGATTCATTTCGTGAGAGGAAAAAGGATGAAGATGACGGGGAGCTTGATGAAGGAGAAGTTGAGGTATGAATGTAGATTGGTTTGACACTGGCAATATCAAGGGTAGTTCATCATTTCAGTTGTGCCATTGAAATGCCTTCAGAATCTGTCCAAGATTTCCTTTGTGTGGAGCCCTTTTCTAGCTGTTAGTGGCTCTCTCTCTCTCTCTCTACTCATTCACTCACTCTCACTGACACACACACACACACAAACTCACTATTCACTCACACTCACTACTCACACACACATTCACTCACTAGCCACTCACTCTATTCACTCACACACACTCACTCTACTCACTCATGCACGCACACACTCACTCACTAAAAACCTATCCCTCTCTGCAAAATCCTCCATTGTCTGAGATACAGGACTTGGTCTGTGAGGTTCTCGATAGGCAAAAGGCTGAAAAACAACAATGTCCCGGGATGGATGAACCGCAGGATACTGAGAGGGATGAGGAAGGAGATGGCACTGTCAGATATTATGATTGTCTGACAACTACATACCCATTAGTCTGTCTTTAATAATTGGGAAACTGATGGAGTCAGTCATCAGAAAAAAATAAAATATTATCTGTATAAAAATAATCTATTAAATGACTTCAGAGATTCAGTCTGACCAACCTCAGAGACTTTTGTTGAGGTGGCATGCCAGATACTAGATTTCCAAAAAGCAGTGACAAAGTACCATGTGAAACACCCTTCACAGTCACTGGACTAAGGGAGGTCAAGTGTTTGTGTGTTACCTCCTTTCCCTCCTAAATCATGCAAGACTGCTATTCCACACACCCGGTTCCCTTCCGTACCTTGTCCAAGGTAGCTATTGTGCACAAGTTCAGTTGGTGAGTAAGGCCTATGGGAGCAGCATAGTCACCTACTGAGGCCTACGGGAGCAGCATGGATAATCCCAATTTCCCATCTTTGCCTGATGAAGCATTAGGTACCAGGAACACTGGTCAATATACCGTTTCCATAGCCCAATGGTGCTGGGACTAATTACAGAACTTCTAACACAACATTGGCTGGAATCCGGGATCATACACGAACCTGCATTGTTTTGCCAAAATCATTTCAGTCTATCAAGATTTCTCCCCAAGATAAATAATTCATTTGGAATTGATGAATTATCATGGGATCTGACAGTGAAAAGGACTTCCTTTTCCCACCATAACAGCACACGACTAATTTTCCCATGCATTCTATTAACTGGAGATTCTGTAATCCTTGCTGTATTTATTTTACTAGGACGATGATCTTGAAGAAGGCGAAGTAAAGGATCCCAATGAGAGGAAGGTCCGACCAAAACCCATCTGCAGATTCTACATTAAAGGTAATAAATCATTGAGAAGGGCAGCAGCTAATTCTTTGCACTTAGCAAAGATTGAGAATTAATCAAAGGTTGCTTGAAGAGTTGAGATGTTGATGTTTTGACGTCTCTGAGAGTAAATCTGGTTAGCCTGGGTACCCTTCCAGGGATCCATAATGTTGTTTCAGCTACAATTGTATTTGCATGAAAGCTCAACTGTTATTGCGGGAATATTTGTGTTCATATGTGATGTCAATTGATAGGATTATTCCTGGGATTCTGGTAAAACCTTGCCTAATTTAAAAAAAAAAAATATTTACCGAACTCTCCCTCATTGAAAGTGCTATTTACGCCCGATGAGTCCAATCATCCCTCCTGTGTTGTGACCAACTTGGATCAGTCATTTCTAGCTCTTGGTCCAGGTTTTGTAATTAGTTGGTATCTGTTGTGGGTTATTGGCTATTGTTTTCCAGGCTAATGGACACTTCTTGAATATTGCAAAGGTAAGCAATTGAGCTAATTAGTTTATGTCATTCTTTGTGGCTACATTACTATCGATGCACTGTAAGATGAACTGTCCAGCTTGCTGTATACATAAAAAGATGGTCTTGTATTTTCACATCATTGATTACTTTTATATAGTGAGCAGGACTTCCTCTTTATAGCTGCCCCTGTTACAATGCTTCGCTACCCCCCCCCCACACACATACACACAGAAAACTGAAAGTCCTCTGCCAATGAGGGATCATCAGAAACTGTTAGCATTGCATATTAGCTGTGAAATATCACAAAAAAATGATTACTGGGTGACTTATTTGGCAGAGCTACTGAGTCCTAGATCTGCAAGCTTACCAATGGAGGTTTAGAGTTGTCATTTGATGAATAAAATGGCAAAACCTGATATAGAGTCAACATTTTAGTTATACTTCCACAGCGTTAAAAATGCAGAAAAACTTTTTAAAATTAAAATGATATACAGTAAAACTCATATAAATCATATGTTTATAAATTGTGATTCCCTAAGTCGTACATTCACCCAGGTCCCATTCAATTTCCTATCAAAACCATTTAGATTTCTTTGCACCAGTCATATTAATCACCCCCTAACTTGTAACGCCGCTCCCCGATCCTCCATTACTCCTGGACTTCCCAGCTGTATTAACGGCTGTAGTAAGCATAGCCTTAATCCGTCGACACGTGCGCAAAATAACTTCATTTCCTGCCATTCAATGCAGTTCCAATGTTTGCTCTTAGGTGCGCATGTGGCGACAGGTCACGGTGCATTGCATCATGGGAAATGTAGTCTTGACCCGTCACCACATGCGCACTTACCGTCTGCAGTGACGAACTACCGTATGTACTTACCGGCTACATTGAATTACACACATGTGGTGTAGATTATTGATTAAATCGTATTTTATATGTCATATACAGTTTGCCCACATTTTGGATTTCATGTAAATCATATTAAGTGTTATGATCCTGACTGATATGACCGGTATGACTTTTGCTGTAACAATCCTAGTGTTGCTATTTATCCTAGCTGTGTTGGAAAGAGTTAAAAGGGATAATGATAATCATAATCCTTGCATTTGATATAGCATCTTATCATGTCTTTGAGACATCTCAAAGCGCTTCATGGAATATACTGTAAAGTGAATTGACTGTATATTTGTGGGCGAAACGCGGCAGCCAATTGAGCTCAGCAGCGTCCCACAAACAGTCGTGGATTGAAGTGACAAAATTAGGGTTAGGAAGCCCCGTCCTACCTCTCTGACCCGCTGACTCCCTACCAACTTGCCCGCTCCCTCCATTCAGTGGGCTCCAATCTGCTCCATGTCTCCCGTCCAAACTGCCCTAGCATCGGTGGCCGAGCTTTCACCCTCTCTGCCCTCACACTCTGGAACTCTATCCCACGGTCACTTCGCCTCGCTTCCTCCCTTCAAGGCCGGTCTTAAGACCCTTCTCTTCGATCATGCCTTTGGTCGCCCTCCCACCTCTCTGCCTTCTCTCACCCCTACACCATCCCTCCACCATGCTCGGGACCCGACACCTGACTGTTCAGCGCTTTGGGACGTCCTCCCGACGTGAAAGGTGCTCTATAAATGTAATTTTGTTGTTGTTGTTTCGCCTTGCCGGGAATTAAAACCCAGGTCTCTCGCCTGCAAGGCGAGTGCTCTAACCACTGAGCTACAGGACTCCATCATGTATGATAATGAAATGAGTTGCAAAACAGTCCCTTCATACTTCACTTACAAACTCAATTTAGTTTAAATTGACGCTACCTAAATAAAATGCATTGGCGTAAAGTACAATCTCTACCAAATTATAGACACCTTTGACAAACATAAAAGTTAAATCAGTCATAAATAATCTAAAAGTCATGTATAATGCAGAAAGGCACAACAAGAAAATTAAAAATCTTACATTTGATCGCAGTAAAGCCAGAAGATGGCGTTGTTTCATTCATGACTAAAATGCTGGAAGTTTACAGCGCAGAAAGTCATGATTTTGATTTTCCTAGGGGAAATGTTTGATTACTTTCCGCCTTTGAAATTAAATGGCTCCTAATCCTTCAATCCTGTTTCATGTTGAAATGTAGAAGATTGCTTTTTGCTTCCACTGGATATGTTAAAAAAAAGTTCTGTCTTTAAAATGCTTTTAACAGGTTGTTGTTTTGTAGGTAACTGCACCTGGGGGAATAATTGCCGGTTTATTCATCCGGGAATAAATGATAAAGGAAACTACTCGCTGATAGCCAAACCAGATCCCTTTTCACCTAATGGAGGACATCACATAGGACCTCACCCACTGATGCAGGCTAACCCATGGGTATGTAAGCCAATTAATGTTTTAATTGCTGGACTCTGCAACGGACCGTTTTTCAGAGAAATCACTCAACATTCTACCTCCAATCAGACAACTTCCATTCTGATTTGAATTAAAATGTGTGTTTCTTAGCATGATTTTATTTTCTCTCACTTTCCATACTAATTTGGATTAAACTCTCCTGAAAGCGCTGACACCTACTGAGATGCAGTCCATGTTTGCTGATTGCTCTCTGCTGGGCCATACTGGGCATTTCCATGTGTTGCTCCAGATGTTTAATATTGATGGGCTGTTAAACCAAAAGCAAGAGGACATCACATATGAGCTGAGCCCAATCCTGCTCTCAACAGCTGCCTTCACCTGATGTCCACACAAGCGTGTTTTAGTTGGCAGTCAATGGATAGTTGTCAAGACAAAATCCCTGCCTTTTTCCTCTCTGTCTAGCTAAGACAACTTAAACACAGTTAGCATCACTGCAGCTATCATTGTTGAGATCGGCTGGCCTGCTTCATATTACACTGAGCTTTTAGAGAAGTTAACACTTCTGAATTTACTCGCCTGCTTAATTCTGTACCACATAACATTACCTTCCAGAAGATTCCTTCCTTCAGTGAATTATTTTAGTTGATATTTTGTACACAAGTGTGTGTGAGACACTGCATACTGCTGGGGTGCACAATAGGAGTACTGTGAAAGAATGCAGCAAAGACCTGTGGAAAGTTTTGAGGATGATTTACAATAATTATCATTTAGCATATTGCTTCCTCATGCCATACCAAATGCCAAGATGATTACTATATTATTTTCAGTGTCTCAATTTGTCGAGTTGAGAGACCTACTGTCTGGATTACTGAAACTTTGAAAGTAGACAAAACTCCGTCATCAAATTGACACAGTATAGAATGTGGACCTGAGGGAGCAATCCTGTTAAACATGTACATTATCCGATTGTGCCTTTGTTCCTCCGGGTCTGGCTTCCTCCTCGTTCCCCGAGTCCTCCGCTCCACTCTCGGTGGCCGTGCCTTCAGCCACTATGACCCGAGGCTCTGGAACACGCTTCCTCACTCCCTTCGCCTTGTTCCCTCCCTTCCTATTTTCAGGTCTCTGCTGAAGACTTTTTTTTGACCGCGCCTTTAGTCACCTTCCCCCCCTCCCCCTGGCTCGGTCCCGGGATCCGTCCTGTGAAGCGCTCTGAGACGCCGTCCGGCGTGGAGGGCGCTATATAAATCCAAGTTGTTGTTGTTGATTGAGCTCTTTCCTAACCTCATTTTCCTTTTTCTTTCCAGGAAACACAAATGTTGGTAAGTTAAAAGTTTGATTTATTAAAATCTTGTAGAATCGTGCTACTCTCAGTGTTTAATTTGTTGGTAGTTGGTCAGTTGTGAAGTTCAGATCCCATTACAGCCTTCCTTGTCACTGGAGGCAAGAGTTGGTGTTGGGTGTTTTAAACTTAAGCCTCAGGAAAACGTTTACAATTCCTCCTGACTGCCTGCAGGTGGCGCTCAAGGGCTCACTTACTGCACTGCAAACTCCTTCTGGCAACTGAAGCCTCTGCTGTCAGCAGAACAACTGTGTGTTCTTTTCACTGTAATATCATGTGTGACTGATAACTTAATGACAGTTGGCTATGGTGTGATTATAATCAAACGTATATTTGCCTACAAATCCAGTGACTACACTTGGCAGAAAAAACCTGTGGAGAGTTTTGAGGATGATTAATAATAATTATCATTTAACATATTGCTTCCTGATGCTATATCAAATGCCAGGATCATTATTATATGATTTTCAGTGTCTCAATTTGTGGAGTTGAGAGATCTACTGCCTGGAATACTCAAATGCACTCCTTGCCGGTCTCTCCGGCTCCACTATTCAAAAAATCCAGCTCATTCAGAACTCTGCTGCCCACATACTTACTCAGACCAAACTCTGTACCCACATTTCACCAGTTCTGGCGATTCTCCACTGGCTCCCCATCACCGAACGGATCGACTTAACTATCCTCACATTCGTATTCAAATCCATTCACTCCCTGACACTTCTCTACCTCCAACCTCCTCACTCCCCAGTCCACCATTGGAGGTCGCGCTTTCAGCCACTACACCCCGAAACTGTGGAACACTTTCCCTTAATCCCTCCGTCTTGCTGCCTCTCCCCTTTTTCAAGGCTCGCCTGAAAAGCTTTCTTTTCAACTGTGCTTAAGGTCACCACACACACACACACCAGTTTGGAGTCAGATCCTGCCACTGTTAAGCTCTCTGCATGGAGGGTGCTATATAAGTGTAAGTTGTTGTTGAGTTTAAATATTATAGTAGCAGCATTTAGACTTTTTGATGATTTACTCTATTTGTTTCCAGGGTACTCCAGTGATCGATGAATTGTTACCTCCAGTTCCAGTGGAACCTCCAGCGGAGAGTGCGTGGGAGAGAGGTCTGCGACATGCAAAAGAAGTGAGTGGCAAAATAAATAAAGTAATCTGCTTTGTGTGGGGGCGGGTGGCCATGCTCCTCTGGGGTCTGAGTTACAGTGAACCAACCCACTCTACTGTGTGCAAATAGCCTGAGGAAAACCTGGCTTTAACATTCTTCCTGTTACAGATGCTGAAAAAAGCCACCATGAGGAAGGAACAGGAGCCAGATTTTGAGGAGAAAAGGTTCAATGTGACTATTGGAGATGATGATTTTGACAAAGAAAATGATTTTTATCGGGATTGGAATTATCGAGTTGCAAGAGACGTCAGAGAGCCAGGGTATGTACAGAACTAGACACAAACTTTCATTGAAAGGAAGATAATCGGTAGTTTTATCTTCCTTTTGTATCACCAAACCATTAAACATATATGTTACATTCTGTTCAGTGAGCAAGTCAATGTCAGAACATAGAGGCAGGAAGCAGGAGTCTGAACAATATTAGATTAAGAATCCCCGTACACGTTCCTGTCTCTCTCTCTCTCTGTTGAAGTCTCTGCCGATAGTTATAGAGGGAAGTGAATATCGAATCAGAATCCGCAAATGTAAAATGTTATAAGTAAGAAGAGCTTCAGTTCTTTCCCTCGCATAAAATGTTTCTATTCTTTTGTTGAATCACAAACTGATTGTCTTGGAGGATGTGTGTGGTGTTTACCAAGCCTTCGAAACCAGACTGGAGCCTCGTGTTCTGCTAAACACTGGGGTAATGCTCAATGCACAGCCTTAGCCTGCAATATTTCTTTAATTAACATGTTGGATAGGTCTTACTATTAGATCTATCATTAGATCTCATTAACTGCTGTGTTACTTTGCTGATCACAAATGAGAGCTGCAACTATTGCTAAATCTCCGTGTCTAGTTACAGGCTTTGAAAATCACTAATTTTTAAAGTCTGTTCAAAACTTGTCCCAAACTTATTGGAATCTTTTGTTTTTTGGATAAAAACAATTCCAATTAAATGTTTCTACTTTCCTTTAAAATGCACCAGTGACTTGGAGTACAGAGACGCAATCAATTACGGGTAAGAACTCTTCACAGAATGTGACGTAGTCCTAGACATGTTGTTGTAAGCTTACTGTACATGTGCTGCCCAGACTTCGTCCTGCATGGCCTGGAGCTTGGCATGAATTCTTTCATTCCAATTTTGTTTCGGGAAAAGGGCCTGGAAGAATTTTTCATGAAAATAAAAGACAAGTTAACTCTATAAGGAGTTATTGCACAATGAAATAGCGCCACTGCATTATTAGTTTACAGCTGTGCAATACACAAGTCCAGCTGAAGAAGGTGTCCCAAGGGTCAGAGTCACATCTGAGAGCACTGTAAATTGCATTGAGTTATAGCGTAGTCCTGTGCTGGAGGCAACTGCTAATAGAATATACGGAGTAGCTAAACCAGTAGTTATGTACAATCAGACTTGATTATCTCCGCTCTACAGTCTAGCCCACACAGTTCCTTCTCCTTTATTGTTGTATAATCTCTAACCTGTTAGCTTGGTTATGTTCTCATCACTTCCACATGTATGCGGATGACACCCAACTCTATCTTTCCTCCTCTACCCTCAACTCCACGACCACCAATGTCCTGACAGCTGCCTGTCTGACATCGTGTCCTGGACGAGAGACAACTTTCTTCAGCTCAACGTGCGTAAAACCGAGGCCCTCCTGATTGGCTCACGTCAGCGCCTCCGCACCTCAGGCGCTGACAGCATTAGCTCCGCACTCTCCACCTCTCAAAGCCGGTCAGGAACCTCTTTGTTCTGTTCGACCCTGAGCTGTCCTTTCTTCCTCATATCCGCGCCACAACTGGCACCGCCTTCCATCACCTCCGGAATATCGCCAGACTACGGCACTACCTCACCCCTCACGCTGCTGAAACATTGGTCCACGCCTTTATCACCTCAAGACTGGACTATGGGAACTCTCTCCCCGCCGGCCTTCCCGGCTCCTCCCTGCACAAGCTGCAGGTCATTCAGAACTCTGCAGCTTGTGTACTGTCCCGCACCAGACTTCGCGCCCACATCACTCCCACCCTCGCTCGCCTCCACTGGCTCCCCATCCCCCAGAGGATCGAATTCAAGATCCTCATCCTCGCCTACAAGGCCATTCACGGCCTTGCTCCCTCCTACCTCTCTGACCTACTATCCCCCTACCTACCTGCCCGTACCCTCCGTGCCTGTGGCTCCGGTCTGCTCCACATCCCCAGCCCCAACCGCCCTACCATCGGTGGCCGGGCCTTCAGCCTCTCAGCCCCGAGGCTCTCGAACTCTATCCCCCAGTGCCTTCGCCGCTTCCTCCCTTTCCTCCTTCAAGGCCGGTCTCAAGACCTTTCTCTTTGAACGTGCCTTCAGCTCCCCTCTCAACTCTCTACCCCCTCCTCGCCCCTTCCCTCACCCTAACCATTTCCCCCCTCCTCGCTCCCTCCCTTCCCTCACCCTGACTATTTCCCCCCTGTTCGGGTCCTGACCCAACTGTCCAGCGCCTTGGGACGTCCTCCCGACATGAAAGGCGCTCTATAAATGGAATCTTGTTGTTGTTGCTGTTATTATAATAATAATAATAATAATCCTTGCATTTGATATAGCGCTTTTCACGTCGGGAGGACGTCCCAAAGCGTTTCACAGAACACACTGTAAAGTGAATTGACTGTATATTTGTGGGTGAACGCAGCAGCCAATTGCGCACAGCAATGTCCCACAAACGGTAGATTGAAAATGACCAATTTATTATTTATTTATTATTATTATAAATTATTATTTATTAACAATTTATTATTGTTTTTGGTTTTGTACATGAGATCAGGCACCAATTCTGTCCAGAACTCTGTTTGTCTCACTTCTCCCCCACTATTTGCAACCCCCCTCCATAAGAATTGGTGATTGCAATCTGTATTTAGGTTTTGGTTATTACAGGACGATTCTTCCAGTCCTTGTGATTAAAATGTCATTCTGTTGCATCCCTAGAAAATTCCATGCTTTTTTCTGGATGCTTTTGCCAGATCTTGCACGTGTTTTGGCAGTTTAACAGCAACTAATCAAACTACACCCACACCTGTTTATTAAGCATGCTTTTTTAAAAAAAAATGCAGCATTTCTGTCTACATTACAAATTACCTCAAAGTGTTAGTATAGGAGTGTGGCAGTTTAGTGCTGCAATGTGTCAGCCTTGCTGAGTTGTCAGCACTCTCACCTCTGGCTTTGAAGGAAGTGGGTTCAAGCCCTATGTTGGGACTCTGAACTCATCATTTAAGACAAAACTGTCCGTCTACCAGGTCAGATGGATCTTAAAGCTCTTGCAACACTATTGATAAAGAGATACCCAACACTCCTACAGTCGTGTACACAAGTACACTTAAGTATTTTGCACATCCCAGTACAAATCATTGTCTGCATCAGAGATGGGAGAGATACAAATGGGTTGTCATATGTTTTGTATTTTGGTTAGACCTGTGACAGGAGCCGTGCCTGGTAAAGAGGAAAACAAAACACAGAGGCTTAAAGAATGTGTTTAATGCTTGCTTTTCAGACCTGACACTTATACAGCTCCCTATTATGAACAAGAAGTTGATCGTTACTGGCGTGGAGGACAATATGAAAACTTTAGAGTCCAGTGGACAGAAGCAGACTATCATTACAGGGTGAGTACTGGTGCTTGTGTAATTGTGAAGTTCTGATTTGAAATTTTATTTTCCTTACAGTCCTGGATGTGATTTCTGGACCATTTTGCTTGTACATTCAACGTCAGTACAGTTGATCCAAAATGACTACCAATGTCATAGTGGGACTCAATGTGTCTGACAAATTCAACGTCCACTTCCAACAGTGGGAAACTAGGCATGCTCTTCTTACATTTTCCAATGTCCAAATACCTGTGAATACATATCACTACACTTAACAATAATTATTGTGAAGGACTTTGAGACATTTCAATGTGACAGTTGCTATATTAGATGCAAGAGTTATTATATATCATTTATAACAGATATGTGGACTCTGGCTGGGATGTGGAACAGGAAACAGACCGAAGCTGGTTTAGAATAGCTTCCAGAGGCCAGATTCAGAGCAGCATTGGGAGGCCAGCATTGGCAACACAACAGCCTTACAAAGAATAGACTTCTGTTTTCTTTCTCTCCATCAGGAAAGAGAGAGGGAAAGGGAACGAGAAAGAGAAAGAGACAGACACAGAGAGCAACGTGAGAGAGAACGCGAGAGAGAACGAGGAAACCGGATACGTGAGAGAGAAAGGGATCGAGAACGTGAACGTGACAAAGAACGCCAGAGGAGAAAAGAAGAATGGGAACGTGAGCGTGCAAAACGGGAAGAGAAGGATCGAGCCCATCGAGAACGAGAGAAGGAGAAACCAAAGCAGAGATCCCCACCTCCTGCAACAAGGTACACTTCAGCTCCAGTGGGCTCTTCTCACAACATTAGCATCGGTATAGGTGTGTACACATTCAAGACTTTATTTGTAACGAGTGACTAGAAAAACTGGGTCTGTTTTAATTAGAACAGAGAAGGTTGAGAGGAGACCTGATATAGGTGATGAAAATCAAGATGGGTTTTGATAAGGTAAATAGAGAATAAGATAATTTTTTGAAAAGAATGTAAAAAAAGAAAAGGGTATAGAAAAGAGCAGGGGAGTTGGACCAAACAGATTGCTCTTGTAATCCTCCTCAAAAGATGACGAGGAAAGGACTAGGACAAATCCTAGGACAGGATTTGTTCTAACCTATTGAATGGATTAAAATATTCTTTTAAAATTATTTGTCTGCAGATTTTGGCTATGAATACTTTGAGAGTTCCTCTAATGTTATAATTGGTGTATAAACTGTCTGCTGTGTTAGTACTGAACTAGTTGACAGGATTAGTTGAGGTACTGATGAGCCATGATCTAATTGAATTTACAAATGTAATCTTGTTGTTGTTGAATGGCGGAACAGGCTTGAAGGCTGAATAGCCTATTCCTGTTCCTATTTTCTGAGAATGGGAATGTATCAAGCTTGATGCGCTGCTCTATATGACAGATACAGGTTGCATTTATATAGGTTAATATCTCAGAGGGCTTCACAAAGACTTGGTCAGACCTCGAGAAAAGGAAAATTGAAAGGTGAGTGTAAGGGCAGTCAAAGTGGTAGGTTTACAGGTGGGATTTAAAGACTGATGAGGGTGAGATGGAGGGTAGATGTCTGGGGTTAGAGGTGTAGTTGCTGAAGTTTTGGCCAGTAATGGTAGCACAGAGAGTACTCCCGTAGGACTGTAGCTGAGTGGAGAGGGTGAGAAGAGGAATGGGGTAGGAGAAGGAAGGTGCTGGGGTGTGAAGGGATTTGTAAAATGCAAACATTTTATTTTCAAGGCAAGTGTCTTTCATAAGATTAAGATGACAAACTAAGTGAAGTATTGTAGGTGGTACCTGAGCAACATCTTCTACCGTACAAGTGTTAGTGCTCAGTTAGTAGCACAATCACCTCTGAATTAGAAAGTCCTGGGTTCAAGTCCATCAGCAATGCTTGAGCTCGTAATTTAGAATATCAGATCAAGGATGCTGCATAAAATTGGAGCTGTTGTCCTTTGGATGAGATGCTACACTAAGTTTTCTCTGCCAGTTTTGGTGGTTCAAGTGGGCATTAGGTTTCTATGGCATTATCGAAAAAGCATTAAATGCAAATAATAATTTGTCTCCCCCCCCCCCCCCACCTCTGCTGCCCGCCGCATCTCCCCCCCCACCTCTGCTGCCCGCCGCGTCTCTCCCCCCCCCGCCCCACCTTGCTCAGCTGCCCTATTTAGCATTTTTCCAGGCACAAAGCCCCAGGCAAAATGGCTTCAGTAGCCCTTGATCTATTTCCTGTTCTGCACTTTGTATAGCTTTGCCATTGAACACACACTTCCTCTATTCCCACACTAATTATTTTACACCTGGCATTGAACTGTAATGCCACCTATCAGCTCACCTAACAAAAGATTCAGAACTTTGGAATTGAATTGCATTCGCCCTCATTTATGGCTGTTATTACTGTTTATCAGACGATTACGTTCCCATTGTGGGTAAAAATCTTTGTAAAACTGTCTGTGGTGTTGCTATTATGGAGTTTTTGTCTTCTTGTGGTGTGATGTAATTGACCTGATTTCTATTCCTGTCTCTGCTTCTGCAGCCAAATTGTGTCCGGATTGTTTCAGGTGTATGCCAAATCTGCTTTTATTATTAGCAGCACACAATGCACATCAGGAAACACCTTATACTATCAGAGCGTTACCTTTGTAACATGAGGACAAGCAGGAACCAACATGAAATTTGGAAATTAACTTTTAGGGGTATTAGAGAGAGAGAGAGAGAGTGTGTGTGTGTGTGCTGAAGTGGTTATGAAATCTCACATTTTCCTCTGCCCTTTATTTGAACAGCCATTACTTAAGTGACTGCGCAACACTCAGACTATTGAATTTCTATTCAATAAAGTCAAATTGGGCTACAGTGTTGTTGTATCACATTATTGGCCTCCTGTTGTATACTGATTATAAATTGTATAAATTGGAACACAGGTAGCCACTTGGAGGAAGTGCTCATATGTTAACATTAAGCACAGCAACTGTCAGTCAGTTGCAGCTGTCCTCCCATTCATTAGTTGTCGGCCTGGCTCTGTTGGCAGCACTCTTACCTTTCATAGTTGTAGGTCAGAAGGTTGTAGATGCATGCCCCCTTTCGTGATTTGAACTCATATTCTGGACCAAGGTGGTCCAGCTGGCGGCTCATGGGGCCGCATCTGGCAAGTGGGCCAATTTCACCCGCCCCCTCCCTCCATTTCATCAGGCCTGCCCGCTCCATCCAAAACCCATAAATGTTTTGTTTCTGGGAAACAACAACAACAAGATTGCATTTATAGAGCGCCTTTCACGTCGGGAGGACGTCCCAAGGCGCTGGACAGTTGGGTCGGGACCCGAGCAGGGGGAACTGGTCAGGGTGAGGGGAGGGAAGGGGGGGAGCGAGGAGAGGGTAGAGAGTCGAGAGGGGAGGTGAAGGCACGGTTGAAGAGAAACACAAAAATATTGCTGCTGCGGCCCGCGGACGTTTCTCGAATAAGTTATCTGGCCCTCAATAGCCAAAGGATTGGATCCCCCCCCCACCCTGATCCAGACCGATGCTTCAATATGCTGCTTCAGTGCATTGCTAGAGAGTTGTCATCCTTTGGATGAGCCATTAAATTGAGATTCTGCTGCCTCTTTTTAAGATCCTGTGGTATCTCTTGAAAAGAGAAGGGAGTTTCTCCCCATGTCCTAACCAACAGTCTCCCAAAAAAATTGGTCTCTCGCTTTGTGGTTGTTTCTGGGACATTACAGTGTGCAAATCGGCTGCTGTGTTCGCCTATAAAATATAATCACTGCATTTTACAGTAAATCTTGTAAAGCGCTTTCAGATGTCCTCCTGACATGAAAGGGTCGATATCAAATTCAAGGATTATTATTATTGTCACTCTTCCAGTTGAGTTGTCTTTTACACATGCCTCTGTTTTAGCTTTAATCCTTAATTTGTGGCTCATACAAGACTCATTGCAGTCTTTGCTCTGTTTGATGAAGTCCACCATTTCCGTCGGTCGGTCGGTCAGCAAAACCACCTTATTACACTGTGCTTTCCAACACTACAAAGCCTCTGCTTTTTGTCTCTCTTAGGCTTTATCTGTCAGTAATGGTGATAGAACGTGTGCCATGTCCGTGATCTCTGTGAAAGAGAATGTTTGTTTGCTCATCCAGGTGTCTTGACACGTGCAGAAATCCATCACCATACTTAAGAGTATCCAAACCAGACTGACAGTTCCATGCATGCCATGTACACGTGGAAATTCCCATGTCAAGAATGGAAAGTGTGCTCTCTCCTTGGAGGGTCACACCTTGCTTACCTAATTCCCGTGAGCAATAGACAGTTTGTCAAGAGCCAGGACTTGGAGACCCCAGAGTACGCACTGGAGTATTGCTGAAGTTTAACCAGCTAAACCTACATAGCTTGTATCCCTGCCCACGGGGAGAAGAGAAATTGATTAAGATCAAGAATGAATATCTTTCACAGATTCCTCTCAGTTTTTAAATGTGTGTAAATGTAAATTATAAATCTGGTTTTGTTGCTTAATGTGTGAAAATTGCCTATTATAGTACTTGTATAATAGCAATGTTTATGTTTGGATGAAGCCAATAGTGAAACTAATATGGTGACGATCCCACAGAACTATAAATAGAGCAGCTATTTTTAACTCTGATGTAATTATAGAGAAAAGCTACAAATAAAGCGGAAAGAAAGCCGGCTTTGTTTCCTTTGGTATGCGATCAGCTGTTTAGATTAGGGCAGTGGAGAGTTACAGCATGAAAGCTGAGAAGCTGGTCTATCCAAGTTCTGGGGTGTAAATCACACCATTAAACCTTACCTCAGAACTGCATAATACATGAATCTCAGAATACAGTTGTTAACTGAAATAAGTCACTTAGTTCAGGTCAGCAGGGACACAATATGCCAAATAGTTGCCTTCATGTGCTGTCAATCTCTTATCTCACTGGCAGCTTTACTTATTGGGCCAGACCAGACACTTGCAGTACATTACCACAGTAAGCTGACACACTCATGCCCTTTCCAAGTTTGCCCTTTTGTCCCCTTTGGTTGACCTGTCTGATAAAATGTAATTGTTCAGAAAATGTACACCTGATCGAACAGCGCATACATGTGGTATCGTTAAGAATAACTTGATGCGCACTAGAAAACTCTAGGAAATAGTCAGTATGTAAATGGTTAGACAGCATATATTAATGAATTGGAGTGATTGTGGAACATAAATCACAATTGTTTTTGTGTGTGATTGTGCAGGGAGAGGATTGAATGACTGAGTGTGGTTGGAGCAGAGGTTCCTGGGTTATTGTCTTTATAAATGTTCTCGATCCTCACACTTCTGCCAGGCTTGTCCCATGATGTCATCCAATGATTTTGAAACAACAGCAAGAAAAATTACATTTGTATAGTGCCTTTCACGTCGGGAGGACGTCCCAAGACGCTGGACAGACAGAGTTACGGACCCTAGCTGAGGGGCAGGATGGGGAGTGGGGAGAGCAGGGGGGGAAGCAGGGGGATTGAAAGCACAGTCAAAGAGGAGGGTCTTGAGGTGGGTCTTGAAGGTGGCGAGGGAGGGTTGAGACAGAGGGACTGCAGGATGGAGTTCCAGAGGGTGGGTGCAGAGTTGTGGAAGGCCCGCCCACTGATAGTAGGGCGAGCAAGGCGGGGTATGTGAAGCAGACCCGAGCCTGCTGAGCGGAGAGAGCGAACAGAGTGATAGGGGGTTAGGAGGTTGGAGAGGTAGGGGGAAGCAAGACCGTAGGGGGCTTTGGAAGTGAGGACCAGGATCTTGAACTGTATCCTCTGTGTGATGGGAAGCCAGTGGATTCAGGTGAGGATGGGGGTGATAGGGTCACGGAGCCTGGTGCGGGAGAGGACACGGGCTGCAGAGTTCTGGATGATCTGCCGCCTGTGGAGGGAGGAGTTGGGGAGGCCAACAAGCAATGAGTTTGCATAGTCAAGCCTCGATGTAATGAAGGCGTGTATGAGAGTTTCAGCGGCCTTCGGTATCGGAGCCTGGCGACGTTGCGGAGGTGAGGGAAAGAGAAGTAAAGGGTGTCGGTAACTTGTGTACAAGTTTTTTTGATCTGTGATGGCGACACTTGCTGAACCTATAGCTTTGGTTCATCTCTTCCTAGTGTAGAGGATGAGCCAGTTCCAACCATTTGTACATCACTTGAAATGAAGTGGTTAGATTTTAGCTAATGTGAGCCATAGTCAATATTTTTATAGCTTTAAGTTTTTCTATCATGTTAAACTGCCTTTCTGATTAAATTGGCATTTAATGTCTTTCAACTTTATTGCTCTGCATGCAGTAATAGTAATAATCCTTACATTAATATAGCACATTTCATGTCAGTATGGTGTCTCAGAGAGCTTTGTGGGATTTACTATAAAGTGTAGCAACTGTGTATTTTGTAGGTGAACTGGAATTTTGAGCAATGTGGGGCACAGAGTACGGTGGGAGAATATAATTCCTCAAGATACAGAATAGCAACAATTTCAAAGGATTATGCAGGTTCAACAACAACAAATTGCATTTATATAGCCACTTCCTTTCACATCAGGAGGATGTCGCAATGTGCTAGATAGTCAAAAGGTTTGCACCCGACATGGGGGTTAGGTTCACTTCTCAGCCTTTTGGCTAAGATCAAGTGTAGTAAATTTGTGTGTAGCAGTTGGGGCTAAGTGAGATAGGAAGATGACCGAAGGTACAGTCAAAGAGGTAGGTCTTGAGACAGACCTTGAAAGAGGCAAGGGAAGGGGCAAGGCAAAGGGACTTTGGGATGGAGTTCCAGAGAGTAGGGACAGAAAGGCTGAATGCCCGGCCGCCGATGTAGAAGTGAGGACGTAAAGCAAGCCAGTGCCTGCCAAGCGGAGAGAGCAGGCAAGTTGCAAAGGCGTTTAAGAAGGTTGCAGAGAGAGGGTGGGGCAAGACCGCAGAGGGCTTTAAAAGTGAGGACGATGAAGAATCCAATCCCCTGAGCAATCTAGTTGCTGAGAATTGAATAAAGTTTAGATTATAGAATGACCCAGCCTGAGGTTGGTTTTGCACACTGGGTTGGTTTAGGGTGTAACCTGCCTGTTATGAAGTTAGATGGCACACTGGTTTGGTATATGGTGTAACTTGCCTGTTATTAGGTTGGATGGCACACTGGGATGGTATAGAGTGTAACCTGCCTGTTATTAGGTTGGATGGAACATTGGGTTGGTATATGGTGTAACTTGACTGTTATTAGATTGGATGGCAGACTGGGATGGTGTAGAGTGTAACCTGCCAGTCAGATGCTCTTTGTTTTCTTTATGTTTGTTTATTTGAAGCATGGTAATTTATTACTTAATGAGTTCACTGCAAAAGGGACCTGCGTCACAGCTCAATATTTGTGAATGGGAAATAGAGGAACAAAACAAAGTCAATGACACATTTTGTGCACGGCATTTGAGACCAGAAAAGGAACTTGGAAATGAGGCTTGAAATGAAGTAATTTCTTATCCCTTTGTTATACAGGGCGGGGAGTTTCATCAAAGGAAAAAAAATGTCAGGTTTCTCTTCCAGTCTTCTTTCCACCCGCCTGGGAAAAATGTATCATTTTGACATTGGCTTTTCAGGAATCATCAAAGTCAAATGCACAAGGCTTCAGTTGTTATTTGTAGAGCCAACAGCCACCAGCGGGACTGTCTTCACATTGCTGTTCTCCACACAGTTTCCCAGAGACCAGGTGCGAGTTTCAATAGATGTACAGTTGGTCCATGGTTGTCGCTGATCCTCTTGAAGCCTTCACAAAAGTGAAGTCTATGGCACCACAATATAGGCTGGGATATAAAGGAGATGGGATGCACGTACCCTGTCTCCTATTAAAAAGATAAACTTTAGGCTTTTTCATGCTCACCCCGCTCGATACTCCGTTTGTGATGGCATCAGGGCAAGTAAGAAGTCAGATCATTACTGAGTGGCTCGCAGTTGTGATGTGGGAAGAGTAAATGAGAGGAATTTTAGTGCCTATTTGTCGTGATGACTACAGCCATCAACTGATGAAAGCCTTTGTCCTGTAGTCAAGAACACTGTTACTATGCAGTGTATCTTGTGAAGTGTTTTAGGACAATTTCATATCTTCAAATACTACAAATATGAGCAGCTGATACACAATGAGAGAAAAGGAACCAAGTAGATGCTCACTCTGATTTTAATCCAAGGTGGTGTACCAAAGGCAAGGAGTATTATTATTATTTATTTGCATCAGTGAAAGAATAGTTGTGTAGTGACACCTCGGGTGCAGGGGTCATGTTTAGCAGCAAGTAACTACATCATGGATTGGACTTTTTACATACTCAAAACAACCTGTAAAATACACTTTAGGAATTCCAAACCAACAACTGCTTTCACAATGGCTAAACAAGCGTACTTTTTATCAATGCATTACACACCCGGTGATGCAAGGTATAAAGAGAAATAATGGCACTTCCTGGTATCACTGAAGAAAATATGTTGCATCATTGTGTGTGTGGTCAGATATTCTAACACTGGGGAAGTATGTTTATGCCTCACTGCTAATGAAGTAAAGTCTTTATCTTTTATTTTTTAAGGCTCTTAGCTATAAGGCAATGCTTCGAACTGCTCAGTGCGCTGTGTGGAGTCCTGTAGCTCAGTGGTTAGAGCACTCTCACCTCGCAAGTGAGAAATCTGCGTTTGATTCCCAACAAGGTGAAACACTGGGCAAGTTTTCTTACTCCACACGCCTCTGTTTACCTAGCAGTAAGTAGGAGCCTGGTTGTTAGTCGATTGGTGGATCGCTTTTCCAGGGGTAATGGTTGCTTCAAATTTTTTTTAAAAATACTAATAAATAAATAAATGGTCACTCAATCCACGACTGTTTGTGCAACACTGCTGTGAGCAATTGACTACCGGATTTCTCCCACAAAATATGCAGTTAATTCACTTTACAGTATATTCCGTGAAGTGCTTTGAGACGTCTCGAAGACGTGATAAGGCACTATATAAAATGCAAGGATTATTACTATTATAAACTGCTCACTGCTCTACTATAAAGAACTTTATTTTGATCTATCCCAAGGCTTGTTTGCCTGTTTTCTTGAGTACTCTGGATTAAACTCAGAGTGAGTATTTAATTGGTTCCATTTCTCCCATTGGGTATCAATGGCTCAGATTCGTAGGATTTGAAGAAGATACAAAGTCTGTTTTTCCCAGAATGTAAATAACTACCTCAGCCAGAATGACTTGTTCCCAAGCCACTTTTCTGAGGTAGTCACCTCTGATTCTTCTTTACTGTTAGCGTTTGCTTGAAAACTGAACTTGAATGTAACTATTTTGTTGGTGGACAAATCTCCTTGTAAAGCCATTGCATCAATACAAAATAAAATACAACATTTGTATAGCTCCTTTCACATCGGGAGGATGTCCCAAGGCGCTGGAATCAACTAATTGACTGCACATATATAATCCTTTTAGACTCCGGATTGTGTTTCTCTGTCTTCTGCATGAAAATGAAGACGAGGACCTCAGAAGGTCCCAAAAGCATGCTTTGATAGGTACAAGGTTTATGCGGGGGGTTCCCTTCAAATATGTTTTGTACATATGGAATTAGTCACAAGAGGTTTGGGGGTTTATTTTCATGCCATAGGTTACCACATGTAGAATACTATGGAAAACTTATCCCATTTCAGCAACATTCTTGTTAGCCAGTGATCGGTCGGTCGGTCTTTCTTGTTTGTGCTCCTGAGCTGTGTGTTGAAACACTGGTAAACCATAATCAGTTTGTTTGCTGGGAGACTTGTGATCGGACTGTTCATACCTGGGCTTACTGATTGTTCAGTGCCTTAGAACGTCCTGATGTGAAAGGCACTATACAAATGTAAGGTGGTTGTTGTTGTTTATTTAATTGGCTTTCTGTATTCTATATAATTCAGCACAGCATACCATGAGAGCGCGTGGAAGTGCATGTGGTCAATGGGAGAGGCATTTGTGTTTGGTGTGTAAGAATTCCATGACAAAAGTGTATAATTAATAATTCTTTGATATAGGCGGGGGCTTGTTTGCTCCATGTCCCCACCCTGCCCACTCCAGCATCAGCAGTCGGACCTTCAGCCTTTCTCCTCCACGCTCTGGAGCTCCATCCCAGAGCCCCTCCAGCTTGCCGCTCCCTTGCCTCCTTCAAGGCCCTTTCTCTTTAATGTTCCTTTGGACATGCTCCCACCCCTTTGCCCTTCACCCCTCTTGATTCCAACCCCCAGCTCGGATGAAAATCCTTCACTGTCCAGTGACATTGGATGTCCTCCCGACATGAAAGGCATCATATAAATGCAATTTGTTGTTGTTGCCTTGTTGAAATGCTTCAGAGTCTCAAAGCGCTTCAAGAGATTTTCTGTAAAGTGAAATTACTATTTGTAAATGAACGCAGCAGCCAATTTACCCACAGTGATGTCCTACAAATATCCATGAAATAAATAACTGCGTGAATAGCAATAGTCTGGTGGAGACTTGTTCAAATCAAAATAGTTTGGATTGAACAGGTTTGAAAACTGGAAAACGTTATTTGGACAAACTGGTATTGCTTAAAACTGGATCAGTCAGCATTGTTCTTTCTCACTCGTAGTGCCAGCGTTCCAGTGTCAGTGCAGTGGGGAGGGGAGAAGACTTTGCTGATGGCTTCAAGCCGGACTGTTGTGCCATCACAGTTGAAGGGGAAAGCAGGAAGGTAAGAATGTTAAATTGAACCAGTACAATTGGTGTGATGAGAGCTGGCATTGCAGAGACCAGGGCACTGGCAAGAGTAATGCATGCCACACAAATGGCCTCTTTCTGTGCTGCAAAATATTGTGATTCTATGAGTGACATTATTCTTGTCAATAAAGGTTCTTTTGGATTTCTTGTTTTTCTGATAGATTTTCATCTTGATGTTGGCCCCCACTTACATACGATGTCCTGAAGCTCTGCGCTGTCAGGCTTCTTGTGTGCAATCCAACTAACATTACACTGAGAGCCCCAAATTCCATAAAACCTTCCCCTTACTTACTCATAAACTGCTGTAATCAGCCCAACCACTGAACAGCCAGTGCATGCAGTGTTCTTCCAGTTACCATTGCATATTTTCACAGCAGACATGTCCTCACACTGTAATAGCACTGTTAGAAACTAAAATCAGCCATAATCCGTTTGCAACCAGATATCAGACTGTTTTATTATTATTCGTTCATTATTCCCAATATCCCAATGGGTCAGACCAAAGGCCGGTACAATCAACAGATCTTATAACAGAATGACACCACTATAGATATCTCGAGTTCAACACTGTGTCTTTACAGCACACAAGCTTGATTCTTCATGCTTTCAGTCTTCTTGCTTACAGCTTTCAATCTTCCATCTGATATCCTCAGTCTTAGTGTTTCTAACTCTCAGTCTTCCATCTCCCGTATCCTTGTCTCCGCAGCCCGGGACGGCCCCATCTCCCGTATCCTTGTCTCCGGGACGGCCCTGCTCACAAAGTTAACGGAACTCTTATACCGATGTTCGTCCAATCATGGTGTGGACATTAGATCACCTGGTCGAAATCATGCCGGGTTCACGTGAACACCTCATGGGGTGTACGTGCCTCAGCACACATACACATTGTCCTTAAGACCCCTGTTATCTGATGCTTGTTATTTTGTTAGGTGGGATCATTAGTACATTCCTTTTAAGTGACTGGTTATTTCTTATCAGTATCCCGGGATGGTACCAAGGTCCTCTAGTTTAAGCAACTCACTCGTTAGCTGCTATTCTTGAGGGTTGCCTTTTGTTGCTCTTGAGTGTTAATCATGAGTGTCAGTCCAGTTGCCCCCCACACTTAACTTAAAAGTTAACCTGTTCGCAACATCTATTATGATTCTAGCAGTATACAAAAAGTGTATATTCTAACAGCACTACATCATGGATGTGTTCTCACCTTTGCTGCCAATATGGTTATATAGACTCATACCTTTCAGGATTGCGTCTTTGAGCAAGTTCTGTAAAAGAACCAACGTATTAACTGCTTCAACAACTTGGAATCATTGGCTCTGTGTCAGGTAGACTGTTGCTTGGAGTCCTTTCTAATCAGTCAAAGTGCAGAGTATTTCAATTCCTGTGTGCACAAAACAGGCATATGTCTGAATGATAAAATCAACAGCATTTATAATTGCATTGTTTGAACTTAAAACTTCGGCACAATCAAGAAATAGATGGCATGAGTCATTGATCAGAAAGATTTTGATCCTTGGCTTGTGCTTGAAGTCATTGCCCCCATCTGACTTATGGAGTCATTTAAGCTCATATAAGCTCATGATATCTTCATGTTTTCTTTGAAATTATTCAGCAATTACTGGATCAGAAATCCCAATATATAAAGTTCTGCAATGTCAGGCTCAACTCTTACCTTCTCTTGTCAAGAATACATTAGTTGCTAGGGCATGTACATCCCTGGGAATTTCTCAAATGACAACTCCACATAAGATGGACTGTCCCAAGACAGTATTTCTATACCTTTGGTTGGATTGTTCATCGGATGCTCTCCTTCAGAAATACTCAGATGTTTGATTTACCTCAACTTTTTTGTTTCTTGAGTTTCCTGTAGAGTGAAGTGATAGTCTCAGTGATAGTCTCAGCAAGCGGCATCTCTCTGGCTCGGACCATTCCCAAGATTCTTTTGGTTCCCTAAACCTGCTGTAAATCTAGTTTTTTAAGAGTTTGTCTTTCCATTGACATGCAGTGCTACTACTTGGGAATCCTGCCAAATGAAGTCTCTCATCTTTTGTATCCCCGTCAATTACAATCTGAATATTCTAGAATAATCACCTGGCGTTTCAGGTTTCCTAAATTACTCTAGACAAGGAGCATCTAATTACAACCACTGTAGTGATTCTGGCCGGCCTACTGGCTCCGGCCTCTTCCTTGTCCCTCAAATCCTCCACTCCACCATCGTCGGCTGTGCCTTCAGCCACTGAGCCCCGAAGCTATGGAACTCCCTCCCTTAATCCCTTCACTTTGCCCCTTCTTTCCCCTTTTCAGGTCACACCTGAAGACCTTCCTCTTCGACCGCACCTACTATCACCTTCCTCCTCCCCCGGCTCGGCATCGGGGTCCACCATTGTTAAGCTCTGGGACGCCCCCCTGTGTGGAGGGTTCTATATAAATGCAAGTTGTTGTTGTCAGGGGAAGCAGTGGACGTGTTATTAAATTCTCCCGGGAAGGGAGCTATGGGGTTTCCTGTGCATGGAATAAAATATTTTAAATTGAAATGAAACCCAAGTTTATAGTGTGCACATTTCTCTCTATTTATGTGGGGTTAATCTGTTATAAAAATAAATGCAGATCCCTTCATTGGTTCCAATGGAATGCCCAGGATTATTAAATGATCAATTGGACAGGTTTTAGGCCAAAATCACTTTTATTTTCCTATAATTCCTATGACAAATGAGATAGAAAGTTAATGAATCGTCAGGAGATGGCTCTCTTGTTCACTTGTTGCGTAAGGAAGTACTGTTGGGGAAATTTGAAGATTATAATTTTGAGAGTAGGTAAGATAGGTGAAAGGGTTGCAATGTCATGACGTCTGCTATTTAATATAACCTGCAACAAAAATCCCCTAACCTTGTATTGCCGAATGGCATAGAAATGTGTGCTGGTTCAGTACTTTTCCTTGTCTTGCCTCGCCTTGCCTCGAAGCATTTGTATGCCTCTCATATTGATGCACAGACATTTGATGTTGAATTCTTATAGCCAATAAAATATGTCTTGCCAAGTTAAATTGTTAGTCAACTTTCACATTATGATTTTGTTCTTGTTTGGATGATTTTTATTTTTTTAGAAAAAGTTTTGTAATGGAAGCCAGTGGTCCCTTTGCCGATAAAACTTCCCTTTTAGATTGAAAAATATGTGTGGAGAAGTGAGGATATGCTTCAATATCATGCCAGTCATGGAACGTTTTCAACTACAGCCTGCAATTTGTTGCAGCTGTGTGTGCACTGCACAATGGTAACAGTCCTAATAAAGACTAGGTATAGGGATTGATAGAGCTTCAAATGCACTTGTACCACAATCCAGCTGTTTGTGCTGTTGGGTTGGTCATGGGAACAGTAACATGAGGAAATGTGGAGAGTTCCACAGCTGGGAGTGGCTCGATGCCCTGTTGTCTTTTCTGTCACTTGTGGGTACTGCTCTCTTCTCTGCTGGTCTTTGGGACTTTGCATTGATATTCATTCATTGCAGAGTAAGGGCAGCAGCTGACCAATGTTATGTGACTCATTTGGTTCCTGGATTTCTTGATGGATATGTTGCCCAAAGCATTTTTTGATGCCTCAGATCCTTAGAAACAATTCACCTCCTTTCTACCTCTTCCACACTACACGCAATCCATCATTAAATGTCAGTCCATCCGCATTTGGATCATTTCTGTAGTTGCTACACTTGACAGCAATTATATGTGACCTTCTTCGAGGCATTTTGATATTATGATGTGCTATAGAATACAACTTGCTTTTTTATGAATCATTGAGTGTAAAATGCAGAGTAAGAGTGCATTAAGCTCACCCCTTTCTCTGTATCTCTCAGCCATGCAATTTAACTAACTCTCCCCAGGGACCATTTTATTCTTCTTGACACGTACTGGATAAATTACTGTCCCATCAGATTAGCCATTTGGCCATTTCATCTTCTGTCAATTTACAGATACATGCTCTTTATTCAAACTAGTTCATTGACATTACACCTTTGTTCAGTCACCTGTACAGATACTGTCTGGAAAATTGGCTCCAGTAGATCTTTATACAAATTTCACTCATAAAATAAAAAACTGTTTCTTATTGAAGTGAAAGTGGGTGTGGGAGGAAGTTTTTTTTTTTTTGCTCCTCCGCCTCTTACGACTCCCTTCTCATTGAATGTGTGATCTTGGATTTGTAAAGAGTCTATATGTACAAGTCTGGCACAAGGTCCAGTTAGTTCCTTTTCTTTCTTATGAACGTTTCTTTGTGAAATGAACGTCTAAAAAGCACAAAATGTTTTTGTGTTTGTATTTCACTGTAGGCATGCACACGTTTGAGAATCCTCAGGGTTTCCAGTTTGCAGCACACAAGACCTTAGTGGTTTTAAGGAAGATGAATTTAATAATGTTAGCCACACGGCTTATCAGTACAAAGCATTGGAATATTTCATAGCACTTGTCGAGCTAGGACCGCCAGTGGATAAGGCTTGGCTTATAGAGTTTATGAGTCACAGACTGGTCAAGCCTAACGACTGGAATTATTGCAGAGCTGCTCTGCTTTGGCACGTCTGCTTAGAGCCATTAATTTCAGGGAGACCCTACTTACTGCTCAACAATACTCGATCAATTGATGATATTTCAACAAGGAATTAGACAAAATAATTGTCCTTGAGGATCTGGAGCTCTGGTGCTAACTGATCTCACTTTTAGCCGGCAAGTAGAGCCCCCCAAGAAAGAGGCAGCACCCGGTGGTGTGAAGCGGGCAGATGAGTGGAAAGACCCCTGGCGCCGATCCAAATCACCGAAAAAGAGACCTGTCTCAACCACATCGCCAAGCCGCGGGCGCCGGCGGAGGCGAGCATCGGGGTCATCTGTTTCAGGGTCTGTCTCGTCGAGGTATGTGGAGTCGTGGCTAACCTTCAGGGTGTCGTTAAGAGATTTGATCTTCAGCCAAACTTTCTCCAATGTTGTAATGTCTGTCACATGTGGAAGCATGTTTGACCTGGCTAGCTTCTCCTTTTATTCCTTCCCAAACTTTCTTTGAGGTCTTGTTTCCATTTTAATGTATAGCCACTGTCTCCTCTACAATCAGTTCCATTCTATTGCAAACCCCTGAGCATGTATTGTGAATAGCTAGTTGTTTTACAATGAGAAAAAAACAACCAATTCTTGTTGGGTGGTTGCATGCGTACTGTGTAGTGTGTATACTATCATTTTGCATTCGGTTTTGCTGCGTGTGTGTGTGTGAATACTGCAGTGGTGTGTGTGTGAACAATGCAGTGTTGTGCTTGTGTGTGTATGAACGCTGCAGTGTTGTGTGTATGCGTGTGTGAATACTACAGTGTTGTGTGCATATGTGTACTTCAGTTTTGTGTGTGTGTGTGCATATGTGTTGGGTGTGTGCATATGTGCACTGCAGTGTTGTGTGTGTGTGCATATGTGTACTGCAGTGTTGTGTGTGTGTGTGCATATGTGTACTGCAGTGTTGTGTGTGTGTGTGCATATGTGTACTGCAGTGTTGTGTGTGTGTGTGTGTGCATATGTGTACTGCAGTGTTGTGTGTGTGTGTGCATATGTGTACTGCAGTGTTGTGTGTGTGCATATGTGTACTGCAGTGGTGTGTGTGTGGGTGTACTGCAGTGGTGTGTGTGTGTGTGTGGGTGTACTGCAGTGGTGTGTGGGTGTGGGTGTACTGCAGTGGTGTGCGCGCGTGTGTACCGCAGTGGTGTGTGTACCGCAGTGGTGTGTGTGTGCGTGTGTACCGCAGTGGTGGGTGTCTGTGTGTACTGCAGTGGTGGGTGTCTGTATATGTGTACTGCAGTGGTGTGTGTCTGTATATGTGTACTGCAGTGGTGTGTGTCTGTATATGTGTACTGCAGTGGTGTGTGTGTACTGCCGTGGTGTGTGTGTACTGCCGTGGTGTGTGTGTACTTCCGTGGTGTGTGTGTACTGCCGTGGTGTGTGTGTGTGTACTGCCGTGGCGTGTGTGTGTACTGCCGTGGCGTGTGTGTGTGTACTGCCGTGGCGCGTGTGTGTGTATGAGTACTGCCGTGGCGCGTGTGAGTACTGCGGTGGTGCGCGTGTATGTGAGTACAGGGCGAAACCTTGGGCAAGTTTCCTTACTCCACACGCCTAATAATAATTTCCAAAACAATAATAAATTAGTCATTTTCACTCTACGACTGTTTGTGGGACATTGCTGTGTGCAATTGGCTGCCGCGTTCGCCCACAAATATACAGTCAATTCACTTTACAGTATATTCTGTGAAGCGCTTTGGGACGTCCTCCCGACGTGAAAAGCGCTATATCAAATGCAAGGATTATTATTATTATTACTGCCGTGGCGCGTGTGTGTGAGTACTGCAGTGTTGCATGTGTGTACTGCTATATTGGAATGGGTGGATATGTAGTGCCATTGTTGGGTCTGGTGTGCGCATGCCGCCATTCTGTGTGTGTGCGCTGCTGTGATGGACTTAAACTGAGGTCCCATCTGTTTCTGTTGAAGTGGATGTTAAAGATCCCTCAACGCTGTTGGAAAAGAGTGTTCGGGCCAATAATCATCCAAGTTGGTGGTTTACTTCATGTCTGTTTGTGGGACATTGTGTGTACATACTGGCTGCTGTGTTTGCCTATAAATACACATCACTATACAATAAATTCTGTGAAGTTCTTTGAGAGATCTTGATAACATGATAAGGCTTTATATCACATACAAAGTTTATTATTTAAATGTTTTAATATTGGGTGAATGTAGGAATTAGGGTTGAGGATGCCAGGGCCACGTCCAACTTGGGAAGAGAAGAGGGAGTGTGAGAAAGCATATTGTACATAACTGAGTAAATGCCTAGAAATATCTACTCGCTCCTGAGAGTGCTACTGACTGAGCCGAGATGACCTTTTGTGCAGCCTTGCTGTATGCAAAATGGCTGCCACTTTTGCCCACTATTATAGTCATTACATTTGCCTGCAATTACCTTTGAGAATTTTGTAACTGCTAGGTGCTATTTTGAAGGCGAGGAGTTTTGCACTATAGTGTTCTGTGTTACAATTATAAAGCGAAAGCTACATTTGCCCATGTTAATGTTTTTCAGGTCTTCATCTCGTTCTTCTTCCTACTCAGCATCTGGCTCCTCCAGGTCACGGTCGAGGTCCCACTCAAGATCTTCTTCTTATAGCTCCTACTCCAGCCATTCCTCCAGACACAGCTCCTATTCAGGCAGCAGATCAAGGTAGGACCCGAAGTTGCAGCCCCATGAGAGTACACAACACCTAGGGTATGACCTTCAGTTTGGACAGTTCTCTCCGTCCCACCTACCCTCCGTATTTTTATCCCTGCATATCTTTCTGTCGCCAATAAACCAAGTTGGTACATCCAGGAGTCCTCCGCTGGCTTCTGGATGCCCAGAATAATGTGCCTCTGAATTTCTCTTCCAACCAACTGCATAGTTCTTGTGACAAGCTTGATATGAGGCACAATATATGAGAACTGTGACTCTAAGGCACGTGTAGTAAATCAGAGTATGCGAGCTTGTCTTTTTCTCCACGTGCTGAGTTTCAGGTCTCTACTCAAACCATCTAGAGAGGAAGTGAGTGAGATGAGGTGGGGGAGGGAAATGGTTGCAGTGCCACTGCTTCATGTCCCCCACCTCGCTCGCCCCACTATTGGCAGGCGGGCCTTCTGCCACTCTGCCCCCACCCACTGGAACTCCATCCTGCAGTCCCGCCACCTCGCCCCCTCCCTTGCCACATTCAAGACCCATCTCAAGACCCTCCTCTTCGACCATGCTTTCGATCTCCCTGCTTTCCCGCCCTCTGCCCTCCCCGACCCCCAGCTCGGTCCGAAACTGTCTGTCCAGAGCCTTGGGACGTCCTCCCGACATGAAAGGCGCTTTACAAATGTAATTTTGTTTTTTATTGTAATAATTCCTCCAAAAATATTCACTCAATCCCTGTTTCTGGAACACTGTTGTGCGCAATTGACTGCCCGCCGGGTTTCACTCACAAAATATACAGTCAATTCACTTTACAATATATTCCGTGAAGCGCTTTGAGATGTCTCAGCCACATGATTAGGGCTATATTAAATAAAAGGATTATTATTATTAGGAAGGAAATTACCCAACAAAGTGACATTGCTGGACCTAGAGCTTTACTGTTAGCTTCTCGGCATAGTTTAGCTACACAAAAAGAACATAAAGATTGGTCAAACATGAGCAATTCATTTATGCAACAGTGTATGAACCAAAGCTTATTCAGTCATATTATGATAGATTTTCCACAGGTTGTAATGTAAAAGCACTTCCTGACACAATTGTGGTAAGGTACACACCTAGACTGAAAACTCCACATTGCAAAAGTGTTGTTTATACATCCTGGGGATTTGGTTTGAGTAGAATACTATTGGCTGATCAGCATCATACTCCAGGATTGGGTGGAGATGATCAATGACGTCTGCTTTTATTTTGTAAACTCGTTTTAAAAAAAAGAGGGTGGTGGAGGAAAGCACGATGGGACTTGCGTAATGTGGTTTATGTCATTGAAGAAAAGCTGCCTGAGGTCCTCTTACAGTTGTGATGGTGAAATTGTTTGCTGAGCAAGTCTGGTTTGCCTGTTGGGCTGAGCACCAGTTGTCGTACCTACGCCTGCAAAAGCCTATATATTCACTATTTGAAGCTGCAAATATCTACAGCCCTGTTTGCTGTTAGCTCTCTTCCAAATGGACGATTGTTGTAGAATGGAAATAACATGATGGGGAGTTGTTGGGATCTGAAATGCTGTATAACTGAATTACTGTTTCCTCAGGTCGAGATCCTTCTCCTCTTCACCCTCCCCAACTCCATCGCCATCCCGCGCTAAAGATGCTGCAGGAGCAAAGACCAAAGGAGGTAGCAGCAAAGGTAGCGACGCACCTGCAACTATTGCAAAAAGGTAAGCAATGTGTCCCCATTGCTCTCAGGTGAGTGGGCACTTACACAGGGTGTTTGATTGTGTTTCAAACAGCATCGATACCCAAACAAAATGCAGTCATTACACTTTACAGTGTATCCTGTGAAGCACTTTCAGATGTCCTTACAACAAGTTGCTGTATCAAATGCAAGGATTATTAATTTAGTGATCCCTGTAACTATAAGTAAGAGATCTGTCTTCTACGTTGAGAGAGCTTTCATCCAAGAATGTCAATTTATTAACTTCAGATAGGAAATCCGTTTACAATCTTTTATTTTATTTACACCCTTCATTAAATAAGAATCTCAATTATCTGTCAACTTGATTACTCGTCGGTGAAGTGTCTCCCCCACCCCCCCCCAGCCATAAACAAGGCTCCCACTGTATACAGTCAGCTTTCTGCTCTTCCCTCTTCTTTGGGAACACTGATAGCGAACAACGCCTCGGGTTCTTGCCTCTCCAGAGAGTCACAGCTGAGACAACAGTGTGGGAATCAATGAACACACAACTAGAACTAAGCACAACATGATGCTCTTCATATCTCATGCTGAAACTTCTATTTGTTTACTTAGACCATATTGTTAACAACATTGTAAGGGTAAGTGAGGCTGTAACACCAGCCAGTTTCACTGGGGTAGTTTGACATCATCTGAATTAAGATGTGTACAATCTGACACTGTTAAGCTTTGGTTGGAGTCCTGTAGCTCAGTGGTTAGAGCACTCGCTTTGCAAGTGAGAGATCTGGGTTCGATTCCCGGCAGGGCGAAACCTTGGGCAAGTTTCCTTACTCCACACAGAGCCTAATAATAATCCCTCCAAAAAAACAAAACAATAATAAAAATTGGTCATTTTCAATCCATGACTGTTTGTGGGACATTGCTGTGCGCAATTGGCTGCCGCGTTCGCCCACAAATATACAGTCAATTCACTTTACAGTGTGTTCTGTGAAGCGCTTTGGGACGTCCTCCCGACGTGAAAAGCGCTATATCAAATGCAAGGATTATTATTATTATTATTATTATAGTAGTTAATACCCTCTCCTCATCCTGACACACATAGAAATATGTACAATTGCATCACTTACCTTACGGCCATCCATAATCAAGGTTCTCAGTATCAGTTGTTTTTAAAACACTTTGTTTGTGTTATAGTGGGGCCGCACAGCTTCAGTATATGTTACATAGTCTCTGGCCATTAGCAGCAGGAACCCTGTGTGATTTACACTTTGTGACAAGCCTTTGACTCTCCTCAGGAGGTGCAAAGCACAATTTATCCTCAGCAATTGTTCATGAAAGAATTGACTGAAAGCGAATGAAAATCCCATTTGCTAATAGCTCAGTTAGCACTAAACATCTTCAAGGGGTAGAGTAACGTCACAAATGGCCATCGGCACCAATGCTGTCACCTCGTTGTTTCCACAAACGTTCATAAGCTTCTCAACCTGAAATAACGAACAGCTTATTGCTCTTTCAGAATTTGTCTCTTTCATAAGCGCTCTGGGACCCTACACTGCATTAGGGGTGCTATATAATTGCAAATTGTTGTTGTCGTTGTTCATTCAAAAAGGTTAAAAAAAGCATTCATTGTCCTTTCCATCCATCACCGTCCACCAATTTATAGAGAATGGTGGATAGGACAGGAAATGGGCTATAATCTGATTAAGTGGTGGCTCAGTTTGGAACACTTACCCTCCCTCCCCTCTTATTCCCCCCCCCTCCCCCCCGGCATGGGGTGCCAGAGACTCCTGTGTTGTCAGTCTCCTGTGGCCTCTGGCCAGAGAACTCACTCATGCCTGGTGTTCGCACTAAAATAGTAAACTTTGTGACAATTACTCGAATTTAATCATGTTATAATAATAATAATCCTTGCATTAATAATCCTTGCACATAGCACCTTATCATGTCTTTGAGGAGATTCAAAAAGCTTCACAGAATATACTATAAAGTGAATTGACTGTATTTTGGGGGTGAAACACAGCAGCCAATTATGCACAGCAGGATTTGGCAATGGAGTGGTAGTGTGAGAGATTAGAGGGATCGAGGGTGGGTTTTTGAGGAGAAGTGTGAAGACAGCGGTTTTCAAGGGGAGTGGAACAGAGTCTGAGGAGAAAGACTGGTTGACCATGTTGGCCAGCAGGGGGGAACAGAAGGGGGAGTTAAGTGACTATCAGCTGGATGGGGGTGGGGGTCAAGATAGCAGGAGGTGAACTTCATCTGGGTGATTGTGGTTGAGAGGGAGGAGGGAGAAATGGGGGCAAGGGAGTGTAAGGGGGGGTAGTGGCATGGGCTGTGGCAGAGGGAGAAGGCGGTGCGGATGATCTGGGTGGGGTGGAAGGGAACGTGGTGAGGAGGACGATGCAGCCAAGTGGATGTTTTCATTTTTTGAAGTGAAGAAGTCTAGGGGCTCTTCGCGTTTGGTGTTTGATGTGAGGATAGAGCGGGCTTGAGGGGGCGTACTGAGGAGATGATGAAAGGTAGAAAACAGTGACTTTGGATTGTTGTTGGTCTCCAGGATGACTTTGGAGTAAAAGTCATTTTTGGCCTGCGAAAGGGAGAGGCGGTGGGTATGAAGGAACTCAAGCTACAGCTGGTGGTGAATCGTGTGGGCGGATTTCTGCCATCTGCGCTCGAGCATCTGGGTTTGTGTTTTGAGTGAGCGGAGATGACTGTTGTACCTGAGGGAGTGGGTGGGTTTGGAAACAACCCAGGATTTCAGGGGTGCCGGGAATTGAAGGTTGTGGAGAGATGGTCATTCAGCAGCTTGACGGCTGCATCAGGATCGCTGCGGGCAGAGGGCAAGGACGTCTGAGGAAAAGAAGGGATTTGTGAGGGATCCGGGGAAGCTTTTTCCAGGAGCGGAAAAAAATGGTGGAGGGCTTGGAGGAGGGGAAGGGGGTGGGAGGAGAGGGAGATGAGGAAGTAGTCCGAGATGGTCTTGTCTAAGATAGACAGGTCGGAAATGTCAAGGCCATGTGTGATGACGAGGTCGAGGGAGTGGCCACAGTTGTGGTTCAGTGAGTTGATGTGGAGGGTGAGGTTTAGGGAGGAGAGGGGGTCAGTGAAATCCGAAGAGGTGATGCTAGGGGAGTTTAGGTTTATGAGCAGGTGTTCAGTGCAGAGGGACAGGGATGAGGGGAGAGCGGAGATATCAGTGAGAAGGACAGAGGGAGTAGCGGAGTGTGGGGGCTGGGAGCAGGAACATTTTCAGGGGGAGCGGGTCGGGGCGGCAGCCAAAATGCGCACGCAGAGACCGGGAGTGAGTAGTCACCAGGGAAGCATCAGCCTGCGGGCAATGGGAGACAGCCCAGGGTGGGCCGGGGGTGGAAGAGGGTGGATGGTGGTCATGGCTTAGCCGGGAGGGAAGGGAGGGCAAGAGAATAGTAGAATATACACTGTACTTTCCCTACCCTGGGGGATTGGAAAATGGCACCCAAAGTGACAACCAGCAGCAAGATTCGGGCGGGGGATTTTGAAATAGCGTCTCCGCTCCTGAAGCAGCTGAAACTTTGCCGGTTGCTCACCACCGTATGATCGTCCATCTGTGGCCTCAGAGGATCTCTTGCACTCGTTATACAGGCAGGAGATTTGAAGTTTCTCACCCCTCTGGTGCCTGCCTGCAGCCTACCTCGCATGGCTTTCGTCGACCAAAACCTTCGACTCTCCTCCCCACTTCTCCTGCTCGGTTTACCGTGGTTTCTCGAGACCCCGCTGCTCGCTGACTCACGGCAATAGCATCATAATAAGAGGATCATACTTTATGTGGGGCCTTATTTGGAAGACTAATATTAAGTTCCCAGAATAGTAATGCTGTTTTTGTCTCAGCCATTACAACACTGTGCTTAGTTGATATTGAATACAATTCCTGATGGTGTATATTATGAAGGGAAATCTGTTTTCAGGGAGGAAGGGGAAGTGTTCAATGTGCATCACTGACCCCTGAACCCAGGGGCAGGGAATGAGCACAGGCAGACACTACACCTCAGCAAGTTGCTGCAGTTAATGTGATGTGGATAGGTTTTGCCTACATTTTTCTTCCTTTTTTATCCTCCACAACAGTGATAAAACTGTGAAGAAGCTGCCCTCCCCACCTCACTCAGGGCAACTGGCCGGGGCCAAGGTCACAAAGTCGGGTACAGACGGCAACAAACCTGCCGAGAACCGAGAGGGAAGAAAGAAGGAGCGACTGCCTCGGTCCCCACTGCGGAGGTCAGACACTGCGTAAACCTGCTGTACTTTGTGGATAGGCTTGTGACAGTCTCACAATGTTTTACTGAAGTTCATAGACTTGTAGCAAGCTGCAGTAGAAGCTGCTTAAGCTGGACACTGGTTAACCCTGGACGCCAGGTAAATCGAACAAAACCGATTAAGCCAGGTCCCAATTAATTTGTATTCTGACCTATTTTAAATCTGCTGGTCAGCACAGCGTCCACTCACTCGCATCTCTGTGTCTCGAGTGGCTCCAGCCATTCACAAGCGGCTCCTCGGAGCTGCTGCTAATTAGTCCACTTCCTGTCCAGTGGGAGGAAGTAGGCCCCACTGCTGCTCCTGTGTTGGGCGGGAAGCTATGGGGTTCATGTGTTTCCAGCTTCAGCGAATCCACTGTATTTTGTTGATTTTTCTAAGAATCAAATAAATTGTAGTTTTTCGGTGTTGTTAAAGGTAAATGTATTGGGACGTCTTCCCGATGTGAAAGGCGCTCTATAAATGTAATTTTGTTGTTGTTGTTGTAAAGCACTTGTATCTTCTGTGTCCAGGCGGAACGCAAGTGGCAGTGACACTGCCAGCAGCTACACCGGGTCAAGCTCTCGTTCACGATCACATTCTCGTTCAGTGTCTCGGTCAACATCAGCTTCAGGCTCCGTGTCAGGCTCCCACCGATCCAGGTAAATATGCGCAGAGCAGCTATTCTCTGTCTCAGACTCAGCACAGCATTCAACACACACGTTGAGTCTGTGGCTACTTTTACTGTTGAGAATATAATAATAATCCTTGGATTTGATACAGAGCCTTATCACATCTTCGAGACGTCTCAAAGTGCTTCACAGGATGTACTGTAAAGTGAATTAACTGTATATTTTGTGGACAAAATATCAAGTCCTTCTGAACTGCAGCTCGATAGCAGTAACGCGCTGCATGAGCCAGTCTTCTCAATGGCCCACTTGATATGGAAGTAATTAAAGTATTGATTGTGTTGCAGATCCTTGAGTGTGAGCAGTGTGTCCTCAGTGTCAAGTGCTTCATCCAGTAGCAGCTCTGTGAGAAGTGCAGACTCTGAAAATATGTACGCTGATTTAGCCAGCCCTGTATCCTCTGCCAGCTCCCGCTCACAAACCCCTGCTCAACCCAAGAAGGAGAAGGGTGAGCAACAGCTTGAGATGTTTAGTTTTCTCCATAACTCTGCTGTTTGTGGTTTTAAACTCTCATTGTGAGAACAGATTTAAATGTCAGAAGTTACAGGGAGCGGGGCAGCCCTAGCATCTCGCACGTTCTGTGTTATTGTTCAATACCTGACAACAGTTTGAGTAAATATCGACAGCAAAGACTGAGGTCAGGTTCAGTCCAGTGTAACCTGCAGATCTTTATATGCACTGTAAATTGTACATTTCTGTGTAACATATGTAATCTACCAAAATTTAAAGGGGTAAAATCTAACCTTGTGTTTTGCATATTGTTGTTCTCTATCATGTCAACTCTCTCTTCAACTTCTCATTTCTGTCGTTGGCTCATCCTTACTACTGGGATTCAGAAAATGGAAGTTTGTTTAGTGACATACATTATACACAGCAATCTCTTGGGGAATCACAATGTAATTGAGGCTGAAGGAGTTGGTGTGTGTCAGCATGTTGTTTTGGTCCATCACCCGATGTCTGCATACCTCTGCCTTTGCTTATAATGTGGTTGGTGAGCCATTGGACGCACCTAACCACATATAATGAGGTTCCCTGATTTCATACATCTATCTGCAAGTCACCTGAGCGGTGCAGAGTCTGGTATCCGCACGTTAATAGTTTACGACAGATGTACGTCCAACTTGCTGTCAAGGTGTCATATTCCTTATATAAGTGGCATTACTGAGTGTTTCACTGTATCAATCTTTCAGCAAAACCCAAACGAGAGGAAACTCCAAGAGACAAGGAGCGCGAAGAGAGGCGGAAACGCGAGCCTCCACCCCAGCCACAGAAATCGTCCACCACAGCAAAACCAAGTCAGATCAGCAAACCCCCTCAGCTGGTGTACAGTGCACACAAGGACATCAAGCTCACTCTGTTAAACAAGGTAACCTGAAGCAAATAGCAATCTAGAAACTAGTGGGTCAATGTGTGGCTCTGCCCGGTTTCTGCCCCTTGTTTTTTGAGTAAAGACACCTCCAACCCGGCAGTGAACTGAACCCACCTCCTTCTGGGGGATCCCTGGTGACCCTCTCTGCGGCGAGAAGGCACTGTCGCTCCTGAGCAAATTCACAGCCCAGGGGGTGGAGTGGGGGCAGGCTGAGTGCCGAGTGGGGGAGCAGGCTGGGGGGTTGGGGGAAGTGGATGGACAGGGGCTCTTGGTAAAATTCCCAGTTGAAGCTTCCTGCAGCTTCTTTTATTTGAGGCCAGTTTTCTGAGATCCTCACTGCCCCTGGTGACTCCCTCCCCAGGGAAGATGTACATGGAGTCCTGTAGCTCAGTGGTTAGAGCACTCGCTTTGCAAGTGAGAGACCTGAGTTCAATTCCAGGCAGAGGGCGAAACCTTGGGCAAGTTTCCTTGCTCCACACAGAGCCTAATAATAATCCCTCCAAAACCAAAAACAATAATAAATTGGTCATTTTCAATCTACGACTGTTTGTGGGACATTGCTGTGCGCAATTGGCTGCCGCGTTCGCCCACAAATATACAGTCAATTCACTTTACAGTGTGTTCTGTGAAGCGCTTTGGGACGTCCTCCCGACGTGAAAAGCGCTATATCAAATGCAAGGATTATTATTATTATTACATGTTTGGAGACTGTTGAGTCTCACTGGGATATGTACGAAATCTCTGACAGCACGGTCTGCCTCCCCTTATTTCAGACAGCTGATAAAGGCAGCAGGAAACGCTACGAGCCCTCTGATAAAGAGAGGCCCTCCTCTCCTCCTTCCAAACGAATGGCCATGTCTCCAGAAAGAGGTAGGAAATGCATGTTTCATGTAGAATTGTGCTGCACTCAGATGTTTATGGTCAGAGGTGGGGAATGTACTAATCAGCGGCTGAATTATTGAAGCTGCTTCAGGAGGTTAGAGTGAAATAGTCCATGGAAATGGAATTTCTCAAGCACTAATGTGAGCACGTCATACTCTACACTCCTGCCAGATAAATGGTTGTGAGATCTTTACTGTGTGTATTTCTCCATGGTTATCTGTAGCCCATCTCTCTCTGTCAGGCCACCGGGAGCGCAAGTCGTTTGGACGGCCACCGTCACCAAAGGCCGATCGGCAGAGCAACCGTGGGCCTCCAGTCACCAGATCATCTCCTGCACAAGCAGACAGGTCAGTGTGCACAGTGACACCCCCTCCTCACACACCATGCGCACCCTCACACAAATGCGCACACCCTCCTCACATATACACATCCTCACACACAAGTCAGTGTGCACAGTGACAGGAACGAGGGAATGGGAGTTGGGAATGGCTTGTGGCAGTTTTCACTGATTGCTGACAGTGAGCAGTTGACAGTGAGGATGGGGTTAGCCACAGCCCAGCACTGCCTGGCACACTATCATTGTGCAAGTCACAGCGTAACCTGCTTTCATTCTGGCAGGTGATACTTTACATGAACTTGATTTCCAGTTTTCTACTTGTACTTGGTGGGAATGCTGGCGGGGTTGGGAGAGTTGGGGTTTTCCTGGTGCTCCTGACAGTTTTTAATCGTTTTTTTCTCTTTCAGAAAACGGCCGCCTTCACCTCAGACCAAGGTTTCGAGCAAAGTCACCAGTGTGTCTTCAAGCTCCGGCAAGTCACACGACACATCTACTACTGCCAGCTCAGCCTCTGCCGCCAAGTGCAGCAAGTCGAACACGCTGTCCCGCAGAGAGGAGCTGCTCAAACAGCTGAAAGCCGTGGAGGATGCCATCGCCCGCAAGCGAGCAAAGATCCCTGGGAAGGTGCAGTAAGGACTCGGATGCAGCTGTCAGTATTAGTCCATTCATTCGGGATTTGGTCTGGAAGCAGCCATGTCAGGACATCGCAGGACCTCGCCACCACTTGCCAGGGTGTGCCTGACCCCGTGGCTGTGTGCCTGACCCCTCCCCAGCTCTGCCCTGACACCTCCTCGGCTCCCTGACACCCAGGCAGTTTAGTGATCTTTCTTTTCAATTTTTTTCTTAAACTGGAGCGCTGGCTGCATTACATATTTAACACAAACTGACTGCGGTCGATGAGTTTCAAGCCGTACAGTTGATTTGTCTATAGTCATGACTGGACTGAACATGTGAAATCTGGCCCAAGAGAAGCAACCCTCCCTCACCCTCTCTCACATACATGGCTTTAGGAGTTCTCTCTCTCGCTCACTCTCTCTCTGCTTGTCCAAGCGAGAAAGCCCTGCTATAAATACTGTATTACTGGAAAGCAGATGAATGTGCTGTGAAACTGCTTTTTTCCCCCCCTCACTCCCTCCCCCCATCCCCCATTTTTGGATAAATCTCGCTTCCTCTCAAATAAATATTCATTCTATTATTTTACACTTTACCCTCTTCAGATTGTTTTAACCTCCTGATTCGCCGTCCTGTGGTTGTTTGAGATTTGGCTGAAGACTGGGAACTGTTTAACGAACAAACACAGAGATAAATATTTTTTAAAAAAAATGCAAATTCCGGCAGCCGGTGTTTGTGGTGCAGCATTTCAGGAGCTTCACATAACAGTGAGGGCGGAGGCCGCAGAGCAGGGAAATCTTACACTGAATTGTAAAACCAGGATTCTTGACTTTTTTTACATGATTTTAATAAAGGACTTATTAGTTGTCAGACTTCAGAAAGTTTTTGATTAGCTGCTTACTTGGTCTGTTTCTGCTGCACCCCAGGCACACCGATGATCTGCTTCTGTCGTGTGTTGAGGGGAAGATGCCAGGTTTCCCTGTAAAGCTGTATTTTCAGAATTCAGAGCTGTGAGTCCCAAGGGCTCTGTGAAGAGGTGTTTACCTCACTGCCAGTCTTAAGCCTGAAATCGAGGGCAGCCTTGCATAGAGTCCCACCCGAGCCCCCTGAGTGAGTGTGTCCTGCGTGTGGAAAAGGTTCCTTGAACCTCACACTGCAGAGCCGTGGTCAAAATCTCCAGCATAAGTGCCACGGTGCAAGCAGTGAAACAAATAACAAAACTTAAACTGTTCCCGAAGAGCACCGAATGTCCGAGTGATACTCGAACCTCACAAGCCGTCTTCACTGAGGAGGTCTATCAGATACCTGTACTTGTGTGTTTCTGTTGTACCAAACTTACAAACCGGGCTTTCTGTAAATCGTTAAACTGAAAATTATAAAATGGAACCAGAGCTTTTGATCTGCATTTCTTATCATTGTATTGTGACCTTCTCACTTCCTGCCACCACTGGTTTCTACCCCCATGAGCATTATTCTCCTGCACACACCACATTCGCACAGACACAACACAAAGAAACACACATCAAAAATGTTTGCACTGTTTGTATCTGTTGGTCTAGTAATGATTCAGGATCCGGCTCACTGCACTGTGTTCTCTTGACACCTTCTCAGCTCTCAAACTTTACACCTGTGAATGTTGTTAGTGATACTCTGAAGTTCACTAACTAATTTCCAGATCTGTAGCAAGCTGTTATTCCTGGGTTGATCTGTTGAAATGCTATTACATTCTCCCTGGACACATTTTTTTATTGAAGAAATTAAGCCATAATGTGTTGCAGATTTTACTGAGACAAGGATCCAGTGAAGACAAACTCTTTAGGCAACAATTCAAGAGACCTGGGTTAGTAGTGCTGTGCCTGGTGCACTAGCCTAATGTATTTAGCCTCCAATGAAGGTTGCAGAGCAGGTTGCCCCAGTCTGGCTGTTGTGGAAGTACTGAGGGAGCAGTTTGACTGCCTACCTCCACACACATGCCTTGTGTAGTCATGCAGTAACCCTAGGAAGAACAGCCATTGGATTCTCTCTATCTACCACCCCCCCCGTAAACATCACTGCTGAGCAGGCTGACGTTGAGAGTCCAGCAGGTTCTCCCACCCATCGTGCTGAGCGTGAACGTGTTCCACAATCAGCCATGAACTGAATGGCTAGTTTTTATTATTTGGGGGATTGACTTTAGGACACCAAGAGAAACTACCTCTTTTTCAGGTTATGCCACAGGATCTTTAATGTTCACCTGAACAGGCAGGTGGGTCTGATTTAACTTCTCATTGGAAGAACAGCAACTCTATGTGGTTCTCCCCCTGGAATGCAAGCATAGACTGTGAGCTCAAACTCTGTTGTGGGGCTTGAACCCACAACCTTCTGACTCGGAGGTGAGAGTACAAGCGACTGAGCCAGGCTGACACTGATAGTTCTCCACCCACTCCTTTTACACTTATGATTTAAAATGCAATTGGAAGTAAATAGCAAGCAGTCCTGTTGCTATTAATAGATTATACAGAGAAGTACAACCCCCGTGATGGTCAGGATATCAAACATTCTAATAAAGAGTTTGTCTAGCTGAGCAGTTTACTGAGTGACATTGATTACTGAGAAATAACATTCAATCAGGAACTGACGTACCATGGGTTCAGCAAAGGCAGACTACAATAATGTGCGTCAAAACAACTTGCTAATATTATCTCAGTCTCAAAAGCAAATAATTATTCTATATATAAATAGATGCTGGAATCTTATTATTGGTGGCAATAAATGCAAGAGTTAAGGAACCCTTAGTGACGTGCTAGTTTGCGGTCTGGTTCAGTGTGAGTGTACACTGCCCCCCCCCAACCAATTGACTTCTAAGTCAGTGAAGAGAAATGATGGGCCTCAACTCAGGAGGTTCTTGTCCAGGGTCAGTGCAGTGGGGTGTTGGGTTAAATACAACCCAAGTACTGTCCCTCCCACTCACAGGGCAGCCCCAGGAAGGCCTAACCCGACCAGCAGAACCACATCTAACCCTTTGTTTATGACATGAAAATAGTGCCATTATGTGGTTTGGATGTTGAGGGATATTGTGGCGCTCTTTCTACCTAAAGGTTCTAGGATTCCTGGCCCAAGTGCAACACTTCTGGGGAAATTCTTTCTGGTGTTTGGGGACTGGGGGGATATGAAACAGGCCAGTATGTGGGATTGGATGATGTTTTAGGATGTCGCGGAGCCAGGTATGACTTTCAAATCTAGTTAATAATAATCCTAACAGTTGATACAGTGACTTTCAAGTCAGCAAAGTTATTCCAATACTTGCTGTGTTTTTTCTTGAGGAAAGTGCTCCTCTTCCCCTCCCCAAATCCACACTGAATGATTAGATTTCAAGCTGCTGCTGGTCTGAGAGCAATCTCTGGTACAGGTGCTGTTGTTTCCTTCAGCCTGTTGCTCTGTGTGATGTTTATCTACATGCTCCCTCTTGGGGATGTCATCTGCAGACATGGGGTACATTTCCACATGTACGCAGACGACACCCAACTCTATTTTTCCACCTCTCTTTGCAAATCCCGGTCCCCTGATGTTCTGTCAGCCTGCCTTTCAGACCTCAGGGGCAAGATGAGCGCAAATTTCTTTCAACTGAACGTCGACAAGACAGAAGCCACACTCTTTGGCTCTCGTCAATGTCTCAAATCCCATGGCTCTCACCTCCTCCACCTACCCGACTTCCCCCTAAAACTCTCCGAACCCGTACGCAACCTTGGCGTTAGGTTGGACCCCCATTTGTCCTTCCTCCCCCACATCCGGTCCCTCACCAGCACCGCTTTCTTCCACCTCCGACACATCGCCCGTCTCCGCAAATACATCTCTCCGAAAGCCGCTGAAACTCTAGTCCATGCCTTTGTCATCTCTCAGCTGGACTACTCTAACACCGGCCTCCCCACCACTACCGTCCATAAAATCCAAATCATCCAAAACTCTGCCACCCGCACCAAACTACGTTCCCTGATTACCCCAGTCCTTGCCAGACTGCACTGGCTGTCTGTCCCAGAGAGGATCGATTTCAAGATCCTCACCACTTGTATTCAAATCTCTCCACTCCTTTGCACCCCCCGACCTCTCTGACTTCTCTCCTCAAAACAGTACCCGTTGCCTTCGATCCTCCGGGTCTGGCCTCCTCCTCATCCCCCGAGTCCTCCGCTCCACCCTTGGCGGCCGTGCCTTCAGCCACTATGCCCCAAGGCTCTGGAATTCCCTTCCTCACTCCCTTTGTCTCGCCCCCTCTCTTCCTACTTTCAGGTCCCTTCTGAAGACCTTTCTTTTCGACTGCGCCTTTGGTCACCTTCCTCCCCCTCCCGCTGGCTCGGCCCCGGGATTCATTACTGTGAAGCACTCTGAGACGCCATCCGGCATGGAGGGCGCTATAAAAATCCAAGTTGTTGTTGTTGTTATCACTATTCAACAACAACAACAACAAGATTCCATTTATAGAGCGCCTTTCACATCGGGAGGACGTCCCAAGGCGCTGGACAGTTGGGTCAGGACCCGAGCAGGGGGGAAATGGTCAGGGTGAGGGGAGGGAAGGGAGGGAGCGAGGAGGGGTAGAGAGTTGAGAGGGGAGCTGAAGTCATGGTCAAAGAGAAAGGTCTTGAGACCGGCCTTGAAGGAGGAAAGGGAGGAAGCGGCGAAGGCACTGGCGGATGGAGTTCCAGAGCCTAGGGGTTGAGAGGCTGAAGGCCCGGCCACCGATGGTAGGGCGGTTGGGGTGGGGCATGTGGGACAGACCGGAGCCAGAGGAACGGAGGGTACGGGCGGGTAGGTAAGGGGATAGCAGGTCAGAGAGATAGGAGGGAGCAAGGCCATGAATGGCCCTGCAGGCGAGGATGAGGATCTTGAATTCGATCCTCTGGGGCATGGGGAGCGAGGGTGAGGGCGAGGGTGGGAGTGATGTGGTCGCGAAGTCTGGTGCGGGACAGTACACGAGCTGCAGAGTTCTGAATGACCTGCAGCTTGTGCAGGGAGGACCGGGAAGGCCGGTGAGGAGCGAGTTCCCATAGTCCAACCTTGTGGAGTCCTGTAGCTCAGTGGTTAGAGCATTCGCTTTGCAAGCGAGAGACCTGAGTTGAATTCCAGGCAGAGGGCGAAACCTTGGGCAAGTTTCCTTACTCCACACAGAGCCTAATAATAATCCCTCCAAAACCAAAAACAATAATAAAAATATTGGTCATTTTCAATCTATGACTGTTTGTGGGACATTGCCGTGTGCAATTGGCTGCCGCGTTCACCCACAAATATACAGTCAATTCACTTTACAGTGTGTTCTGTGAAGTGCTTTGGGACATCCTCCCGACGTGAAAAGCGCTATATCAAATGCAAGGATTATTATTCTTATTGAGGTGATAAAGCGTGGACCAGAGCTTCAGCATCGTGAGGTAGTGCCGTAGTCTGGCGATATTTTGGAAGTGATAGAAGGCGTTGGCAGTTGTGGCGCGGATATGAGGAAGAAAGGACCCCGAGGTTCCTGATGGCTTTGAGAGGTGGAGAGTGCAGCCTTGGATGCTGATGCTGTCAGCGCCTGAGGTGCGGAGCCGCTGACGTGAGCCAATCAGGAGGGCCTCAGTTTTACGCACGTTGAGCTGAAGAAACTTGTCTCTCGTCCTAGACTCGATGTCAGACAGGCAGCTGTCAGGACATCGGGGGTAGAGGAGGAAAGGTAGAGTTGGGTGTCATCCACATACATGTGGAAGTTAACCCAGAGCCTAGACAGTGGGGAGATTCCCACCTGCCTACAGCAACATATCATAAGGAGGGAGGGGCTGGAATGCTGCCAACACAACTGTGTCTGAAACGGAAGTGATTACATTGCAATAATCTGTCACCACACACATTTCAAAAGGGAACTGCACAGTAACTTCACCCACCATAGGCCAAGGTTTGGGTTTTTCATAGTTTTCAAAGAACAGTCCACACATTTGTGCCAAACCATCTCAGAAGTCTACACAAGGCTGGACAGGTGGAGGTTGGAGCTGACCAAATCCAAACAGAAATTAGATTATTGATGCCTTACCTGATCAAGATAAACAAGCTCACCTGTCCACCTGTTCAGGCTCTAAGAGCCAAATTGCCCCATCTTCACACATTCAAATACCTCCATGGACTTGCCTAATCTCTGTGACCTCCTTCAGACACACTTATCCATCCATTCCCTTCGCTCAGAAAATACTGGCTCAAAGCCCTGCCCTATCCACCCACTATTGGCAGGCTGGCTTTGAGCTATTATGTCCCAGCTCACTTGAACTCCATCCTGGAGTCCCTCCAACTCCCTCCCTCCTCGTTCAAAGCATTTCTCATAGCTCTTTAACCACACTTTCAATCAGTGAAAAGTGCTATACAAATGTAATATTGTATTGTATCTTTCCCCAACCCCCTCAGTTCCCACCCCCAGTTCCAATGTCCATCCAGCATTGTCAAAAACTTTGAGACGTCCTCCAGACGTGAAAGATGGAAATAGATGTATTATTGAAGCAGACTATTGGCTCCATTTTTAAATACCACCTAAGATATTCACAATTATTCAATAATAATAAATACTTGCATTTGATATAGTACCATTCATGTTGGGAGGATGCCTCAAACCACTTCGTGGGATTTACCGTAAAGTGCAGTGACTGTGTATTTTGTAGGTGAACATGATACATAGTTTACAAACATCAACTTCCCACAAATGATCATGACTTTAATGACTACTTTATTTGGGGATTGTTGGACAGGACATCGGGAGAGAGACAAATAATAATAATAATGATCCTTGCATTTATATAGCGCTTAGAAACTCCCTTCTCATTTTGAATAGTGTCATGCGATCCTTAATGCTCATTTTAACAGACACCACATTGGAGTCTGAGGCAGGAGAAAGAACCTACTGAGCGAGGGAAGAAGGCACCGAGGAGAAACTGATGAACTGTGATGTCACTTAGCTTCTTACTAAATTTATCGAAACTAATGAACAGATTAGGAAACAGTAATAATATTGCTATATTGAGCAAAGGTGTCGACGAACAACCTGTCTCATCACAGCTTAGAAATGATTGAAATGCATTTCCTCAAAGGAAATAACTCTTCCAACTGCGGATTTCTTGGCAGTTAACAGGGACTGCGCAGTGCTGCCCTCTTGTGGCCACAGGGCGCTGCTGGTCTTTACTATTTCAAAGCAACTGCTGCTGCTGTCCATGGTTCCAGATGGCATCATGAAGTTGATTCATTCTCTGCTTTTATTCCATCAGTAACCCCATGCAAGTCAGTGCAGCAAGCTGTGGAGACCCATAATAATAATAATAATAATAATAATAATAATAATACTGACGTTTGATATAGCACCTTTGTCATAAAGAGGACGTCTCAAAGCGGTTCACAGGATTTTCTGTTAAGTGTAGTGCTTGTATTAGAAATAGAGTAATGCTCCCTCTGCACTGTGTCATTCAATAAAAAACCCTGAGAGTAGGTTACAGCCTGGGTCTGGTCGAGGGGCTGCAGTACATAGAAAACAAATACTGGAAGCCAGAAATCAATTAATCCTGGGTTTGCAATACAATCTACACTTCCACAGAACCTTTCACATAAGGAGGACATTCCAAAGCACATGACAATTCTGGAGTGGAGTCCTGTGGCTCAGTGGTTAGAGCACTCACTTTGCAAGCGAGAGGACCTGAGTTCAATTCCAGGCAGAGGGCGAAACCTTGGGCATGTTTCCTTACTCCACACAGAGCCTAATAATAATCCCTCCAAAAAAACCAAAAACAATAATAAAATTGGTCATTTTCAATCTACGATTGTTTGTGGGACATTGCTGTGCGCAATTGGCTGCCGTGTTTGCCCACAAATATACAGTCAGTTCACTTTACAGTGTATTCTGTGAAGCGCTTTGGGACGTCCTCCCGACGTGAAAAGTGCTATATCAAATGCAAGGATTATTATTATTATTAATTCTGGCTGGGGACTGGAGCTACGGGTTGAGTATGAGGAGAAATTGGAATTTATACACAATCCTGATAAGACGGGTTGGGATGAGGCCAGTGTTGACAGGAGGGTTACAGGCTGAGACAGTAACAATGGGGGGAGGGATACAAGCTGAGAGTAACAACAGGGGGAGCACAGACTCGGCTGAGAATTAACTATTCACAATCTGCAGTAAAAGCGGGGTCTCCTTGGGGCTGAACTGGCTCCAAGCTGACAAGCTTGGCAATAGAATGTGAGAATCGAGCCAGCCCTCTGTGCTGGTTTCTAGTCCAGTTCCTGAGCCAGATGGGTCCACATTATTCTAGGGCATTGCTGATGACAGCACAGCCCAGCCTGGCTGATCAGCAGAACTTGGAAGGTCAGACCAGTCACTGGGAGCAGGGAATCATCCCACTCAGCTCCTGTTAACCCTGCATGCCAAAGCCCTAATGGTACTAGCTGGACGAGCAGTGGGAAAGCTTGCCAGACAGCAATATCAATGGCAAGCTATACAGTTTTAGTTGGTTAGACTCCAGCAGGTTCCCCAACGTACAATCTGGGCTATCCCCAAGCTTTGGCTTTTGCCAACATGAGTCTATTACTTTCCAGTTTATGTAAGCAGGATGTTTCCCTCCAGGGAGTGAGTGTGCATTTTATTCCAACAATCTATCTCTGGGATTTCCAGGTGTAGGTGGGATGCATGGAAATCTCAGCTCGGTTTGGAAACTCTTAAACACAGTGATGGGTGTCAGACACACTGGTGGGCAAAACAAAAACCTGGAAAAATCCAAATCTTAAGTGAATATTTACTTTTGATTGAACACATCCTGGGGATTAATAAGTGTCAGATTTATTTGTTTGAAATAAATATTTTCCTGTAATTAGCTGCTGCAGTGCTGTTGCTGTATGCAATATCCTCTGGTCCGGGTGTCAACACACACAGGTCAGAGTGGGAGGGGCTGCCCTCTGCCTCCTTCTCAGGTATCAGGATCATTGACAACACGGAAATGGACAGGATTTTTCCCCATTGGGGTTTCCAGTGGGAAAAGACATGCATAAAAGTGCGGCTGAGCCCAGCAGACAGACACTCACCCGTCATCACAGGGAGAGCGAGCAGCCAAAGGCAATAAGCTGTCACTGGCAATGAAATCCCTGGGGCTGAAGGTAGGAATGAAACCCAAAGAACAACAGCGGCTCAAAGGCTAAACTTCAGAGAACTTTTAAACCAACAACAGCTTTGTATCCAGTCCGGCGGCTCTGTCTCTCAGCTTCTGATGTGTGTCTCTGTGTCTCTCCCACCAGCTCCTGTTCCTGACCCTCGCCCTGGCGGCGGCGATGTGTGCCGGGAGGAGGGAGAAGCGGGTCAGAGAGGATCGGTGCTGGGGCCCCGGGCAGCCGACGGAGAGAGCGCTGCGGCTGTCGGGCCGGACCGGCGCTTGGGTCCGTTTCCCTTCGGTTTACTTGGTGGAGAAGTTGGAAACTCGCGGCGGCCACAGGCGCCACCACTCAGCCCAGGACTGCCCCAAACTACTGCAACCGGGCAGCTCGGACCCCAGTCACCGCTCCATCTCTCCCTGGACATACAGGTAGGTGTCCAACAGCACAGACTGGGGTCAGGGACTCGCTCACAGCACAGCCCGAGAGGCCATACATTGGGCTCGGGGTCGGGGTGACATCCAGCGCTAATCCTTCACATAAAACCGAGCCTTCCTGGTGGGAAGCCGCTCCCGGGCGCTTCACGGCTTTAACTGTAAACTTCAGTGACTGGGTTTGTCGATCAGTGAGTGCGCGTCACTGTCCCACATACAGACATTGAGACACAGATACACACAGTGTAGAGCCCAACTCCTGCCCAGAAGTCACTGGTGGGTGTCAGAGCTCCGTCACTGCCGAGTGCTGCGGGACGTGTTGTTGACTTGTGCGGCTGTGATTGTAGGATTGACTACGACGAGAACAGATTCCCGGAGAAGTTGGCGTTTGCCGAATGTCTGTGTAAAGGCTGCATCAACACCGCGTCGGGACTCGAGGAGCATCACCTGAACTCGGTGCTTCTGGAGCAAACCATGATGGTCCTGCGGCGCCGGCCTTGCCCCCACGACCCCCACCTGTACAGCTTTCAGATGCATTACATCCGAGTGCCGGTGGGCTGTACCTGTGTACTGCCTCGCAAGCACACACTTCCCTCGGCGTGAATTCACACTCATCGGGTCTGGTTCTTATCAAACATGTCGGGATTTTATGAAAGAGTCCAACCGGGCGGCACCTGACTCAGGTGTGTGTGTGACTGTGGGTGTGTGTGAGAGAGAATATGTGTGAGATTGTGTAACTGTGTGTATGACTGTGTGTGACTGTGTGTGGGTGTGACTGTGTGTGTGTGAGACAGAGAGAATATGTGTGAGATTGTGTAACTGTGTGTGTGAGACTGTGGGTGTGTGTGGGTGGGTGTGACTGTGTGTGTGTGAGACTGTGGGTGAGACTGTGTGTGGGTGTGACTGTGTGTGTGTGAGACTGTGGGTGACTGTGTGTGTGAGACTGTGGGTGAGACTGTGTGTGGGTGTGACTGTGTGTGTGTGAGACTGTGGGTGACTGTGTGTGTGTGTGGGTGTGTGTGTGTGTGACTGGGTGTTTGACTTGCCGGAACCTGCACATCGCTGGCGTCTCCCTGATCCCCTGAATTAATAGGTGTGAAACCTATTGAAGCAGCTTATAGCAGTTGATTTACTTTATTTATAAAGTTTATTTATAAATCAGCTATTTATTTATTTATGTATTTATTGTTGTGTTTGTGGGAAGGGGGAGACCCGGGCTGTGTGTAGACACCGTTTCTCTGGGACCTGAAGCTTTGGCTGTCTGCCTGGACTCTCAATGTGTTGAATACATGTGTATTTGATATTGTATGTCATTGTGTGACTAGTGATCTGCTTAATTTTTAAAAGTTATTTATTACAAACTGTGCCATTTTCTGTCTGAGCACCTCGTGTTTCGGAAGGGAACATAATTGTATTTATGGACTGTAACTTTATTCCGTATTAAATTAGGATAACGCCTGTTATCGTCTTCATGTAATGAGTCTATGACTTGGTGATTGTCGACATGACGTTTTGTTAAAATCCATTAAAAATAAAGATATTGTATCTGGAGCAGTTTGTGGTGTGAACTTTATGATGTGGTGTGAGCCTGTGATTGCTCACAAAATACTCTACACTACACTTTACGAAGCACTTTGAGACGTCTCGAAGATGTGATGAAGCACTATATCAAATTCAAGGATTATTATTATCCTGTCCTGATGTCTGTCTGCTAGACTCAGCCGCACTTTTATGCATGTCTTTTCCCACTGGAAACCCCAATGGGGAAAAATCCTGTCCATTTCCGTGTTGTCAATGATCCTGATACCTGAGAAGGAGGCAGAGGGCAGCCCCTCCCACTCTGACCTGTGTGTGTTGACACCCGGACCAGAGGATATTACATACAGCAACAGCACTGCAGCAGCTAATTACAGGGAAATATTTTATTTGAAGCAAATAAATCTGACACTTATTAATCCCCAGGATGTGTTCAACCAAAAGTAAATATTCACTTAAGATTTTGATGTTTCCAGTGTGTGAATAGTTAATTCTGTGCTGTTACTCTCTCAGCCTGTACCCCTCGCCCCATTGTTACTCTCTCAGCCTGTACCCCTCGCCCCATTGTTACTCTCTCAGCCTGTACCCCTCGCCCCATTGTTACTCTCTCAGCCTGTACCCCTCTCTCCATTGAGACTGACTGACCTGGTCCCAACCTGTTTTACTCTCTCCTACAACCATCCCCTGAACCCAGTCTGGTCAGGTTCATGTCCTAGAGACACAGGTTTGGGAGTGGGTGCCCGGGTGGGAGTCAGATTTCTCCATCCTCTTTCTCCCCTGTTCCCCTCCCTCACTGGCTTCTGTGGCCTGGGTATTGGTGATTCCATGTGTTGGGTCCAGGCTCCACATTATACACTGCTCTCCCAGGCCACAGGGGACAATGTGGCTTTCAATCTAAACACATATGCTGGGAGGCTGGTGTTGGGGAGGGATGTGATAACTATTTTTTTTTATCGAATTTACAACCTTCATTAGCCAACAAGATGTACATCTCTGGGAAATGGTCCTTCATCATGTGTGAAACCCCAGTGAAACAAATAGGTACAGTCCCCACTTCTCCTGACCTCCCCCATCTCCCCGTTTATTCTGCCCCAGAATTCCCCCAGATGCTCTGCTCCTAGCCAGTGTGAGGACCACATGTCTCAGGCCAGGGATTAGGATACACAGAGCAACTTTGTTCTCATCCTGATCATTCCTCTCAGGGAGTTCCCAAAGGAAGGATTGGGAGCCAAGGGTTGGGATTTTCCCACTGGCTGTCATATTTGTTTCCCAACAGCTACAGGGAAGGATGAAGAGGCCAGGACACTGACCTCATCTAAAAAATGGCTTGATGCTGAGTTGGGCAGAATGTAGAGGAAATATACTGGGAAAATTAGATCAAAGAGGCTGAAAGGCCTTCTTCAAATTAACCTCTTTTGTGAAGAATATTTCTGGTTGAGTCTCTGTGTTTATATCTGTGTTTGTGTCTGAATATCTGTGTGTGTGTGTGTGTGTATATCTGTGTGTGGCTGTATCTGTGTGTGTGTTTATATATGTATGCAAGTTTGTGTGTATCTGTATATGTGTGTACTTGTATCTGTGTGTGGTCTGTTTGTGTGGAGCGGTTGGGGGCAGGAATCTGCTGTTAAGTGAGGCCATGGGTTGGTGATGCTGTGTGCTGAGCCTGTTCACTCTGGCTGAGGAGAGGCACTGACTGGGCTCATCATTGGTCTAAGTGACAGGAGGGGCAGGAGGGGAGTGTCATGGGAATTCTCAAACCTGAGCCACTATAACTTTCCACAGATGCATGGAATGAGTCAGAGCTGAAGGAATGTGTGAGACCATGACTGGGATTGGCTGCAGGATGAGCTAACACTGTAGTTAAATTCCACTTGTAGCAAAATCACAACTTCAGGCTGTGTGAGCTGCTCCAGGAAGTGGGCTCTCAGTCGCTTTTTTTCGAGACTGAGGTGGATAGATATCTGTCAGGTTAGGGTGTTAAGGGATATGGGGCAAGGGGAGGTAATTGGAGTTGAAGTACAGATCAGCCATGATCTAAAAGAACAGGCTTGAGGGGCTGAATGGCCTTCTCCTGTTCCTATGTTTCTGTATATATACAATACAAAATTGCATTTGTAAAGCACCTTTCACATCAGGATACGTCCCAAGGCACTGAACAATCAGGGATTAGGACCCGAGCTTGGGGTGGGGGGGCAGAGAGAATAAAAAGGTGGCTGAAGGCACAGTCGAAGGGGAGGGTCTTGAGGTGTGCCTTGAAGGAGTCAAGGGAGGGTGCTGGCGAAGGGAATGTGGAATGGTGTTCCAGACGGTTGGGGCAGAGAGCCTGAAGATCCAACCACCGATGGTGGGGTAGGCAGGGTGGGGGACATAGAGCAGACTGGAGCCTGCTGAGCGGAGGGACTGGACAGGTTGATAAGGGGTTAGCAGGTCGGAGAGGTAGAAGGGGGCAAGGCCACAGAGTGCTTTGAAGGCGAAGATGAGAATTTTGAACTCGATCCTCCGCGGGATGGGGAGCCGGGTGAGGGTGGGGTGATGGGTTCATGGAGCCTGGTGCGGGAGAGGACACAAGCTGCAGAGTTCTGGGTGATCTGCAGCTTGTGGGGGGAAGAGTTGAGGAAGCCGACAAGCAGGAGGTTGGCATAGTGGAGCCTGGTTGTAATGAAGGCATGTATGAGAGTTTTGGCGGCCTGAGGGGTGAGGCAGTGGCTGAGTGGGGCGATATTGCGGAGGCAGGGAAAGACAGAGCGGGTCATGGCACGGATGTGGGGGAGAAAGGACAGTTGAGGGTTGAACAAGATGCCCAGGTCCCTGACTGGCTTGGTGAGGTGGAGTGTGCATCCATGGATGCTGATGCTGCTAGTGCCTGAGGTGCAGAGGCCCTGGAGCGAGCCAATCGGGAGAGCCTTGTCTTGCTGACGTTCAACTAGAAAGTTGGTTCTCATCCAGGACTTCATGTCTGACAGGCAGTTTGTCAGGACATTAGTGCTCTTGGGGTCAAGGGTGGAGGCAGAGAGATAGAGTTGGGTGTCATCCGCGTTGGGTATCATATGTTCTCACATCCTCATGGGGATCAGGCTTTGCTGCTAAAACATTGCAGTACAATTACTCCCTAAATCACTGACTGCTGACAACTAAACACACAATAATGAGAACAGAATTAACGTCACTTTAATTCGTTGTTTCTCATCAGTAGCTTTTCTGAAACCAAAAAACGATTCCTGCACTGACAGTAGGTGGCATTGTTTATTTGCATGTCAGTATATGTTTTTATATGTGCGTGTGCATGTGTCTGTATGCTTATATATGTGCGTGTGTGTGCACAATGGGGGGAGAGAGACCTGTGGGTCAGTCTATGAGACATGGCGGTACAGTATATGTATAGATGCTGCCCCACATGCGGGGTGTGATATATATGCACTTTGTTATTGCAGTGTCCTGCTTCATATGTTAATGTGAAAGGTGATCAGTTCCAGGTGGATGTAAACGTTGTCTCAAGCAGTAGCGCTGTGTGTGTGGAACTCAGCCAAAGTGTCCAAAGGTGGATGAGTCAGTTGCTCTCAGAGAGACAGCCACAGACGCTGTAAACGTGGGCCCAGGGAAGAAATTAAACATCTTTTTTTTGATCAGCCGAGTTTTCGCATGTGTCAGACTCCTGGCTGACCCCCCAAAACTAAACATTTAATGGCAGAGACTGCTCTTTATGTGAAGCCCTGAGAGCAGAGCACAGGCAGCGGTCAGCGTCAGGGTCAGAGGGCAAAGTGACCCGCATATGGAAGTAGCATCTCAGGTAACAAGTGAATCGCTTTGAGGCGTCTGTGGACAACGTGATAAGGCGCCGTATCAAATGCAAGGATTATTATTATATCAAAGGGAAAGGATTATTATTGTTATTTCACACGGAGCAGAAAAACCTGAGGCTGTGTGTGTCTCAGATTGTTTAAATCCCACAGAAATGTGGCAAATTCACTCCTGAGGCGATCATTCATTTTCTAATTATTATTCCTTATTATTTTAATTATTATAACTATAATCCCTTCCCTAATTATTATTGTTGTTGTTGTTATTCCCGGTCCTGTGGCTCAGCGCCAGAGACACACCTCAGGCTCTGAGGTCGCTGTTTCCGGCC